CATCAGTATGACATAAGTATACCAAGTTTGCAGTCGATACCACATTGGGGAGTGGGTTAAAATTGAGTTACAAGATTTAAGGATACAACAACAGTGAGTTAAATAAAAGCGTGTAAAATAATAATTAAAAAAACCTTAAATCCAACGAATGCGCCCAATTCAAGTAACGCTGGCAAACAGGTAAGCAGGGAAATAAAATAACGTCACAAGTCACGTGGGGTTCGCAATTAAATGTCGCATGCCCCCCCCCCCCCAACAACGTTTGGTGCCACGTTGGAGGCCCGTGGGTTCGATGTAGAACCCTGACGCTTATATATTTCGAGTTTGCTTGTTCTCTCTCCCCGTGGTGGCGTGGATTTTTCTCCGGGTCATCCGTTTTTCCCCCCACCTCCACATTTAGAAACAAGCGCTTAAAGAGTATTTGGCTTTCGCTATGGATTTCCACGTGACGTGCCACTTCGTTGAGCTATCATTTGTGATAGTCGGGTCGCTTCTGTAAGAAGAGCCTTGCAGTAGAGCTCAGTTGGGGGCCTTACCTGGTGGAAAAAAAAAGTTTACATAGTTTGCCCTACTCTGGACCAAACTCATACTTGTCAACCCATAGGGGCCGTCCATAAATGACGTCACGTACTTGGGGGGGGGGGTCAGACATTTGTGACGATGTGTGACGAGAGGGGGAGGGGCGTTGAGAAATGTGACGTCAGATGAAAATGCGCAACTTTAAATAAATATAAACACGTTCTACTTAATTAAATAGACTTTTTTTATAAATGTTTTCTCCTACAACATCAGAGTGCAGCGCCACATTAAATACGCACTACAATGAGAATAGTTTAAAGCGATTTGAAGCATGTTTTATTTTTGGGGGGAGGGGGGGGGGCAGAGCTTTGTGACGTCATATTTGATGGGGGGGGTCTGACTTTTTGTGACGCCGTGTGACGAAGGGGGGGGGGAGTCAAAAATCGTCAAAAATCGCGTGACGTCATTTATGACGGCCCCATACGGGTTACCCCGCATCCCGCATTCTGATAGAGGGGATTTGAGTGTTCAGGTCCATGCGGCGAAGAGCCGTTTCAATACAGGCAACATTGTTTTGGTCTATTTGTGTTTCTTCTTTGTGATGGGACTTTGTAGGGTGAACGTTGATATTTATAGTGTAGTTTATAGTAGTGTATAGTGTATACAATTAACGTTGAGATTTATAGTGTAGTTTATAGTAGTGTGTAGTGTATACAATTAATGTTGAGATTTATAAGGGGCACGGGGGTTAACCAATGAGGTCCGAATTGGTCTGTAACAAGGTAGGGGCACTGATGAGGGGTTGACATGTTTGTAGTAGTGTATAGTGTAGTTCATAGTAGTGTATAGTGTAGTGTATAGTGTAGTGTATAGTGTAGTGTATAGTGTAGTTTATAGTAGTGTATAGTGTAGTTTATAGCAGTGTATAGTGTAGTATATAGTGTAGTTTATAGTAGTGTATAGTGTAGTATATAGTGTAGTTTATAGTTGTGTATAGTGTAGTATATAGTGTAGTTTATAGTAGTGTATAGTGTAGTATATAGTGTAGTTTATAGTAGTGTATAGTGTAGTGTATAGTGTAGTATATAGTGTAGTTTATAGTAGTGTATAGTGTAGTATATAGTGTAGTTTATAGTAGTGTATAGTGTAGTATATAGTGTAGTTTATAGTAGTGTATAGTGTAGTGTATAGTGTAGTTTATAGTAGTGTATAGTGTAGTATATAGTGTAGTTTATAGTATTGTATAGTGTAGTATATAGTGTAGTTTATAGTAGTGTATAGTGTAGTTTATAGTAGTGTATAGTGTAGTTTATAGTAGTGTATAGTGTAGTATATAGTGTAGTTTATAGTAGTGTATAGTGTAGTATATAGTGTAGTTTATAGTAGTGTATAGTGTAGTATATAGTGTAGTTTATAGTAGTGTATAGTGTAGTGTATAGTGTAGTTTATAGTAGTGTATAGTGTAGTTTATAGTAGTCTATAGTGTAGTATATAGTGTAGTTTATAGTAGTGTATACAATGAACGTTTGTAAACTCATCTAAAGACCCCACAGTGCGTCTCGGGGACTCGAGCTGTGTGAAGGTTTGTGCCACCCGCTGGGATTGAGACCTCCCAGGGCCCTCTTGGTTAAAGCGCTCGCTAGCCAGGGGCTTGTCGTTTTGTGTTGTCGTAGCCCGACACGGGACAAAGTTATCCACAAACAAAACAAAAAACATTTCATGGATAATGTTGGTCGCGAAAGTCTCCATCGCGTGTCAATTGCGAATCTTCAAGGGGGGTGGAACAACGCGACACCCCCCTCTCTCATTCCCAGCAAGATAACTACCAGGCAAACGAAACAAAATAAAATAAACAACTTGTGTTGCCTCCGAAACGTCGTGATTTCATTTAGTTTTATTTTATTTTAATTTACCTACGTGACTTTATCGAAAAAACAAAAAGAGTATGAATCCTTGCAGTCACGAAAGCTTCAAATCTAGAATAAGCGAAACAAATTTCGATTTAAAGCTTTCGTGACTGCAAGGATTCATCTTCTTTGGTTCTTTCGGTAAAGTCACGTAGAATTTCTTTTCGTTTCGGCCACAACACAAGCGGCCTTCATCAGGTGAAGGGACGAGACTGTCTGGAGGACAGCGCTGGAGTGAAAAAGCCACGCTCAGATCACGACCTTTAAGCTGTGTGAGAAGAAACAAAGCGCCTTGACAAAGGAATTAGCATAGAATTTAGCATTGAAATGGCTGAGTAATTAGCTTGTGACTGGTCACAGAAATGGCTATGTTAAAGTCAAAGCATACACATCCACAGAGGCACCCCTTGACAAAGGAATTAGCATAGAATTTAGTATTGAAATAGCTGAGTGATTAGCTTGTGACTGGTCACAGAAATGGCTATGTTAAAGTCAAAGCCCTACACATCCACATAGGCACCTAGTACAAATCAAACAGGAGAATGTAGCATTGAAATAACTCAGTGATTAGCTTGTAACTGGTCACAGAAATAGCTATGTTAAAGTCAAAGCCTACACATCCGCAGATGCACCTAGTACAAATCAAACAGGAGAATTTAGCATTGAAATAGCTGAGGGATTAGCTTGTGACTGGTCACAGAAATGGCTATGTTAAAGTCAAAGCCCTACACATCCACAGAGGCACCTAGTACAAATCAAACAGGAGAATTTAGCATTGAAATAACTGAGTGATTAGCTTGTGACTGGTCATAGAAATGGCTATGTTAAAGTCAAAGCCCTACACATCCACAGAGGCACCTAGTACAAATCAAACAGGAGAATGTAGCATTGAAATAACTGAGTGATTAGCTTGTGACTGGTCACAGAAATAGCTATGTTAAAGTCAAAGCTTACACATCCACAGAGGCACCTGGTACAAATCAAACAGGAGAATTTAGCATTGAAATAGCTGAGTGATTAGCTTGTGACTGGTCACAGAAATGGCTATGTTAAAGTCAAAGCCTACACATCCACAGAGGCACCTAGTACAAATCAAACAGGAGAATTTAGCATTGAAATAACTGAGTGATTAGCTTGTGACTGGTCACAGAAATGGCTATGTTACAGTCAAAGCCTACACATCCGCAGAGGCACCTAGTACAAATCAAACAGGAGAATTTAGCATTGAAATAGCTGAGGGATTAGCTTGTGACTGGTCACAGAAATGGCTATGTTAAAGTCAAAGCCTACACATCCACAGAGGCACCTAGTACAAATCAAACAGGAGAATTTAGCATTGAAATAACTGAGTGATTAGCTTGTGACTGGTCACAGAAATGGCTATGTTACAGTCAAAGCCTACACATCCGCAGAGGCACCTAGTACAAATCAAACAGGAGAATTTAGCATTGAAATAGCTGAGGGATTAGCTTGTGACTGGTCATAGAAATAGCTATGTTAAAGTCAAAGCCCTACACATCCACAGAGGCACCTAGTACACATCAAACAGGAGAATTTAGCATTGAAATAGCTGAGTGATTAGCTTGTGACTGGTCACAGAAATGGCTATGTTAAAGTCAAAGCCCTACACATCCACAGAGGCACCTAGTACAAATCAAACAGGAGAATTTAGCATTGAAATAGCTGAGTGATTAGCTTGTGACTGGTCATTCTACGTGACTTTACCGAAAGAACCAAAGAAGATTAAACGATACAAACTTCGTCGCTTGCCTCCCAACATAGCTCCAGTTTTTTTTATTATCGATTTGAACAAATTTGCTTTTACCCCCCGCCCTCGCCCGCCCGCCTTCGCCCGCTCCACGACGTGACAACTTGATTAGAGAGACTCTATACTCTTTGGTTCTATTGGGTAAAGTCACGTAGGTGAAAATAACAAAAAATCACGACGTTTTTTTTGTTATTTTATTTTCACCTACATGACTTTACCCAATAGAACCAAAGAGTATGGATCCTAGCAGTCACGAAAGCTTTAAATCTAGAATAGAGAGACTCTGTACGGTCTGGTTGAGGGTTTTTATGGTTTAGGACTCCAACATGCTGAGCTCATCCAAAGTAAAACTTGATCGTGAAAATATATCCAAGATTGAATCGATGATGACAATTGAATCATCCAAGGAATCGTTAATAATAATCGAATCGCGAAAATAATGTCGTCACTACCAACCACTGAAACCACAAAACTGTTGCGCTTAATTATCTGTAGCTTAACGCCGTCGTCACGACGACTTTACAGATAGTAATTATAAACAACAACAACATTATTGTGTTGTTATTTATATTTGAGCACCATTGGTGGTGGAGGGGGGGCACTCAACGAGGGCCCCCCCTGCGCCACCACTTCGCATTTCCCACATCACATAAGCGCGCGCGCGCTCGCCCATTGGCTCGGGGATCCCCTCCACGTCCCCCGCCCGCATCGCGCATCGCCATTGGCTCGCGGACCACCCCGCCCCCGACGCCCCCCTCGCGACGACCAATCGGCGCGCGGCGGTCGCATTGGTCTGCGCTTATCCGAACTAGGAGATCAAAACCGGCGGATCGACGGCGTTGGCGGCCTCCTCGCTGAAGGCAGCTGCCGCGGTCCTCCTCGTCCAGGACCTCTTCACACCAACAACACCTCCACCACCACCTCCTCCTCCTCTTCCATGGACTTCACCGGCTCCTCCATGGACGCGCTGGAGGCTATGGCCGACGAGGTCGCCCTCGAGGGCCTCGACGGGGTGACCCCGAGCGCGCTCTGGGTCCGCCTTTGCGCCCGCTCGCCTCCCTTCCCTGGGGGGGCCCCGCGCAGCGACTTCGCCCTCCGCGCCTTCCTCTGGGCCGCCCTGGCCTCGAACCCGGGCGTGGACTTCTACGAGCTGCCCGTGCCGCGGCCTCCGCTGCTGCTGCGCGAGACGGCGGCGGCGGCGGCGGCGGCCGCGGCGAGAGACGACGATGGGTAGGCGCGCAGCGACCGGCGTGGCACGAGACTCGCGCGGTCGGGGTGAGACTGGGGTTGGGGTGAGACTGGGGATGGGGATGGGGTGTGACTGGGGTTGTGGTTGGGGTGTGACTGGGGTTGTGGTTGGGGTGAGACTGGGGTCGGGGTGAGACTGGGGTTGGGGTGAGACTGGGGATGGGGTGTGACTGGGGTTGTGGTTGGGGTGAGACTGGGGTTGTGGTTGGGGTGAGACTGGGGTTGTGGTTGGGGTGAGACTGGGGTTGGGGTGAGACTGGGGTTGGGGTGTGACTGGGGCTGGGGTGAGACTGGGGCTGGGGTGAGACTGGGGCTGGGGTGAGACTGGGATGGGGTGAGACTGGGGCTGGGGTGAGACTGGGGCTGGGGTGAGACTGGGGCTGGGGTGAGACTGGGGCTGGGGTGAGACTGGGGCTGGGGTGAGGCTGGGGCTGGGGTGAGGCTGGGGCTGGGGTGAGGCTGGGGCTGGGGTGAGGCTGGGGCTGGGGTGAGGCTGGGGCTGGGGTGAGGCTGGGGCTGGGGTGAGGCTGGGGCTGGGGTGAGGCTGGGGCTGGGGTGAGGCTGGGGCTGGGGTGAGGCTGGGGCTGGGGTGAGGCTGGGGCTGGGGTGAGGCTGGGGCTGGGGTGAGGCTGGGGCTGGGGTGAGGCTGGGGCTGGGGTGAGGCTGGGGCTGGGGTGAGGCTGGGGCTGGGGTGAGGCTGGGGCTGGGGTGAGGCTGGGGCTGGGGTGAGGCTGGGGCTGGGGTGAGGCTGGGGCTGGGGTGAGGCTGGGGCTGGGGTGAGGCTGGGGTGTGACTCGGGTTGGGGTGAGGCTGGGGTTGGGGTGAGGCTGGGGTTGGGGTGAGGCTGGGGTTGGGGTGAGGCTGGGGTTGTGGTTGGGGTGAGACTGGGGTTGGGGTGAGACTGGGGCTGGGGTGAGACTGGGGCTGGGGTGAGACTGGGGCTGGGGTGAGACTGGGGTTGGGGTGAGGTTGGGGTGTGACTCGGGTTGGGGTGTGACTCGGGTTGGGGTCAGATTGGGGTTGGGGTGAGGCTGGGGTTGGGGTGAGGCTGGGGTTGGGGTGAGACTGGGGTTGGGGTGAGACTGGGGTTGGGGTGAGGCTGGGGTTGTGGTTGGGGTGAGACTGGGGATGGGGTGAGACTGGGGTTGGGGTGAGACTGGGGATGGGGTGAGACTGGGGTTGGGGTGAGGTTGGGGTTGGGGTGAGACTGGGGATGGGGTGAGGCTGGGGTTGGGGTGAGACTGGGGTTGGGGTGAGACTGGGGATGGGGTCAGACTGGGGTTGGGGTGAGGCTGGGGTTGGGGTGAGGCTGGGGTTGGGGTGAGACTGGGGTTGGGGTGAGACTGGGGTTGGGGTGAGACTGGGGTTGGGGTGAGACTGGGGATGGGGTGAGACTGGGGTTGGGGTGAGACTGGGGTCGGGGTGAGACTTGGGATGGGGTGAGACTGGGGTTGGGGTGAGACTGGGGTTGGGGTGAGCCTGGGGTTGGGGTGAGACTGGGGTTGGGGTGTGACTGGGGTTGGGGTGAGACTGGGGTTGGGGTGAGCCTGGGGATGGGGTGAGACTGGGGTCGGGGTGAGACTGGGGTTGGGATGAGACTGGATTTGGGCTGAGACTGGGGTTGGGGTGAGACTGGGGTTGGGGTGAGACTGGGGTTGGGGTGAGACTGGGGTTGGGGTGAGACTGGGGATGGGGTGAGACTGGGGTTGGGGTGAGACTGGGGTAGGGGTGAGACTTGGGATGGGGTGAGACTGGGGTTGGGGTGAGACTGGGGTTGGGGTGAGCCTGGGGATGGGGTGAGACTGGGGTTGGGGTGTGACTGGGGTTGGGGTGAGACTGGGGTTGGGGTGAGCCGGGGGATGGGGTGAGACTGGGGTCGGGGTGAGACTGGGGTTGGGATGAGACTGGATTTGGGCTGAGACTGGGGTTGGGGTGAGACTGGGGTTGGGGTGAGACTGGGGTCGGGGTGAGACTGGGTTTGGGGTGAGACTGGGCTTGGGGTGAGTCTGGGGTTGGGGTGAGAGTGAGACAGGGTTTGGAGTGTGGCTAGGGTCGCCCCTTGGCCTGGTATTGTGTTGACACTTGCTTGTAGTTTAACTGGACAGTTGTCATAGATCTCAGGTTGCTTGAGAAACACGCCCTGGTTTAAGTCTCTCCGACTGATCTGGCGGGGTGCGTGTAACGCGTTCACACCGTGTTGCCAATATACCGATCGGATGAGGGCCTCCCTCCCCCATCCACACGCTGTCGTGCCGCTCGTGACTCGTATTCGACCATACTTCACCACGCTGGTCCGCGAGGACGCGGGGAGGAGTGCAGAGCACTTTCCAGCCCCCCCCCCCCACTACTTAGCCTTTTGAGGGCTGACGGAATCGCTGTGGTTTATTCGTGACAGTACAGCGAGAGTGCGCGTAGGTGGCAGGCCGAGTTGGCATTGAGAGCAGCACAAGAGAGGCTTAGCGCGATGATCCTCAATGTGAACCAAACCGCAGTTTTAAACTTGCTTTTGGTGTCGGCGATGTGGCCCCGGTTGAGAAGCCGGCCACATTGGTTCGAGGATTAGACAAACACACTTGGGGAGACTCGAACCAGCGCAAGGAAGAGGCCCATCAAGGCACAATACGCAAACGCATCTTGCCCTGACGGCTGCCCCGCCGGCTTTCCCCGTTACTTTTTTTTTGCCGATTCAAGAAACTCACAAGACACAACGACGCGTGTTGGAAGAAGCGTTAAGCATCCCAAGTGCGTGCGTGTTGTTTTTTTTAACGAGTCCTTAAATGGGCAAACCTCTTTTCGATACGTGGCTGGCAGCCCCCTCTCGCTCATCGTCACCCACGTGGCCTGCCACGGGCCCCAATACCGCACCTCCGACGAGCACGGTTTGGACACGTACGGTGGGGAAGAAGTTCAACGGAGAAGTGCGCACGCATCGACCACCACCCCCCACTTCGGCCACTCCGGCCACTCGTTGTCCACGTGCATCCACGAGGGTCGCGTTTCCATCGCACGTCACTGGCCTCACGACGACACTAAGTCAATCTCCCCGTGCCACTCGTAACAGCAACCAAGAGACCTGGCCTCGGTTATAATTACAGCAGCAGCAGCAGCAGCGTTAACCTGATGTTCAATTCAAGTGTGACGCGCAATTCATTGGTGCGAGGAATGAATTGCCCCCACCACCCCTTGCTTCAGAGCCCAGCGACTTGGCATTTCAGGCCTGTGGGCCTCTGGGTAGTTCCACCTGCGCCCTCCATAGCCACGCCACTGGAGGAAAACGGGGGAACCCTTCCAACCCTTGGCTTGTACGCCAAATTCCTCATTTAACGCAAGGAGATGCGTTCCTGAAAAGTCCCGCGTTCAGCGAGGAATTACCCGACATGCATACGTACGCTACGCGGCATAAATGAAAATAAAAACGATGCAAATTTGAATCACGTTTGCACTATAAAATCAGCCTGCGGTCATCCCATGGCGGGACAAAGAACTGAGACGAGGGTACGCCGCAGCGGGACCGTTTAATTCCCCGCGTATTCCCAGGAATTTCCCGTACCGCTCGGCCGCCGCAGCTCAAGAAAGTAGTTAGCCGCCGTTGACCGCGCTGTGCGAAAAGTGTTCCCCAATAGAAGAACCGCGTTGTAGCGAAAGCGCGTTGTGTGAGCACGCGCTAAGCGAGGACTCCTCTGGTACAGTTGTAGAGTCGCCACTCAACGTGGGCTGCCTCTGGTGAGCTGTCCACGTTCCGGCGGTGTGTGTTCCTTGCCTCCTGTGCTCACTCTCCTGATATTCCCAGGATCGTCCTCTTGCTGAGGTAACTATTCCTGGGAAATCTTGTCAGTCTTCTCGGGATATTAAAAGTCCCGTCTTCCGTCAGTCGCCGAATAAATACGCAGCTCAAGACGATGCGTTTATGTTGGGGATGTCTGAATTTCTTTACGTCAAAAAGTCTAAATGTCGCGCTGCATATGAAGTTTTGGATCATCCAAAAAAATATAGTTTTCTGATCGATACGAATGTCACTTGCATGAGCATGGAGACACACTATAATCTTACCCACTTAGATGTTTCTAAAGTCCAAATAAAATATCCGAACTTGTCCTTAAACGTCCGAATCTTCATATATTTTTACTCGCTGGGGGGGGGGGGGGCGTTACCCGGACCCAAGGGATGAGATTGTTTATAACATTACACATCACACTATCTACTGTGTACAGCTCAGACATAGTACACGTGTGATGTGTAATGTTGTTACATACCCTCAGCATGTACTATTGCTGAGCTGTATACAGCAAAGTGTGAGGGTATTGTGAGAAGATAAGCGTCTGTCAAAGAAAAGTCACATCAGTGATAAATCGTGCAAAGTGAAATAAAGGACACATTTATGAGGTGTCAAACATTAATGTTGTGCAACAAAAGCACCGATGCATCAAGATTTTGCATATACTCATGTGCCCTTTGCCACAACACGGTACAGATGCAGTAAATGATCAAAATGGAGACATGTCGAATCAATCGCGGTGTATAAAACAGGCACTTTCTGGCATTCCCCAAATCCAATACACATGCACGAATATATATAGATACTGGAGATGTGGTTGGATGAATTGTTACCTTAATTTTACTTATACTACTATCATTTTTGTACTGTTTGTTGTTATGATGATCTTACCCCATGCCCCTATTGGATATCTGTGAAAAAGAGCTTTATAGCTCATCGTATTCCTCCTGCAGTCTAAATAAATATTCTGATTGTGATGTACATCAGTCCATTGATGCCAAATTAACATCTGTAATAATAATAAATCACGTTACCGGCATCTGCTTTTTAACCACGTTGCTCACCGTAGCTTCAGATTTGTTTGGAATGTACCATGGTGCTTATACTTTGAAACATTTAAAAACTAAGCAAGATACGGCATTGTAAATTCACTGCAACTATTATTGTACAATGATTAACACATTATAATTGAAATCAACGGAATAGGGTTAAGTTTTATGAGTAAAATTGTGAAATAATGGAGTACAATCACCCCTTGGGTTGATAATGATTTCTCTCTACGTGGGTTTTAGTGGAGAAATAATTTCATTAAATTGAAATTAAACTTGAAAATACGTTTTACATATATTTTATCTAAATTAAACTTAAAAATATGTTTTAAATAAAAAAAAACGTACTTTTGTGCTAGCATCCCCGATTGTACATTTTGTTTTGGCCAATCGACAGCTGGGAAAGAAGGAGCTTTACCAGGACACACACGCACACACACGCGAAACCACCAACTCATATATAGATGCGCAAAGCCAAGCCCTAACTTGCGCGTCTCTTTCCCGTGCGACACGCTTCTTCGCGCGCCCCACGCCGGATCATTTCCTCCGCACCGGATTCACCGACAACCCTTGCCCGACGGGCGCAGGTGCGGGGACGAGGTGGAGGCGGCGACGGGGCGGTGGGAGAGCGGCCCGGACATCTACCCCGTGCACATGCTGCTGGACGACCCCGCGGGCATGCAGGGCTCCTGCCGCTACTACAGAGAGCGCACGTGCGTCACCGAGCTCGTGCGCAGCCGCGACCTGCAGCCGCTGTGCACGCTGGAGGAGGTGGAGAGGAGGTGAGCCGCGGTTTTTTTTTTTTTCCCCCCCGCGCGAGCACTCCTCCCCTCTGCCGTGCAGTGGGAAGTAAACAAATTGCGTTGGTGACCGCGCTTTGGCGTATGGAGCCGTTGGGGCCCTCGTGCGCTCAATAACCGTTGGGGAAAAAAAAGAAGCAAATGTGCCGCTTGCGCCGTGCTTGTAGCGCGACCACGGGTGATGTTTGCCAATCGGGGGCCCAATTTTGCAACGTCGTTTAACCCAATTGAGTAATTTGATCGTGGCTGTTGATGACAGTTCTTCAATTAGAACTACTGAAATACTTCACCTGGGATATCCTCACGAGATGGAACATCTCGTGGCGTTCATCGGCACAGAGCAAACGGATAATGGCGCGTAAACACATGACGAGAAGGACGAGTTGGGGGCGCTGCGCGTGTGCGTCCCGGCAGGTGGGGCGACACGCTGGTTGCCGTGGCATCGCAGGAGCTGCGGTGGCGTGCGCTGGCCGGCTGGGAGTGCGACCCGGACCTGCGCGTGCCCGACTTCTCGTATTGCGTGCTGGAACGGCTGGGCCGCGCGCGCTGGGAGGGTGCCCTACAGAGCGACCTCCACGCCAACGTTTTCCAGTGCGTACCCCCCTGCCCGCCCTACCGCCCCCGTGGCCGCCCGCCCGCCCGCCCGCCCGCCCGCCCGCCTCCCTGCCCTGTATGCACAGGGTGCTGTGGCTTAGTTTGCACGTGTAAAATATTGGTGATGACACATAGGTGGGCAGCACCTGGGTCGCAATCATCTATTATTTTACTCGCTCACAAACACGGGTATAGAAGTCTGGTGTAGACTGGCGTTGGACTGGTGTTGATAAACGCGAAATTGTCATCGTTTATACTCCACCGCCCCCTTGCATTGCATCTAATAATGGCAGTCGACATCAGATGACGGTGGGCGAGAGTTTGGCTTGGCGTGCGCGGTGATGCCAGCGCGTGCTTGCCGTGGGTCGTGCAGTATCGACGCGAGGAAGATGCACTACCACCGCGGCTTCCTCGACCGCCTCGGGCTGGTGACGCTGCAGTCGCACGTGACGCGCCGGCCCAACGGGAGCCAGATGCACTCCATGCTGCTGCTGCTCAAACGATTCCACATCGACAGGTTCGCGCCACCAGCGATGCTGCCGTCGCTACCGCTGCCGCACCTACCGCTGCCGCACCTACCGCTGCTGATTCTGCTGCAGCTACTGCTGTTGCAGCTACTGCTGTTGCTGCAGCTACTGCTGCTGCAGACGCTGCTGCTACTGCTGCTGCTGCAATTACTGCCGCTATTACTGCTGCTGATGCAGACACCGCTGCTTCTGCTGCTACTGCTGCAGCTACTGTTGCTGCTGCTACTGCTGGTACCACTGCCGACACCCTCGTCCACTTGCTCACGTTCTCATTCGTAACATTCTCTCGTGTGTGTGTTGATGCATGCCTGTGCGTGCGAGTTGTTATGGCTGTTGGTGAGCACATTGCATTACAATTCCAGAAGATTGTGCCCTGTCTTTTACGATGCACAGAGTTGACTTCTACGTCAGTTTTTTCTTAGGGTATCCCCTTGATCGGCACGGCCTAAAATATTACTTGGCGCTATCACAAATATCAGTGCTGCGTTTCAGAGAGAGGCAGCAGGGGGAGGAGGAGAGGGGGAGGTAGAAGGGGGGGGGGCAGTGAGTGGTGCTTGATTCTGGCCACACCACCTCCTCACCCACGTACCCCTCCGCCGGCCGTAATGTGGGCCTGCTGACGGGCGCTTGCATCGACCAGCGCGTGCGGGTTGAACGGAGCGCCGTTGTTCCCTGCAGGGCGGGCTGCAGGCACAGCAAGTACTCGGTGCTCATGCAGAAGCTGTCCGACAAGCTGATGATGCGGTCCACTCGTACGGACTCCATCGCCAGGCTCCGCACAGAAATGGTGCGGCAACAGTCCAGCGTTGGGTTTGGTTATCGTCAAATGCGTGATTGTTCGCGAACAAATTTTTTTTTTAATATATACTTCACTCAACAATGGCTGTGAGTGGACGGAAGTCATCGAGCGTGACAATGACGGGACCGACTATGGACGAGACGGTCGGCGCCAGCGTTGCTTGCATGTCCCTGTAACGCCCCGTGTTGCCGCACAGGGCATGGACGGCCGGTCGTTCCGGAAGCTCTACCAGTTCATGGTGACGTTGGGGCACATCGTCATCACGTCCGTGGTCAAGCAGACTCAACAGGGGCGGCCCTGCAAGAACACCAGAGGTGAGCGGCACTGACCAATCGGAAGCGTGCTATGCGATTGACCGATGAGCGGTGTGCGGTGCTACTGACCAATCGGAGGTGGGCAGCACCCACCAATCAGAGGTGTGCTGTGCTATTGACTAAAAAGACCTAAGCGGCGCTGAGCTATTAGATGTGCCCCACCATCCAGTCGAATCTGTGATCTTGCTTGTGTTGACAAAATGTAATCCACTTAATGCTGCTGGTTTTGTTAGGGGTCTTATTGCGTGTTTTCGCGCAGCACACCTGGGTCACGCAGCGTGAGTTTCCGTGGCGAGTGTGATTGGCCCCGTCCCCGTTGACCCGTCCGCATGCTTGCCTGCTTTGCCTGGCGCAGGTAACGACGTGATGGTGAGGAGCCTGCAGCTGGTGCGTGCGTTCGGGGAGGCGGAGGTGGAGGTGGAGAAGGAGGAGACGCCGATCCAGAGGCCCGTCCGGCCGCAGGGCCTCGTGCTGCAGCGCGACATGCTGACGCAGGCCCTGGACCTCGGTGAGGCCGCTGTGCACTCCGTGTGCAACGCACGTGCCGGCGTGTGCGAGTGAGTGAGTTGAGTGACACGTGTAGGTGTGTGTGTGTGTGTGTGCGACCGAATGAGTGGTACGCACGTGTAGGTGTGTGTGACCGAATGAGTGGTACACACGTGCATGGGTGTGTGCCCGAATGAGTGGTACACACGTGTGCATGGGTGTGTGCCCGAATGAGTGGTACACACGTGTGCAGGTGCGAGCGAGCGGGTGAGTGAAATGCGTGGGTGTGAGAAAAGTGAGCGGGTGAGCGGCACGCGCGTAGGTGTGTGTATGCGCGCGTGTGATTGACGCTGCTCTGAGCGACTTGCGCGTGTGTCGCGGCGCCCTCTTGCAGTGCGGAGGCACGGGACGGGCGGCATCTCGCACTCGGAGCTGTGCCTCGAGCTCAACGTGGGCAAGCTGGAGGGACGCATGCTGTGCCGCACGTTGTGCCGAAGGGGGCTTGTCAAGGTGCGCTGTGCCGCGCCCACGGAGCGCCGCTGCGCGGGGCTGTGCGTCGGCATTTTGTTCGTTCGGCGTGCTCCTCCCGCGCCCTTCCGCCGGGTGCCCTCTTCTGGTTGACCGTGCGTTGTTCTCTCCGGTTGTACGTACGTATGCACGCTGAACTTCTTTCGCGGGGAAGGAGAAGAGGCTAAGCGCCAAAAAGCAGTTCGACGTTCACAATTGTCGCTCTCGTTTACTCACGCCTTGTCCTCGTGCCGTTTTCCCGTTCTCGTTGTTCTCGCTCTCGTTGGTCATTCTCATTCATTTCCCCTTTTCTTCATTCTCACCGTTGGTTAGCGTCCATCGTTCTCGACGGTTGTTCGTCGTCGTTCTGTTTGGCCCTTCTCCTCGTTCAAGTTCGCCGCCCTTCATTCATTCCCTTGCGATCGTTACTTCTGCTCCCGTTCGTCAATCATCGCTCCCGATCATTCCTCCCGCGCGTTGTTATCGCTGTTGTCGTGACCGTCATCGATCTCGCCCGCAGGACATCATGGAGGACGAGGGCCGCCAGCGCACCACCAAGTACATCGCGCAGCAGTTCGTCAAGACCAGCGTCCTCAGCCAGCAGATCGAGCGCGAGCGGGCGCGCAACCACGAGCTCACCACGCCGGGCGGCGCCGGCGACGGCCCCTCGCCGGCCGCCCCCGCTTGGGCCGTCGCCCAGCCGGGGCGCACGCACGGCAGGGTGAAGCGCTGCGGCGCCGGTGCCGCCCCCCGGCGCCCCGACACCGTGTTCCCCTGGAACTGGGGTGCGGCCGGGAGGTGGAGGCAGCCGGGGAAGAGCGCCGCCGCCGGCGCCGCCGCTGCTGGCGCCGCCGCCGCCGCTACCGGGCAGGATCCCGCCGCCCTCGTGCCCAGGAAGAGGGGGCGGCCGAAGGGCTCCAAGAACAAGAAGGGCTGCCTGAAGAAGAACAAGAAGGCCAAGGTGAACACCAAGGCCAGCGGCAAGAAGAGAGGCCGTCCGAGAAAACACCCCCTGCCGCAGGCGGGTGAGTGCGAAACGACACGATGCTCCATCCTCGCCCTGTAACCTCGCCCTGTACCTCACCGTTAGCCTTGTGACCTCACCCTGTACATTCATCATTTATTTCTTGTGACCTCACCCTGTAACCTCAGCGTTAGCCTTGTGACCTCACCCTGTTCATTCATCATTTATTTCTTGTGACCTCACCCTGTAACCTCGCCCCTAGCCTTGTGACCTCACCTTGTGACCTCACCCTGTAACCTTGCCCTTAGCCTTGTAACCTCACCCCGAGCCCTGCGACCTCACCCTGAGCCTGGCGGCCTCACCGTATGGCCCGTGACCCCCGCATGGTCTACTTTGAGTCGTGAGCGGAGGACAAGATTTATACATCGATGCAACCGGTGCTGTCGCTTTATTCTTTCTGCCATCACTTTATTCCTCGTGCTAGATTCCGTGGGTGTTTCAGGGTTAACACCTCCATGCTCCATGCTTGGCAGTATCCCACAATCCGGCTTTGGAACTTCGTCGTGATTACCGACGTCTGGGTGCTTCTTGTCAAAGCGGCGAATGCCGGTGTGGAGTTGGTGAACGAACTTGGCAATAACGGTGAACGTCTGATTGGAGAGTTACAAGGGACGGTGTTCAGAGCCTTAAGGGATGAGGTCAAGCTTAGGGTTGGGGTTACCTTGAGGTTCGAATTTATACTGCGAGGTCAAGCTTAACAGTCGCATGAAAGCGCACGTTTCATTTTGACTCTGCTGGAGACAGGCAGGATGTGGCCCTCAGCGGCAGGGCAGGTGAAAAAGCGGTGCCCCATGATGTGGGACGCCAAAGAACCACTTGGAAGAGATCTCGGCAGTAGTTATCCGCTTCCACGAACGGTTGCAACAATGGGTGATGCACTGCTTTGCGAGAGATCCGAATGTCTTCGCCATTCTCACGACTTGACGCCGCTATCGGTTGGGGTGACAATTACAACGAAGGCACTCTGCTGTGTCTGCAGATGAGACGACCACAGAGGACAAGCCCGGACACGCCGCCGCCGATGAGTCGGAAGTGAAGGTCACGGCTGAGCAGCTCCAAGAGGCCGCAGCAGCGGCAGCAGCCACAGCAGCAGCAACAGCAGAATTGGTTCTGGCACCGGCGACGGAATCCACGGATCCCGCCGATGCTCCACACGCCGGGCCCGGCACTGAGGTTGAGGCCGCGTCGGCGCCGAGCGAGACGGGGACCCGCCGAGAAGGAGGAGACGAGCAGGAGCCAGCGCCGGAGGGAGGAGACGGGGCGTGCCGGGAGAGCGTGGCATTGCTGGATGCCGGCGAGGCCGCCGCGCGGCGAGAAGGAGAGGCGCCGTCGGGCGCGGCCGCGGGGCAGGCCGGAGCGCCGGCCGACTCGGAGGCCGTGCCCTCCGACGCGGAGGGGCCGGCGCCGGAAGGGAACGGGGTCTGCAAGGTGGAGATAGACGAGGAGGCCGAGGTCAAGCCGGGGGGTGGTGCACTCCTGCTGGAGCCGGTGGGTGCGCCAGCGCCGCTGTCGCTGATCATTTTTTCGGAGTGTCAGTGCACGCAGTCCTTTGTCAATCCACTGCCGGATGAAAGCCTCCCCACGCCGTGTAGGTGAGGGGGGGGGTTTGTTTGCCGTGACGGTCAGCGTAGGTTGGGCGAAATGGTGTCGGGGGGGAAAAAATGTTTCCGATATCGTTGGCCATGGCTGGGAATCTAACTCGGGTCTTCAGGTTGATAGCACAGTGCACACAACACCTGCACCACTGCCCAACCATAAGTTTTTTTTTTTGTAGCAGGCAATAATGAAATTGCTCATTTATAGGCAGTTGACAAGTTCCTTTACTCAGCAGCTCCATTAATCGGTTCTTGTTGTTTTTGTTTGGCTCATTTTCACGATCGTGTCCGTATTGTTTCTTGCTTTCATTCTGTCTCGTTTGAAAAGTTCACTCCATCGCCTTTAAAAGTGACGCTAGCGTGTAATCTGCGTGCAACGGAGCCATAGGTGACTGGAATTCTCGCTGAGGTGCGCGTGCCCGCCCGCCCGCCGCCCGTGTCTTTGTGCGCGCGAGCAGGCGGCGCCTCACAAGCCGGGCGCAACGCGGGGCCCGACGCGTCTGACGTACCGCCTGCTCAAGCGACAGAACATGATCATCGAGGCTGTGCGCAGCCACCGCCTCATCGAGAGCCTCTTTGCGTGCGTGTGACGTTCGCTGGCGCCGCGTCATAGCGCCACGGGGCCGTCTGGAATGCTCTTCTGTTGCGAAGCCACTGGAGCCATGGCACTTTGAAATCTATATTTGAAACTAAATTCTTGAGAACTGCTTTTTGCGTTTAGCTTGTTGTCCTTACCCCACGCCTCCGATACGCACGGTTGGCTATGTACTGTGCGAATGAAGTTCACCATACGTACACGTACGTAGAACGATGCAAACAAACACAAAAACGTAGATTCAAACGGTCGTTGTCACGCGTTGTGCCGGCTTATCCAGTCCATCTTTGCGCATTTGTCGCCAGGTTGCTCTTGCGTCAAGATGAGCTCAGAGTCGAGGTGAATTCCCCGCTCAAATGAGCCTTGAGGCGGTGCCTATCGCCTGCTCACAGGCCCGAGCCGGTCGTGGAAATTCCACGTTCCCCACGATGCCGTTGTTGAGTCTCCCCCATAGGACAACCGCCGTTGACTTGCCACGCAAAGTGGTAGTTGTTGAGGAGTAACGGGGAGGTCGAATCGACACCGCGACCAGGATTTGAACTCGCAAACTTTCCGATTGCGAGCCGCTCGCTCTCCCCCACAGAGCCGCCTGGCCTGTCAAGATCGGGGCAGCGCGGCACCGTACATATAACCGTGCTGAACCACTGCGCGGGTTTTCGCGGCTGAGCTGTACGGCTTCCTCTGGCCGCGTTTTCGGGTCGTGTCCGCAACGTTGTGCCACGCATGGCGGCAGGCAACGCGATGAGGGCGCCACGGTATGCAGGAGGTTCGTGGGTTCGTTCCCGACCTTGATGCCTGCTGTATATTTGGAGTTTGCGTGTTCTTCCCGCGGCCGCATGGACTTTCCACTGGGTCCTCTGGTTTTTCCCTCCACATTTAGAATCGACGTACATTTAAGAGTATTTTGCTGCTATAAATGTCCACGCGATAAGCCACTATTATGAGCTATCATTTCGTGGCCAGGTCGCTTTTGAAAGAGAGCTGCACAGCTCGGTGGGTAAAATAAAAAAAAATTGTTCAGTTGAAATAGTTCAGTTTAATTCGCGACGCGCTTCTCCGCGCGCCGCAGGCTGCAGAAGATGATCGTGGACGAGGAGCGCGTGGAGGGCGTGAGCAGCCGCTGCTGCCGCAAGTCGATCGTTCGTCTCGTGAACAAGCTGGCGGATGACGGGCAGCTGCGCCTCTACCGCACCACCGTCGTGCAGGATGGCATCACCAAAAAAGTGGGTGCCATTTTTTTTTAGCTTTTTTGTTTCATGCTTCAGTGGGGACCGGAAAGGGAAGGCCCAGCTGCCGGCGGTTCAGATGTCAGCCGAATCGAACCGAGGCTACTGGGTTGGTGGTGCGGTGCAATGACCGCTAATGCCACCGCAACGCACCATCGCGGCATTGACGGCGGTGATGGCGCACGTGGTGGTAGTGGCGGCTGCTGTGCACGTGGTGTCACGGCGAAACACTGCAGTGACAATTATTTGAACCGGTCCTGGGCCTCCTCTAGGTCTACTCAACCTCAAATGAGAACTTGGTGCGGGGGTGTAAACATCGCCACTCGGCAGACAAAGGCGGCCGGGCGTGATGCTGGCCACCCACCCCGTCGTGTGCCGTGCCGGCCTTCATAGGTGCTCGCGAACCGCACTTGCCCAAACAGTCTGTCAAAGCTATTCGGGGGATCTTTGGTGGTGGCTATGCATGTGGCGCGTGATCCGGCACTGTGGAGGCAGCAAGGGTTGGTGCATCACCGCACAAATGTCGTGAAACTCCCTTTCCTGTGGGTGTCGAGGAGGAGCCACAACCTGGGCTCGCCAGTAGAATTCCTCCGGTCTAAATAAAGATTCGATTCTGAGGGAAAAGTGGTACGGCAAAGTGCGAACTAATATCAATCTGTCCCATCTGCATCGGATAGAGTGCTGCCCCCTCGCACGCGTGTGGGTTTGCTCCCATACGTATACGCACTCGCTAATAAGCTTAATATAAAGGCACCTCGGTGTTTGGGGATTGTGCAGCGTTGCGAGACGCGGCTCGCTTGAACGATACCATACGCAAACGTTCGTTATTATCGCCGATAACAAACACGCGGACAGACGCCCCTCCGTACGTAGCCTCGGCGGTTGTTGGGTGGCGCGTGGCCAGGTGGAGCTGGTCGTTCACCCGTCCGTGAGCCCCCACGATCCGCTGGTGAAGAGCGCACTGGAGCAGGTGCGCTTCCGGATCTCCGGCTCCTATTCCTCCCAGAGGTGAGTGCCCCCCCCCCCACCCACCTCACCCCCTCCAAGCCCCCCCGAGCCTCCCCCCCCCGAGCCCCCCACCCCTCCTCCATACCCCAGCCCAAACCCCCCCACCAGAATTTCAGAACCTGGTGCCCACGTGTGCCCGCGTCAAGCAGTGGAGAGAGCCTAATGTTAACAACAATAATTTAATAAATGTGGTATTCACGCGATGCCCAATAGCGCAAGGCTATCGCAGACTGTTTCACAGAGGGGTAGTCTGCCGGTAGGGGGCGGCGTTGCTCCGTGGTTTTACCCAATTGCAGAGTCATTTTGCACATTGGCGGACTCTTTCGAATCACTATACAGGATTTTTAGCGTCAGTTGTGAAGTGTGTTTAAGGACACCCGCAGTATTAACCAGGGCGGCCGCCCGGCTCAAACTGCGAACCTCGGCAACGAACGTCAAAACTCGCGACCGACCGGCCACGTTCACCTCCCGCCGAACGACGGCGAAGCGTTCGGCAAATGGTCAACAAAAGTCGAGCAAAGGCGTGGTTTTTTTTGGGCTGCCAATCCACGGTTGGCAGAGCCAAGGCGTCGGCGCAGGCGCACAAGGCGCAGGCGGAGGGGGCGGCGGCGGCGGCGGCGGCGCCGGACGAGACGTCGCCGGGCGGCGCCAAGAAGGCCGGCGAGCGGAGGGACTCGCGTGAGGAGGCGGGCGGGCCGGGGGACTCGCGCGGCTCCGCGACGGGACAGCGGGCGACCAGGACGCTGGGGCTGCAGCGCGCCATCGACATCAGGATGGGCATCACGCCCCTGCTCGACTACTCGCCGCCCATCGGTAGGTCAGGGGTGCCGTCGCTTGTCGCGTTTCGCCGCTGGGTCGTGCGGCATTCGATCGCGGGCGCGCGGACCTCGGTGCGCGTACGTGTGTAGCCGCCCGTGTGCCTTTGTGCGTGCAGCTGCGTGCGTACCTGGACACTGCGCTTACCTGCGTCTTTACGTGCGCAGAAACAGACCTGTACACCTGTGTACATACCAGCGCGCGTACCTATGCTCGCACACAAACGTACCCGCGCGCGTTAACGCGTGCGCTCGCGCCTGCAGTCCCAGGGCTGGGCCGCTCGCTGGGCTTCATGCCCAAAATGCCGCGCCTGCGAATCCTGCACACCTTCCTCTGGTACATCGTGCACGGCCACAAGCTCAAGCAGGAGCCGCCCGCCGCGCTGCCACGGGGAGGGGCGGAGGCCCCCGACGGCGAGGGGTTGGCCGCGGAGAGGACATCGCTCGCGGAGACCAGCGGGGACGGTACGTTGGGCCCCATGCGGTGTTCACACAGAGGACTGTTGGTTTACGCCAAAAAGATGAAGCGCCTGAAGCTAGTTGCTGTAACGTTCTGACCCACCCCTACTGGACATCGGTGAAAAAGAGCTTTGTAGCTAATCGGATTCCTCCAGTATAATTAAATATTCTGATTCGGAAATATTCTGATTCTGATTGTACGACGACGATGAGCAGCGCACTGAACATCAGAGATAAAACGCCTCTTTCAAATGTGTGACCTGACCTTGAAAGCAGTACCACCAAGGTACACCTATTGATGGACGGCTGAATTGGAAGAATTTTCAAGTCATCGTCATCATGATTTATATAAATTCCAGCCATCTGAGCAGATCCCAAAAATCGGAATAAAGACCTCCCGAAGCCATGCCTATTTACCTTACCTCACACTGGTAATTGCAGGTTGATGAACGGTGGCGGGGAGGGCAGAACCGCTGATATTGGCCATGGCCAGGAATCGAACTCGGGTGGCCAGGTTCATAGTGCAGTGTGCTAACAACTGCACCACCCCCCCCCCCCCCCCCGTCATCGTAACACTTGTCGATTTATCAAAAGGCGTTTGCCATCATTATCCTCGTACGACTAGGATGCGCGTTTTTCCCATCATTCCGCTTTTAACTTGAGAACCAAGGGGCCGCCCTCGTTTGCACGCTCGCCCTGCTGCGGGCACACGGCTTCGTTGGCGAGACGGGCGTCGCCAACTCCGGCGTTCTACGAAAGAACAAAGCCCCGCGCCTTTGCTTCACGCGGGGCGCTTTAATCTGTCCCCCGCTCGGTTGTACTTAACGTGCAGGCCCACGGGCCGCCGAGAACTCCAAGGACCCCGGCACGCTCTCGGAGGTGGCCCCCCAGTGGGAAGGAGACCAAAGCGAAGGGCGGCCCTCCGTGGGCACGGGGCAGAGCAGCACCTCGCCGAGCAGCCAAGCGGAGCAGCTGTTTGCGGAGGAAACAGGTCGGGGGGTTGGGTCTGTGGCCGGCTCGCGTGTGAAGCCCCCTCCACCCCCCCCCCCCCCAAAGGCAAACGCGCCTCTCGATTAGAACGGTTGTACGTATGTTGAACTTCTTTTGCACCGTACGACGAACCAACCGTGCGAATCGGAGGTGCGGGGGATGGATGACAAACTAACACACGAAAAGCAGTTGTAAACAAATGAGTTTTCCATCTAGATGATTTAAAAGTGCATAGCTCCGGTGGCTTCCCAATATCGGAAGGAAGAGCGTTCCAGACGGCCGCGGAAGCGCATCCGCAAGCGCGCGATGCGGTGACCATCTTCGTGCAATGGCCAGCCAAAGGCCGCTGCTGCGAGGATGGCTGGAGTCTGGTCGATGATTTATGCTCCTTGACAAGATTGGCAAGACACAAAATAAGTTCCACGTACCTACGACATGCAGTGGCCGAGCGGTAGCGAATTCGTACCGATTCTTAGAATTTTGCGGCTCGACCCTTGACGGCAACCCCGGTTAACTCTCCCGGCGTATTTGCCGTAAACACACGCCCGTCTGCTTAGCAGTGGACGTTAAAAATCCCGTGCCGTTGTTTGAAGAAGAGTCGGCCCAACGCGTGTCGGTGTCGCGGTGCTATATTTGCCAAAGTTGAAAATTATATTTCGAGATTGGAATTCTAGATTCATGCTCTTTGTTTTTTTTCGGTAAAGTCACGTAGGTAAAAAAGAAATAAAATAAATGAAAACTAAATTAAATCACGACGTTTCGGGCGCAACACAAGGGTCCTTCTTCAGGTGTGGACAACGTAGGGAAAGCGTCTTCTGGTCCAACACCAGTGGAGACTAGGCTCTAAGAAAAGCTGTCTCGGGTGTGGACCAAGCAAATTCAAGGACAGTGCATATTATTATCAGAGTTGTCTCTGTTTGCATTTTGACTGCTTGTGTTGTGGTTATTGCAAACGTGATGCCTTGAATAAAGGTGTCAGTTTTTGTGCCAGTTATAAGGGTAAAACCTATTCCTAAAGCACAAACGCTTAAGTGTGTCTCAGAGATGGTTGTGACGAGGGATTATATAGTCGCGGGGCTTGGAGGGAGGGGGGGGGGCATTGTGAGTGTGGGGGCGGGGTGTGGGCTTCTTCTTTTTGGCTTGTTTTCACACTCACCTGGGACCTCTACTAGAGGGGCCTCTTTAGAGCGAGAGGCAAGTTTCATCACATCCCCCTGGCCTCTATCCAGCCAGCCAGCAAGTATAATAACGATAAACTAAATTAAAGCATTTGTTTTTTTTACCTGGTAAGGCCCACTGAGCTAGAATAGCTCTTGTTCACGAGCGACCTGACCAACGAAGTGGCTTATCACGTGGAAATTTATAGCAGCCAAATACTCTGAACGCATGTTGATGATAAATGTAGAGGGAAAAACCGGAGGACCCGGAGAAAAATCTACGTGACCACGAGGAGAACGTGCACAAATATACAGGAGTCAGAGTCGGGATTGAACTCACGACCTCCTGTGTACCAGACGCGGTAGTTAACATCTCGCCACAGTCGATGGGCAGGTCACGCGCGGTGGTGTAAAGCGTGGGTGGTCCCTCAACTGAGCGTCATCAGAGGGGGGGGGGTGGGGGACGGGCTCTCCAGAGCTTCCGCCTAGCGGAGGGCTCTTCTGCCAGCAGTGGCACCAGCGATCAGATTGCTTCTACGAGTGATTCACGCGGACTCTTTGTGCCCCGATCAGTGTACATGGACGTGCAGGACTGGCGCCGGTTCACGCCGCCGGCGCCCATCCACGGGGAGTACGGCGAGGGCTGGGCGCTCGTCAGCGACATCCTGCTCTGCATGCCGCTCTCCGTGTTCGTGCAGCTCATCCGCATCAGCTACCGGGTATGCCGCCCACCCCCTCGCCTCCTACCCCTTCCCGTACTTGCCTACCTTTCCTATACTTTTCGCTCCTATCGTGTTTTTTTATTGCAACGTTCTGACCCGCCCCTACTGGACATATTATGAAAAAGACCTTGATAGCTCATTGTATTCCTTCAGTATGAATAAATATTACTGGTAGGAACCTCCTGGTTACACCAGCCCACAGGGGATTATTGTGTCCGTCCGTCGTGCATCCAAAAATGGGAGGGGTGGGGCTGGGTGGAGAGGGGAGGGTGGGGAGGGGCTGGCTGGGGAGGGGCTGAGTGGGGAGGGTGGGGCTGGGTGGGGTGTGGGAGGGGTGGGGCTGGGTGGGGAGGGGCTGGGTGGGGAGGGGTGGGGCTGGGTGGAGAGGGGCTGGTCACCCCGTGGTGCCCTTATAAAACTCAACGTTTAACCTACTCACGCCGGCTTGTGCCCGCCCTCACAGTCGGGCATATTTGCGGAATACAGCACGTGGTGCCGCCGTTGACCCTGGCCATTGACCGAGCAACCCAACGTCCCTACCAGCTCCCTCCGCAGGAATGTGTTTTGGTTCTGTTCCCGTACCCACCAGGATATCACCTGTGGCTAGCGGTGCTGAAAGGAGAATTTTTGGGGAAGAGCGGTGGGTGTTTAGGGTTGGTAGACCTGGAGTCGATTACAAGCGTAAATGTGTAATTCGTAACGAATTACAATGTCATTGTAACTGTAATTTGAGCTAACAAGCCCATCATTATATAACCTGTCAAGCCCGTCATCAAGATAGCACGGTGAAACCCACCGTCATAATTCCATGGTGAATTGCATCATACCACGGGGAAGCCAATCGTTATAGTACCACGGTGAGGCCCATCATGATACCACAGGTAAGCCCACCATTACGATACCATGGTGAATGCCCACTATTATAATATCATGGTGAATCTTATCATTATGGTACCATGGTGAGGCCCATCATTGATACCACGATGAGGCCCACCGTTATGATACCACGGTGAGGCCCATCGTTATGACACCATGGTGAGGCCCATCATTATGATGCCACGGTGCGGCCCATCGTTATGACGCCATGGTGAGGCCCACCGGTATGACACCATGTTGAGGCCCACCGTTATGATGCCACGGTGCGGCCCGCCGTTACAGCACTGTCGTTGCCGCGCTGCAGGTGGACGGGCTGCAGGAGCTGCTGGACGACCCCGTGAAGAAGCACACGCTGGTGCGCTTCCTCCCCGTCGCCATGAGGCAGCAGCTGCTGTTCAAGCGGTGAGTAGTGGCTCTGCTGCCAGGGAGGGGCCTCCCCTAGGGGCCTTCCCTGAGCCCTTAGAGTCCCGTCTGAGCTTGTCGTCTTGTGGCGCGTTCTGCCACTCCACCGTGTGCTTTCGTTAGCCGAGCGGCTGCTAGGAATGACGCGTGCATTGAACAAAGCCAAGCGCGAAGCTAATTGTGGACGTTGGCCAAATTGTGTTGTTGCTGGCCCTGGGACCTTAACACCAACACGAGGGTCCATTTCCCTTCACCTCCATCACTGGAGGGAGACGACACACACATAATTTATGGTATGAATTTTTTTAACTGGCTAACGTGGTGAATATTTTGTGTTTTTGTTCCCATTTCCAGGAGGTATATTTTCCTGATCTTTGAATGCTTCCAGCGACTCTGGTTCATGGGCCTGCTCCATTTCGGGCCCCTCGAGAGATTCCAGGACAAGGATCAGGTATCAACGGCCGTCCGTGACGACCACAACCAGCCCCAACTCGGACGAGACCAGTCTGCCAGTGTGTTATTGTTACAGACCCCCATCAGAGACCGGTCTCGCAGGCTATTTCTTTCTAGAGACCCCATCAGAAACCAGTCTGCCAGTGTGTTATTGTTACAGACCCCCATCAGAGACCGGTCTCTCAGGCTATTTCTAGAGACCCCATCAGAGACCAGTCTGCCAGTGTGTTATTGTTACAGACCCGATCAGAAACCGGTCTCTCAGTCTATTTCTTTCTAGAGACCCCATCAGAAACCAGTCTGCCAGTGTGTTATTGTTACAGACCCCCATCGGAGACCCGGTCTCTCAGGCTATCATTGTCCAGAGACTCCCATCAGATACCGGCCTGCCAGTCTAATATTGTCGAGACACCGTTATTTCCTTCCCACCTAAATAAGTCTCCGCAGCAGCGTGTGATGCTTGCGACCATGGCGTGCGCACCCGCCGTGACGCAGAGTGCGTGGTTGCGTGCGTGCGTGCCTGCGTGTGTACACGTGCGTGCATGCGTGCGTGCGCGTGTTTCTGCCCGCCGCCTCCCGTCGGCGCAGGTGTTCGTGTACCTGAAGCGGCGCGCCACCGTGGTGGACACGACGACGTGCGAGCCCCACTACAAGCTGGCGCAGAGCTCCGAGCCGTTTGCGCGCCGCACGTACTCGCTGCGCGCCATCGAGGACGTGGATGAGTACTGGCTGCACATGCAGTGCGTGTGCCTCAACACGCCGCTCGGTACGCGCGCGGCCCCCCCCCCCCCACCACCACACACCACCGTGCTCCACCGGCGCTGACGCCGCCAGATTGCGATGTTGAACGTACGTGTCGCGGTCGACGTGACCCCTGACAGCGCGACCCCGCGTTGTGACCCCCCTCCCCGACGCGGCGCGTTGCAGGCGTGGTGCGCAACCAGCAACGGAGCAAGAGCGGCGGCGGGCCCGACGGGGAGGAGACGGAGCAGGGATCGTACGACGACAAGCTGCTCAACAAGAAGTGCAGCATGCTGGAGTACACCTCGTAGGCACTCGCACGCAAACACGCACACACCCACAAAGAAAGAGATCCCCCGAATAGCATCGATAGACTATTGGGTCAAGTGCTGTTAGCGAGCACCTATGAAAGCCGGGCACGGCACACGAGGGGGTGGGCGGCCAACTCGGGTCACCAGGTCTGCTGCACAGCTTGATAACCCACTGCGCCATCACCCCCCCCACCCCCCAACACACACACGTACATACGCACACACGCACGCACGCACAAAGACAAAGATCCCCTGTATTGCCTTTACCACACTGTAGAGGCAAGTACTGTTAGCGAGCGCCTATTCAGGCCAACGTTGCACACGAGGGGGTGGCGTTGCCAGCACCGCACCCGGATCACCGTTGTCTCTCCGGCGGCGATATTTACACACCGCGCACCCGGCAGTGGACGCAGGACGAACAAAACCGTGGCGTCGTTGAAAATAACGCACTTGGAATGTTGGCGCCCCCGCGCTCCAGCAGCGCGTGTGCGTACGCGTTTAGGCGAACGTCGCCGCGGTAACGCGTCCCCGGTGCGGTGCCGCGGCGGTGCAGGGGCAGCAGGGAGGTGCGGGACGACGGCGCCATTCCCGGGGACGGCCTGGGCGCTGGCGGCCTCGACTCGTGCTTTTTCGGGCACCTCAAGCGCAACTGGATTTGGATGTCGTACATCCTGCAAAAGGACAAGCCGGTGGGTAGGAGCGGAGGGGGGCGCCAGCTGCTCCCTTGCGTCTGACGCTTGCCGTTTGCGCCCTGTGACCCCCTTGCCCTGCCCCGTTATCCCTTCGCTCGTGTCTCCTGCGCCCCTCGCAAAACCGCGGTCGTTTGACGGTCACCTGCATCGCGCGCTTTCGGGTGCGCTTCTGCGGCCGTCTAGAAAACGCTCTTCCAATATTGGGAAGCCCGCACTTTTAAGTCATCTCGATTGAAAACTAATTTCTTGACAGCTGCTTATTGTGTTTTAGTTTGTCGTCCTTCCCCCCTCCCCCCGCACCTCCAATTAGCACGGTTGGCCGCGTACCGTATGACAAAAAGTTAAACGTACACACATACTCGGGCTGGGCGGTAGTGGCAGCAGCTGCATGCGCGGGCTGTGGTCTGGCTATGTGGAGGCAGCGAGAGTCGGTGAATCCGCATTAAAGTTGCGAAATTCCCTTCCCGTGGACGTCTCCGGGGGAGGGGGGGGCGGTGCCGTACCGTGGCTCGCCAGAATAAACTAGTTCTCGGCAAGTGTAGACCAATCTCCTTCTGTTCCAGAATCGGAACATTTATTTATACTGGAGGAATCCGATGAGCTATAAAGCTCTTTGTAACTGATGTCCAGTAGGGGGCGGGTAAGAATGTTACAACAACAAACAGAACAAAAAACATGATAGTTGTGCAAAGTATAAGAAAGGTAAAGAAATCATCTAAACACATAGAAATTAAACTAAACAATCCCGATTCTATCAGGCAAAGCCCACTGAGGTATTCACTGATTTTCCAGAAGCGACCTGGCCACAAATGATAGCTCAACAAAGTGGCCCCATCATTTGGACGTTTATAGCACCAATATAATCTTAATGCATGTTTCTAAATGTGGAGGGATAAACCGGAGGACCTGGAGAAAAAAAATCCACACGACCACAGGAAGAACACGGATCCTCCGTGTTTGCGGATTGTGCAGTGTTGTGATATGCAGTTTGCATGAACGGCGCTCTATAAAATCGCTCGGTATTATCGTTGCGCTCGCTATGGGGCAGGGCTTGGACAACCTTTCACTGACCGAGGGCCCAATTGACGTTTCAGATACCTTTGGCAGGCAACCATACGTCAACAGACACACACACACCCCCCTCATTCACTTCTGTGACCGAGCGCACTGAAGTGAGAAGCGCGGCGTTGCCAGTCTGAAAATTTTCCACCCCCTGTAGGATGCTGGCCAGGTGGCTCCAATGGCACTTTCAAAGCGAGCTCTGTGCGACTGGAGCGGTTGTCGCAGGAGGCGGCTGACGGTAGCCGCGCGGGAGTTGTTGCTGCTGCTGCTGCTTTGTGTGTCACTACGAGGCGTGTGGTTGTTGTGCGGCGCGGTGTTGTCGGCAGGACCTCGGGCGCGGTAGTGGCACCTCCACGGTTCGCCTGCAGACGCTGCTACAGAAACCGCTGCATGCCTCGCACCCCATGGGCCGCTTTGGTACGAGACGAGCGTGCTGCGCCATCGCACGCCATCACGTGACTACGTCACCATGCCACCACATCACCACGTGACTACGCCACCACGACTCCACGTGACTACGCCACCATGCCACCAAGTGACTACGCCGCCACATAACTACGCCACTTCGCCACCACGTGACTACGCCACCATGCCACCAAATCACCACGTGACTACGCCACCATGCCACCACATTACCACGTGACTACGCCAGCACGCAACCCCGCCACTGCACCACATCACCAGGGGACCATGCTTGTATGCCACCACAGCACCGTGCCACAACATCACCACGCCGCCTTTTGCCAGCACTGCGCGGCAGCGAGCAATTGCAGGGCCGCGTCTCCACCCTCACCTCCCTCGCCGCGCGCGCAGGCGATGGCGCGAGCGCGGGCGCCGCTGCAGCAGCGACGACGACGATGCGCGGCGCGGACGACGGGGAGTGGCCGGTGGCGCGCACAGACGACGTGCTCCTGCGGAAGGTGGAGGCCGCGAACCGGAACAAAGCGGTGGCGGGCGGCAAGGGGCAGAAGCGCAGGCGGGACAAGCGCGACGCCGAGCCGCGCAAAGCCAGCCCCAAGCGGAAGAAACCGAAGAAACCCAACGGTGCGTAGACCTCGGCGCAGAACCCATCAGGATCTTCAGAGGGAAAGGCGTAAAGTGATTCCGTTTTCACGCTTCGCAGCTCAGGTCGCGTGCATGTATGTCGAACTTGAAGGCCGCCACGGCACACGAAGGGGGTGCCTCCCCAGTGGCGATGTTTACACACCACAGCAGGTACGCATTTTGAGGCTGAGTCGACCTAGAGGAGGCCCATGACGAGGCCCATGACCGGTTCAGATAATCGTCACCGATGTTGGCCATGAGCAGGAATTGAACCCGGCTCGCTGGGTTCGAAGCGCAGCGCGCTAACCACTGCTTCACCACCCACACACACAAAGACACGTATGTATGTACGTACTTATGTTGAACTTTTTTCGCACCATACATAGCCAACCGTGCTTATCGGAGGTGCGGGGGAATGGACAACAAACTATACACAAAGAGCACTTCTCAAGAAATGAGTTTTAAATCTAGATTTAAAATGGCATAGCTGCAGTGGCTTGCTAATATCAGAAGGGGGGGGGGGGGGGGGGGGGGGGGGGGGGGGGGGGGGGGGGCAGGGGAGACCATTAATCCAACAGTGGATTGATCACGACCGTTGTCACCTTTTGCTGCTGGACCAGAATCGCCACGGAAACGCAGGGAGGAGGGGAGCCCCAAGTTGTACTACGACGAGACGGACCGCAGCGCGCTCAGCCGCATGACCAAGCAGCGCGTGGCGTGGACCGAGCAGGAGGACGGCCTCCTGCTGCTGTGTCGCGTCGCCTGCACCATCCTCAACGCCAAGGTGCGGCCCGCCGACGCGCGCGTTCCCCGCTAAATCACAAAGCGTCGGCACGTTGGGTGTTCGCACCGTTCTCGTTGCGCTAGGCCGTCTCGCGTTCGGCGCAGAACCGCCGTCGGGGGCGATGCGTAATCCCACTCGAGTTGTTTTGCCGCAGGCCAATAATTCAATTGCGGTCCATGGAAACGGCACGCATGGCCTAATCGCTTTAGAATAACGTCGCGATGTGTGTCTGTGGCTGTGCGCTTGCGTGTGCGCGCCGTGGGGGAGCGGTAGTGTAGCGGTTATCGCACTGCACTACGAACCCGGCGAACCCCCGGGGTTCGATTTCCGCTCACGGCCAACACCGGTGACGATTGTCTGAACCGGTCCTGGGCCTCCCCTAGGTCGACTCGGCATCCAACGAGTACCTGGTGCGGGTTTGTGTGAACGTCGCCAACGCCCTCGTGCGCCGTGCCGGTTGTCACGTGCTCGCCAACGACACTGCTGAGGCTATACGGGGCGCCTTTGTCTTTGTGCAGGTGCGCCGCCCGTTTGTGCCGTGGCAGGTGATCCGTGACGTGCTGCACGCCGAGTGCGTCAGCTCGCTGGACAAGACGTCGCACGCGGTGGCGCGGCGCTCGCGCTACATCCTCAAGAACTCGTGCACCGACCTCAACTACAGGCACGGCGCGCGCCACTCGCGAGCGATGACCGCGACAAACAAGCGCGCGTCGCGATGACGCGGCTGAACCCGCGTGAACGTCGATCCTTAGGCTCGCGATACGCGAGTAAGAATGGTGCGCGTAAGAATCGATTATTTTATATCGCGGCAAATCGTCGGAAGCAAACACACGACTTGTGCAATCGAGACTGAGGAGACAGAAATGCAAACAAAAGGGAAGCAACAAATTATGAATTCTTTAATCAAATCGTGACCCTGGTGGGTGAATCGTTTAACACCTTTGGGGCGAGCAGCGCTGCCCGTCAGCATGATGGGACCGTCCCGGGCCTCGCCGTCAGCCGTCTCTGTGGTACCGCAGGATCTGCTTGGCGGAGGCGACGCAGGACAGCAAGCTGGTGGAGGAGATCATGAACCGGACTGGCGACTACGGGAACCCTCAGGTGAATAAAGCAACCAGCTCATCCCCCCCCCGCTCGTCACCCACGCTCGTCCTTCCCCCGCTCGACCCCCCCTGCTCGAACCCCCCCGCTCATCTTCCCGCGCTCGCTGTCGGCCGCGAGCAGGTCTGTGCGCTGGAGTTCACGGAGTTTGTGCAGCGGCTGAGGGCGAAGTTCCGTCCCAACCCAGAGACACTTCAGATGGACATCCCCGACTCCCTCGAGGAGCTCTTCCGCAAGTGGGTGCTCCCCCCCCCCCCACCTCCTCCTCGTGCCGCTACCACCGCCACCAACACTACTACCACCACCGCCACCACCGCACCTCTCCGTCCCACGACCAGTTTCTCACGGTCAAGTCAAAGAATGTTGACACGTAAAATGAGCACATTTAAGCAAAGGGCATTGCAGCCTTTCCGCATACACACGGGGTGGTGGTGGGGGGGGGTACAGCAGAAGACATGACAGATCGGTACTCATTCCGCTTAGCGTTAAACGTTTGTTTAGAGTTTATTTCACATCGACTGTCGCTTCCCGCCAGAGTGTTTGCACACTCTCCTATTTAAACAAGATCACGCTACGTGGCTTCTATACTGCGGAGCTGTAGGCTGCTGGGTTCTAGACTGTCGCACGAGCTCAACCTGAACTCTGACGGTCACAATTGCCGAGCGGTAACGTCACGGCTGTGACCGGGAGCCGCCGCCGCCGCCTCTGTGATACCGCGCCGAAGCTTCCCCCTCTCGCCCGTGTCCCCTCTTCGCCGGCAGGTACCGCGTGATGACCGTGTGGGAGGAGAGCGGCAAGAAGGCACGTCCTGAGGCCAACAGGTACGACGCTCAAAAGCTTCCATCGCCAATCTCGGCCACGCCGGCGCTGCTCCCAGCGCGCAGAGGAGCGGGAGATGATGGAGCAGGGACGCGCGAACGCAGCGAATCCAGGCAGGATGCCGACGCTTGAATAGTTTGTCACGGTCGCGATTGGCCGTGACATATCCACTGCTGGATGCCACAATCCCATCCAGCTCCTTGCGCGCGAGCTGACATCGTCGCTCCGTCTAGGCGTTGGTTTGGATCTCCGGCACAAGCTCTGCGGTGACATCACCGCAGCTTAATTGCGAACGGCGACTGTTGCCGGTGGTGTCATTTCATTCAGTAACTAATCTGGGGGTAAACTGGGTCTAGCACGTGACCTCCTGCCAACGATCCTTCAACACTTGACATGGCCTCAAAGTGCATCTAGCCTGGCACAAGCGCCGCCGTGACATCACTGCCATTTAGTGGCGATTGGCGGCTGCTGCTGCTGTTGTTGTATGTACATGCGCGCGCTGCGCGTGTGTGTGTTTGTGTTCATAGGTGCTCGCTAACAGCACTTGCCCCAACAGTCTGTTAAGGCTATACGAGTGATATTTGCCTTTGTTTCTTGTCCGTGTTCAGCTTGGATGACATTCACGCCATGGTTCTGGAGAACTTCATTCAGAGCACACTCGCTCTCTCCGACCGCCAAGTCAAGAACAACCTCGCCTACCAGGTGGGCCAAGGCCGTTCCACCCCGTCCGGCAGAAGTACATACACACAAATATGAACAGCAACAACACAAATTTGAGTTTGTATCGCGACGAAATGCAATCGCGTCTCAAGACGCTGCACAGAGGAGATGCGGCGACACCGCGGCACAGCCCAGTGACGACGCGACCGGGGGGGGGGGGTCCCTGCACCAACGACATCAACAACGAAGCCCCCCCAGGAGCAGTAGGGAAGCATCCTGGGCAGCGCCGACGAGTCCCTGGGCGGCATCATCCTCCGTATGATGTTTTCCGTGATTACATTTTTTTTAAGCGTCTTGGAATGTGATCGCATTTAGAATGGCTGACAACAAATAAAACGCATTCAACGTGAATGGCGTTGGCTAAACATCTAACTGCTATATTTTTTTTCAAATCGCCTGCAAAAGTACTCAATTTGGTTTACACACAGATACATTGCCCCCACGCCCCCCGCCTCCTTCAAAACCTTGGCAGGACCCTCCTGAAAAAGAGTCTTGAGACTTGTCGAGGCATTCCTGGGCAAACCAGCGTTGTAATAATAATAACAGAAGCTGTACAAATATAAACGGTTGTTGTGCACCCGCCGTGTGACTCTGTTCCACGCAGATCTTCCGCATCTACCAGCACTACTCGGAGCAGGTGCTGCTGTCCACCTTCCAGCGCTACGCCCAGCGCGGCCTCGTCAACCGCCGCCGGATCAGCAAGCAGATCGGCCCCAAGAAGAGCCGCGCGCTGCCCTTTGCGCCCATGTCCTACCAGCTCTCGCAGGGATACTACCGGTGAACGCTCGCGTGCGCACGGTTTTCCGTAGGCATACAGACAAATGCATGGTTACGCCCGCTGTTTTATGACCCCTGCTCGCCGTTCACGTTCGTCACGATCAATTACCAAGCACTGTGCCGACTCTGTTAGCATTTTACGCAAGTCGGCACGACCGACACCCCACGGCAGTGGCAACAGCCATGCCAGAGTATTAAATATGGCAGCCCTCGGCGCACGCCGGGTGACGAGCGAAGGCCGGGGGCCCGTTGCTGACGGTCTCCGGTCTCGCGCAGGTTCTTCACCTGGCGGTACCTGAGCTCCCTGCTCACAGAGGCGCACCGCTTCATGCGCGGTCTGCGCGACGCCGGCGCCGAGGACAAGCCCAACCTCGTGGTGTTCCACGGCCGGGAGCCCGCGGTGACGGCCGCACCGGCGGGGTCAACGGCGGAGTCAACGGCGGGGTCAACGGCGGGGTCACCGGCGGGGTCAACGGCGGGGGCGATGTTGGAGCCACCTGCGGGGGTACCGGCGGAGGCACAGGCACCAGTGGGGGTGACCTGTGGCTCAGCGGCCTCAATGACGACGGGAGCTGGTGGCGTGGGTGGCGGTGGCGGCACCGGCACCGCGGTGACCTACACGATGGATGCGCCGGGCGGGGCCTGCGCGTGCGTGCTGGCGCTCATGGCGATGGGCCGGCTGGCGTGCGAGCTGGAGATCCCCGAGCAGATCGTGGTGGTGGACAGTACCATGGTGGACAGCGCCGTGCTGAAGGCGTGAGTCTGTGATCTGCGGGACGACCTCTGCGCCCCACCCCCCTAATAACCCCCCTGCATGTGCGGTGGTCTGTGCTCCCGTAGTCAACGTTTAGTCTAGTTGAGTCTCAGTCTGTGGGTTTCATGCAGTCATTCCCTTAAGTCTTGCCGACTAAAGCAGCCAAACACTTCGCCCACGCAATCCAGTGCAAAAGGAGTTCAACTTACATACGTGTCTTTGTGGGGAGGGGGGGCGGTGGAGCAGTGGTTAGCATGCTGCGCTACAAACCCGGCAAACCGGTCCTGGGCCTCCCCTAGGTCAACCGAGCCTGGCGCAGTGTAGAAACATCGCCACTGGGGATACAAAGGCGGGCGAGCGTGGTGTTGGCTACCCACCCCCTCGTGTGCTGTGCCGGCCTTCATAGGTGCTCGCTAACAGCACTTGCCCCAACAACAGTGTTAAACGCTACATGGTGGACCTTTGTCTTGTGCGTGCGATCGCGCGTTTCAGGCTGGTCCACGAGAACTCGGACGACGATGACGACGATGAGGAAGACAACGAGGAGGACGATGACGAGAGCGGGCAGCAGGGGGCCGGTGGTGTCGGGGGTCGCCAGCGGGTCGACGTGAACCCGCGGCAGTCATCGCGCGTCAGCTACCTCCTCATGAAGGGCTATTACGTGCCAGGGATCGTGGGCATGCGCAACCTCAACCCCAACGACAATATCGTTGTCAACTCTTGCACCGTCCGCTTCCGGCTGCTGCCATCGCCCCGCCCCTATGGGCTGCCCTCACGCTACGGTGAGCCACGCGCGCGTGCCGAACGCATGACGCCCGCTAGGACAGATGCCACCCGTCCGAGTTGTTGTCAAAGAGCAGAAACCATCATCGCGCGAACTCCGGTCATCTTCGCAGCAGCGGCTTTATGCTCACCATCGAACAAAGACGGTCACCGCATCGCGCGCTTTCAGATGCACTGCTTCTGCGGCCGTCCGGAACGCTCTTCCTTCTGATATTCGGAAACCACTGGAGCCATGCACTTTTAAACCTCGATTGAATACTAATTTTTTTTAGAACTGCTGTTTGTGTTTAGTTTGTTGTCCTTCCCCGGACCTCTGATTAGCACAGTTGGCTGCGTAGGGTGCGAAAGAAGATCAACATACGTACATTGTTATTTCGCTCGTTTACCCGTGAGAGCCTCAGTCTCAAACAGTATTTTTCAGGATCTTGCCAAGTTTTCGGAGTGGGCGGACATGGGGTGGGGGGGGTGCAGGCAGTGGCAGGCGGGCGATTGCTGATTGCTGTGCGTTTCCCAAGACATTAATTTGCTATTTAATATTGAAAATGTGGCAACGTCACACTTATGAATCGGACGACGCGTGGCAGTAACCAGGGCGGCCAAGAGGCCCGAACCATGAACCTTTACAACAAGCGGCGAATGCGCTATCGCCACTACTGCTCCGTCGTGACCACCGCCCCTCCTTCCCCGAGCCTTGATCCCTTTTCCTGCGCAGACGCGATGGACATGAGGGAGGGCGTGGAGCTGCTACCGCCTTGGTTCTCGGCGGTGATGGACGGGGAGGAGCCAAGTCGGTCCGAGCCGGCGCATTACGATGACGACGAGGTGGTGAGGCCTTGCGACGGTCCTGTTAAATCAGGGGCGTAACGATTATTTTTACTATTAAGTAATCGATTACTTTTACAGATCCACGACCGATGAGACAAAGGCACATGCGCTTGACGCTGGCCACACAACCCACTTTTTCATTCATCTGAGTCCCACTTGAGCTGCTTGGGTCCCTAGGCTTTTGCTTAGTGTGTCAGGCCAAGTGTGGGATTTGTGTGCTATGTTCGTGCGTGCAATGTGGAAGTGTGCGTGGCCGTCTGTGGTGCGAAGGCTGGGGAGCGGTAATGCAGCGGTTAGCACTCTGCGCTTTCGAACTCGGCGACCCGAGTTCGATTTCCGCTCACGGCTAACACCAGTGGCGAATATCAGATCTGGTCCTGGGCTTCACCTAGGTCCACTTAGCTTCGAATGAGTACCTGGTGCTGTGTGTAAACATCGCCACAAAGGCGGCCTTCATAGGTGCTCGCTAACAGTACTTGCCTTAAACGTCTGTTAAAGTTGTATGGCGGTGGGGGGGTGGGGGGGATCTTTGTCTTTTGTGCGTGCAGGATGTCCCAGCGGTGCTGGGCGTAATCCGCACGGCGGGGGTGGCGGGGGTGGACATGGCTCGGCTGACCGCCGCCTTCCCTCACATGGCACAGAAGTCGGAGGTCGGCGGGCCCACCCGCTGGCACGGGCTGCTGCAGGTGGGCAGTCGCCGGCGCGTGCCTTGTGCGACGATCGGCCCAACCCCGCCGTCGATGTTCACGCCGGGTTCGCGTAGATGACGACGATGTCTGCGTCGCGCATGCGACTCCCAGGGCTCGTCGCGTTGATATATTACAGTATACACTTGCTGGTGTAGAGCATGGGCCATGTCACCATTAGAAACCAACTAGATGCAGGGTGAAGTTAGTGCTTGTGTTCTGTGCGTGCGTGTGTCCGTGCGTGCGAGCCAGACCCTGGAGAAGCAGGGCGCCGTGCTGCAGGTCGGCTACACATCACGGAGGGTTGTGACCCCGGAACATGCCCACGCGTGGCTCGTGCGTTGCTCCCGCACCGATGACATGGAGAGCGGCGGCTGTGCCGGCGCCAGCCAGAACGCCGAGGACGCGGGTGCCGGAGCGGAACTCTCCACGATCGAGAAGGCAGCCGACACCGGCACCAAAGCCGGCGCAGGCCCGGGCAGCCGCTCGCCCGACCGCTCGCCCAACCGCCCAGAATGCAAAGAGGTCATTGTCACGAACGGGAATATGAATGGAGGCGCGGCCACAGAATTGGAAACTCAAAAAGCCGTCGCGATAGATGCATCGGCTGACGACGGCGACGACGACGACGGCGAGAAGGAGTGGAGGGTGAAGGAATGTGCGGTGGAGGTGGTCACCTCTACTGCTGACATGGCCAAAGGGTGTCAGAAGAGAGCTCTGACCACAGTGCACGACGACGATGATAACGACGGTAACAATGCCGTGGGTGGTGACGCGGACGAGAGTGTGCGCTCTGCGGGCACGAAGAGGGCGAGAGTGGACATCGCGGATGTGTGCAACGGGGGCGGCGCGAGAGATTTGGAAATCACAGCGCAGCAAGACACCTGTGCTGGGCCCAAGGAGACCTGTACCGTGGGAGATGAGACCGTTAATGGATCCAGGGACACCGGTACTGTGCGAAGAGAGTCATACACTGGTTCAAGGGAGACCTGTGATGGGTCCAAGGAGATCAGTACTGTGGGACCGGAGACCTGTGATGGGTCCAAGGAGATTAGTACTGGACCCACGCCGACCTGTACTGTTGGAACGGAGACCTGTGATGGGTCCAAGGAGATTGGTACTGGACCCACGCCGACCTGTACTGTGGGAACGGAGACCTGTGATGGGTCCAAGGAGATTGGTACTGGACCCACGCCGACCTGTACTGTGGGAATGGAGACCTGTGGTGGGTCCATGGAGATCTGTACTGGACCCACGCCGACCTGTACTGTGGGAACGGAGACCTGTGATGGGTCCAAGGAGATCTGTACTGGACCCACGCCGACCTGTACTGTGGGAACGGAGACCTGTGGTGGGTCCATGGAGATCTGTACTGGACCCACGCCGACCTGTACTGTGGGAACGGAGACCTGTGCACGGAACCCGTCGAGCGTGAAGCAGGATGCACCGAGCGCCAGCAGAGCGGACGGGACGGGGTCCAGCGTCCGCGGTGGCACGTGGGACACGCAGGGGCTCCCCGCTCACCGCACAACGGGGTGTGTTTTGCTTGCTAACGCTCTCCCAACTGAGGTTGAACATCGATGCAGTAGTTATGTCCGTCTGGATGTCTTTAAAACGGGGTCCCGCGATAATATTTCAGTCGAAATTTGCGTTGCTTGTAAGGACTTTACCTGATAGACAACCGGCCACATTGATCAATGGAGTTGGTCACACACTTGGGAGACCCCAAACGAGTGCAAAAAGGATCCACAACATCGGCGCCAAAAGAAGGTCCGCACCTCCCTCCCGCTGCTCGATGTCATGACACGTGACGTCACCTCGCGACATCACATGTCATACATGCATTGTCCCTCTCGCACATCTGCGTACGTGCTTATGCATGTGTGTGCAAGGTAAGAGCTCCAGAGACACAGGATGGATCTCGTTTGAAAGAGTCACCCGAGGTCACCAAAGTTACCAAAACGAAACACCAAAACTAAGTACAGCAATGAAGGAAAGCAATCTGAACAAAAATAAAAACACCATCGAATGAAGAATAAAAAATATTTGCAACCATACATCAACGTTAAAGCTAAATATTTGCATGCGTGGGCGAATTATTAGTTTGTTGTTCTTCCCTCCACACCTCTGATTAGCACAGTTGGCTACGTACGGTGGCGAAAGAAGTTCATCGTACGTGTGTGTACTTGTGTGCGCGCGTGCAGCGAGCGCAGCGCGGTGCGCTTTGCGGCGAGGCCGTGGCGCGGCGTGCAGGGCGAGCTCAACACCCCCGTGTGCAAGGGCATGCTTGAGGCTCTGTTGCTGCACGTCATGAGCCAGCCCGGCCTCCCCGAGCACCGCCTGCTGCACCACTACGCCGGGGTGCTGCAGCCCCAGGTGCTCCGGGAGCTGCTCATGGTGAGTGGCCTTGCACGGGTGGAAGGGTCAGGTTTGGGGAAGAGTTAAGGTTAGGGGTAAGGATAGCAAGGGTAGCATTAGGGTTAAGGGTAGAGTTAAGGTTAGGGGTAGCTTTGTGCTCTCCCAATTAAGTAATTTGTGGGTTACTTTTCAAGTAAAGCAAATTTGAACTATTACGTGGGCGCACAATGGGGTAATCTTTTTCGATCAAGGTCATGGACGCTTTTAATGCCCACTGTAAAGCAGATGGTGCATACTATATATGGTTAAAACATCCACGGTATTAACCAGGGCTGGTTGCTGGGCTCGAACCGCAAACCTCTGCGCAACAAACGTGCCACGTCTGTCACGGCTCGCACTTAATACCACGCGGTACATCCCCGAAACTCATGGGACCGCTAAAAAAAAACCTACAGAGCAAGACAATGGCTTCCTCCGTGCTGTGCCACCCGCCAGGTTCTGGAGGAGCTCGGCTGTGTGCGGAGGCTGCGGTTATCACGGCGATCCAAGGTGACCGCGTTCTCGTCGCCCTGGCGGAGGGACGAGGTCCCGTCCCCGCAGGGGGAGCCGCTGAACGGCGGCGATGACGACGATGACGGCTGCTCCCTCTTCCTGGAGCCCACCGTGGACGGGATCCTGCGTCTCGGCCGCCTGCTGCCCGACGAGGTCAACTGGAACCACTGTGCGGCGATGACACAGAGCTAGCCCCACGCGGCGGAGGTCGCCATTCGCGCAACACTCGCCTCCCACACAAAACGGACAACGGCAAACCGTTTCGGCAAAAATACGCAACCGACCGGGGTGCCATGGGCAACCAGCGGAGCCGTCCCTTGGGTATGGTGAATCTGGGCGACCGCCCCGTGCTTTGGGGGGGTGGGGGCCGCGCATTTCCATTACAGTGTCGGATGAAACACTTTGGGTTTAGTTTGAAGGCGTCGGGGGGGGGGGGGGGGGGGGGGGGGGGGGGGGTGCCCACACTGGAGTGGTTTGCTTCGGGGACCCGCACCCCCTCTTTGGACGGGCACTGGTGTCCGGCGTCGCGTTCAGACGACTGCTGGTACCGCATGCCAGCGCGTCCGGGAGTGGTCGAGTCCAAAACCCCCAGCACCACCCGCCAACGATCCCAACCACTGTAACTTCCAAACCGAAAGCACAGCCGATTGTTTTCATCGTAGGTGTCGTCGTGCTGGGCCGGCTGCTGTCCACTCCCGGAGGCCTGGTTCCGTGGTTTCTCCTCTGGGACGCATTTGCGGGCCGCGGCGCGGCTGCTGTTTTTATTGCCGATTTTGCACGCGAGCGTTTCAGGTGGGGGGGGGGGGGGGGGGGGGGGGGAGGGCAAGGCGGGCGGCCCGTCCACACGTTGCTGGCAGAGCGTGGTTGTGGTTTTACAGACCGGCGGGTTTTGATGAGCGTTGTTCTACCCTTGCACGCATCCTGCCGCGCAGTCGGTTCCAGTTTGATTTTAATTGGTGGCAGAGCTCATTGGCTTTTTGGTGGTGCGCGATGCCAAAAGGGAGTTTTAATTAGTTTTATTGTACAGCAATTTGTAGATATTATGCCTTGCGCTTATCCTGTTTATACTCGCATCATTTGACAATGCTATAAACAACTCTTCTGTTTATTGGGAGTTTTATTTATTTGCTTTTGAGATACTGTGAGGGCGGTTAATCGGAAGCCGATGCTGAAACGGTGACATCGGGCGGTTTTTCTCCCCGACGCGCGTTTAACCCCACGTGAGCGTGGCGAGACGTCGTCACCGGTTACGTGATGTCAGCCTTCTGCCCGTGTCATGGTAACATACAAATACGTTCGAGGAAGTTTTTCAAAAACCACAGGATATATGATAAAAAGAGTGGTGGGGGGGGGGGGACATGAGGTTTTGGCCAGCTTCGTAAGACAGGCAACTGGAGCCCCGGATTCATCGACGCTATTCATTTATTTGGAAGCACAACTGAGTCTGCATTCTTCCCAGAGTTGACGTTAATTTTCGTCGCATTCAACCAAGCACCCCGGATTACACGAGCAACGGCGTTCGGAAGATCTCCCACGATTACTCAAACCCGAGGCCCCGACGCCACACCACGGAAATTCAAGCATAAATGTAATGCTTTTAAGTTGAAAACAAGTACATTTAAAATAAAATACTAAAGTGACGAGACCCTTGTTTTGCCCGGTTAGGTGGGTTGGAGGTGGGGGGGGGGGGGGCGTAGGAATTTTATTTTCTCAGCCGTGCAGGAGCTGCCGAGGGTAGGGGTACCAAAGAGCACAAAGTCCGGCTCGTAGAGCTTGTAAAGCCGCTCGCCTCCAGTCGAGCGGGATTCCCGCCAAACCAGCGGTCCTCCCAGCGGTCGTCTGTGCGGTTCAGAAACCCCGGCGGGAAGCGCAGCTCGTCCTGCGCTTGCAGCAGCCGCCAGCAGGTACGGCGCGTTCCTCGCTCTGCGTCTCCAGCCGGCCCACGAAGTCGTACGGCACCTGGCACGGGTGGCACAGGCGGTACACCTGCCGCCAGTGCTCGTTGAAGGGCGCTTCGCGCTCCGTCGCCGGGTCCAGCAGGTACTGCACGAAGCTCGAGAATTTGAGGCGCTGGCCGCCCGCTCAGCGCCTCCTCGGCCGTGGCCGGCGGCGCCGACACGTTCTGGTATTGGCGCAGCATGGGCACCACGAACGCCTCGTAGAAGTCCTGGTTCGGGATCTCGAACTTGCTGCGGAAGGCCGAGATGATCCGCACGAACGGGTCGCGCACGAACAGGAACTTCTTGTAGCGCTGCAGCTTCCCCTTCATGCGGCTCCTGCCCGACTTGCCGTACTTCCTCCAGAACTGGTTTGAACACCTGGTGGCTGGAGGAGAGGTGCACCACGTCGGGCGGGATGTCCATGGGGTCGGCGTATGGCGTGCCGTTGTTGCTCGCGCTGCCACTCAGCACGATCATGATCCTCTTCCAGTTGGTGCACGCCACCTTGGGCACGTAGCAGTACACGGTGCCGTGCCGGTCGTCCACGATCAGGTGCTTGAGCTCGCGGTTCGGAATCTCGTCAAAAGTCCGGTTCTTGCCCGGAAATAAGAGGTCGGGGCTGTCGCAGGCGTGGCGCACCCGGGCGCGCCGCCGCGCCTGCTCACGCGCCAGGCGGTCGTCGTCCGCCGCCCCCGGCTCCGCCGTCGCCTCTTTCTCGTAGCCCCCTCTCCCACTCCTCGATGTTGGCCTGGCTCAGCACCGCGGCCGCCCTTCGCTGTTCCTCCGCCGCCACCGCCGTCTTCGCGGGGGGCGGCACCGGCTGCTCCTGCAGGCGTCGCTCGGCCGTGCCCGAGGACAGCCTGAGCTCGCCGAGCAACCGCTGGGTGTCGGCCGAGTGCCATCCCGTCGGCTTCCTCCCGTCGCCGGAAATGTTTGGCAGAGGCGGTGGCAGCGATGCGTGGTGGCCCAAGAGGCTGGTGCGGAGAGACAGCTGCACGGTGCCAACCTCGTCCCAGTAGAAGACGATGAGGAAGACGGTGAGGGCGGATGCGACCAGGCCGGCCACGTAGCACGCCCGCCAGTAGCTCATCTTGCGGGCGCGTGGCATCGCAGGGCGCCTGCTGCCAGGGCGCGCCGGGCACTCACATGCTCAACCGCTCGCCTGAGGAACGCACAGAGTTGCGAAGAGTGTGCGATTGCGTGTGCGCGTCTTTGTTGTGCGTTTGTGCGTGCGCGGTGAGATTTTAATGCAGGGTGTGCACGATCGTTGTGGCGAGCGGCATGGAAACCACCCACGCAGGAGCGTACATAGTTAGGAAAGGCGAGAACCCATTGTGACAAGACAACCCTCCCTCCACTGGCAAAAGCCACAGCAGGAAAGTTGAAGCAAACAATGCATGATAACTACAGCCAGCGTTCTGTGCAAGCACGCATTGGAACACGTGTAGCAAATGGTAGAACATTCAGTTAAGAACTTTTTAACAAGGCAAAGGAAAACATTTGCTAAAGCAACGGCGTCTACGAACAAGGTGCTGTTTTGTATAAATAAAGGCTGGCAAAACTCAGTGGCGCCACATCTGGTGGGCTGGGAGGCCCCATACTGGTAACCACTGCCACAAACACCATCATCACCACCTTCCACAAATATACTGCAACCCAGCACACCAACATAACCACACCACCTGCCACCAAAACACTGACCACCACAAACACCGAAGAACTGCTGTATTACAGCGATACACTGTGCTGCTCCTGACGGCGGTTGTCTGGCTTGACCACCTGAGTGTAAAATCGGTAGTTCGGTAGTTGTTCCTCTGCATCTACAACAGCCGTACGGACGAAGAAAAAGGCCAAAGCACCTGTACCGCCAGCCACAAACACTAAAGCAATCGCTACAACAATCAACACACCCAACATAACCACCACAACCAGCACTCTAACGTCACAACCGCCGCCGCCACCACCAGAAACGCTCCAACCACAGCAACCAGCCCCACCAAAGCAACCACAACCGCCACCCACCGTACCTCGGTCAGCTGCTGCTGCTGCTGCCACGTGCACGAGGAGTCGCAGGGCGTGAAGGGGGGGGGGGGGGGAGTGGCACAGCGCTGCCAGTGTCACCGCGACCATGAATGCGAGCTGTGTTCCCCAGGGCCACGCCACTCATTTCTCCGCGAACCGCGATTCCCCGGGCTGGAAGGAGGGAGCAGGAGGAGGAAAAAAAATAAAATCACGCGCGTGGGTTTGCGATGTTTTCGTGGCACACGTCTGTCCGTGTCTCTTTACTGTTGCTTTCATTTTCTGACTCATCAGCTACGGTCAATCCACTGTTATATGAAAGCCTCCTCCCCCCCCCCCGCACCCAAGCTGCCACCATCTCTTAACAATGCCCTGGTGTAGCAATCCACCTTAGCACCCGCCCGCAGCACGAGTTCAATCTCGTCGCTACATCTGCCCGGGTTGACGTAGTCTTGGGCGAGTTCCATTCCTTGGCCGCCACTCCGTCATTCTTGACCACCGGCTACCATCCATGCTGGCCATGACGTGTCCTGCCTGAAACCCACTGACTTTTCTTCTTTCCACAGTTTGATGACATTAGATGGCCTGTGTTCTCTCATCCACGTGCTCCTCTGTATCTCATTATGAGTTCCAAGCGTGTACCCCTCTCCACGCTTCTTTGTGGCACTTTTCAGTTTAAAGTCAGAATCAGAGTCTTTATTTATACTCGAGGATTCCGATGAGCTATGAAAGCTGTTTTTCACAGACGTCCAGTATTTCCGACGTTATTTTCATTTCAACATTTATATTTTTTGCGAATATAATCTTAAGCTTTTTTTTTCATTTCAAACAGGAACCTTGAAAATATAAAAAAACCCCGCGAAAATATTTATATTGGTTTATGAAAAATGTACTATACAAACACCCACGGCTGTTAGAGGCTGAGTCCTCCAACTGAAAGGAGGCCCGTGTGTCTGTGGCCCCTGAGTGCCAAAGTCCTCCTGCAAGTGTGCTCCTGCTCTAATTACCACGCGTGACCTTGATTGTCAGGTCAATTAAAACACTAAAATATATGCGGGGGGGGGGGCGGGTTGCTGATAATTGGCGATGGAGACGTCACCTCAAATAGGGTATGGATCGTGCAGCAGACTGCGCCTGCAATTCCAATTCATATTACGGGATTCTGTGTCTGGGCTGCGCAGTGGTTAACAATCCCGTGGGCCTCACGGCAATAAGTTACCTGGGTTCGATTCCCCACTCGGGGGCCTTTCGATGTCAATGTGTAACTATCTCCACCGCCCCCGTTCTGCAAGGTACTCCGGTTTCTTCCCATAGTCAAAAACGGCTTAAATAATCGGTGTTGGCCAAAACATCCCAAATGCACGACCCTCCCGATAACCAGTATATTTAGAGAAAATATGTTACACTACGTACTGTTTAGTGATTCATCGTATTGTCATCGTCATGTACGACTGACTGCATGAGGTTACATCTCGAGGCGCCCCAACGAAAATGGGTTTTACAGATGAGTGCTTGCAAAGCGAATACTGCACAACGTGGAAAAGCAACGCAGTTGTAGACAACCTAGACGGAAAATGGGAATAAACACTTGACAATTTATACATAAAGAGGGTTTTGGGTTAGATCGTGTAAACATAAATGTGTCGTTAAACCCGCCACCACCCGACAGCCAACTAGTAAGGGTTGACACGTAAACAGAACGTGGCCAATTCGTCACTAGTACAGCAACACCGGTTGTGTGTTGGAGAGCCAAGCCACAACATTTACAAACTTGAGTACGTTGTTTCGCCAGTAATTACAACTAGCTTCATCAGGCGGCAGCCAGATTTGTGGATGAGTCCACCTGTTTCGTTCCTTATATAGAGGCGTAGATGTGGTGACCACCCTTCTGCGCTCTTACACAATGTGGGGGGCAATTACTGAGGCCACGTACATTATGCATGCGCATTATGCAAGCCCCCTAAATGTTGTGGGTGGCCAGCAACCACGCCCGGCCGCCTTTGTCTCCCGAGTTTACACGCACTGAACCGGGTGCTCATTTGAGGCCGAGTCGACCTAGGGGAGGCCCGGGATCGGTGCAGATAATCGTCACTGTGGTGTTGGCCGTGAGCGGGAGTCGAACTCGGGTGGACCGGGTTCCTAGCGCAGCGTAGCGCTAACCGCTACATTATTGCTCCCCTACTTAAATACACACCACGTACACACCACGTGCACACCACGTACCTACTCGCACTCACACCACACACAAACCACCCACACACACACACCACGTACCTATCCACACACAAACCACCCACACACCACCCACCTAACCACACAAACCACCCACACACACACCACCCACCTAACCACACAAACCACCCACACATACCACCCACCTAACTACACAAACCACCCACACACACACCACCCACCCACCTACCCACACCACCCACCTACCCACACACACCACGCACACACACACACCACCCACCTACCCACACACACACACCACCCACCTACCCACACATCCACACACACAAACCACCCACACACAAACCACACACACCACCCACCTACCCACACACACCGCCCACCCACACACACACAACCCCACTAAATTACACGTACGTAGGTACAATCCTTGACAACAGCTCCTCGTCCACGCGTACACACACGCCTTGTATAACTTCTTTCGCACCGTACGTCGCCCGACCGCGCTAAATCAATTACACCCGCGTCGGGGGACGTTCAGCTCGGAGGTCCGTGCGAGTTCCAGAGTTGGACTGATCTCCCCCCACCACCACCACCCCCCAGTATCCCGTCCCCACGCCGCCCTCCGTTACCGTGCGCCGCTTAAACGGAGGCCGTTGTTCCGGGTCGCTCCGCGTCTCCTCCGCCGCCGCCGCCACCACCACCACCACCATCGTGGTCAACATCCGATCCACGAAGGCTGAAAAATCCCGGGGGCAACGCTAGGCTTGGACTTCACACGGCGGCTGGCGAAAAGCTGGTTTGGAGGTTGTTGCGAGAGAGAGATGAGAGATGAGATGGAGAGCGGGAGAGAGGGAGGGAGGGGAGGGGAGATGTTTGTTGCAGGATTCGATGCGGCCGAGCGCGTTCTTGAAGAATAAAAATCAAATGCGGCCCCCCGTGACGCGTGAGATCGTCATCGGCGTCCGAGGCAGCTCAGGGCTCGAGAGCGCTCGGAGGTGACGTCACGGGAACACCTCCCCCCCCACCTCCCCCCCCACCGACCTCCCCTCCCCCCCCACCGACCTCCCCTCCCCCCCCCACCGACCTCCCCCCCCCCCCACCGACCTCCCCTCCCCCCCCACCGACCTCCCCCTCCCCCCCCCCACCGACCTCCCCCCCCACCGACCTCCCCTCCCCCCCCACCCGACCTCCCCTCCCCCCCCCCACCGACCTCCCCTCCCCCCCCCCACCGACCTCCCCCCCCCACCTACCTCCCTCCCCACCGACCTCCCCTCCCCCCCCACCGACCCTCCCCCTCCCCCCCCACCGACCTCCCTCCCCACCGACCTCCCCTCCCCCCCACCGACCTCCCCTCCCCCCCCCACCGACCTCCCCTCCCCCCCCCCACCGACCTCCCCCCCCCCCCCCCACCTACCTCCCCCCCCCACCGACCTCCCCTCCCCCCCCCCCCCCACCGACCTCCCCTCCCCCCCACCGACCTCCACTCCCCTCCCACCTGTTGTAGGAGTGTTGTTATAACAATTCTATATTTATTTCAAGTTGTGCATTTTGATGTGACGTCACATTTCTCAAACCCCCCTCCCCCGTCGTCACACATCGTCACAAATGTCTGACCCCCCCCCCTCTAGGTGCGTGACGTCATTTATGGACGACCCCACAGCCGTTTCAATACAGGCAACAAAAATCATACGGCCAAATAAATAAAGTCGTGGGACAGCTGAAATGTGTACAAACAAGACTGGGATGTACATGAATTACTATTTGGTTAATTCGGTAAAGTCACGTAGAAAGATACAATAATACATTAAATAATAGCATACGACGTTTCGATTGCAACACAAGCAATCATCATCAGGTACAAATGAAAGAGAAAGCAAACCTAGTAAATTTAGAAATATAATGCAATACAACACAGATAGTCGGCTAACATAACAGTCAACACCCTACCTGGTTGATTACGTTCTTCCAAAGATTGCTAAATTTAAGAGAGAGATCAAACACAGAACCGGAGACACATAGACACATAAGCAGAGAGAGATAACACAGAGACACCGAGAGAGAGACACACATAGACACACAGAGAGAGATAACACAGAGACACACAGAGAGACATACGCACATAGACACACAGAGAGAGATAACACAGAGACACAGAGAGAGACACACAGAGACACACAGAGAGAGATAACAGAGAGAACAGCAACAATCGCCATTCGCCACTAAGTGGCAGTGACGTCACCACGACGCTTGTGCCAGGCCATGTGCACCTTGAGGCCACGTGAAGTGTCGAACGCCCGCTGGCAGGTCACGGGGCAGACCCAAGTGCCACAGGTCGACTGACTGAGATGACTGGCTGATGCACCACCTGTGCCCCCTACTGTGCCAACCTGCTGTGCTTTAGCCACCCGGCGCTCCGCTCGTTGTTCTGAGCGTCGCTCCTCCGCCCTCCGTTGTTGTTGGAGGGCGACTGCCTCCAACTGCCCAGTAGCGTCCTTCACGAGCCTCCTCCACAGAGGCCGATCTTGACACCGCTGGTAGCAGTCATCGGCAAGTCCACTCAGCTCCACGTCCTCCTGTACCACATCACTCCATCTCTTCGCTAGCCCGTGCCGCGCCCGTTTAGCCCCCTCGATCCGGCTGAACAAAAGCTGTTTCGGCATGCGGTGGCTGGGCATGCGGGCTACATGACCCAGCCAACGCAGCCTTGCCTGCCGGAGGAGCTCACCGATGGGACCTTGCCCAGATCTTTCAAGGATTTGTGAGCTCCTCACACAATCCAGCCTGGTTTAAACCCAGGATGGATCGTAGGCAGGCCAGCCTAAATGTTTCTAACCGGCGAAGATGTTCCATTAGGGGGGTCCACGTCTCGCAAGCGTAGAGAAGGGAGGGAATGACCGTGGCCGAGAAGACCTGAAGCTGAGTGCGGAGCGACAGACCAGGTAGCTTCCACACAGCGTTATGCAACCGATGAAAAGATATTGCCGCTCGACTGATTCGGAGTGAGACCTCTGCTGTTAAACTGGAGCCGGTCATAAGCACACTGCCCAGGTATGGGAAACTCTCCACTCTCTCCACAACTGCCCCATCACCGATTGGGAGTTGTGGGGGTGGAGTGTCCGATGGTACAAAATACCCAGGTAGGTGCTTAGTTTTGGTGGGGCTGATGGTAGGGCCCCATCTCTTAGTGGCACGCTCCAGTCTCAGCAGCAGCGTCTCCAACTCCTCCTCTGAATGAGCAGCTATTACCAAATCATCGGCACACATAACGTGGTTGAGCAATAGAGACACACAGAGAGAGACACACACATAGAAACACAGAGAGAGATAACACAGAGACACACATATAGACACAGAGAGACATAACACAGAGACACACAGAGAGAGACACACACATAGACACAGAGAGAGATAACACAGAGCCACACAGAGAGACAACACACGTAAACACACAGAGAGCGATAACACAGATACACAGAGAGAGAGAGAAAGATACACAACATGGGCACAGAGAGAGAGAGAACACAGAGACACACAGAGAGACACACACATAGACACAGAGAGAGATAACACAGAGACACACAGAGAGAGACACACATAGACACAGAGAGAGAGAACACAGAGACACAGAGAGAGAGCCACACATAGACACACAGAGAGAGATAACACAGAGACACACACATAGACACAGAGAGATAACACAGAGACACACAGAGAGAGATAACACAGAGACACAGAGAGAGAGAGACACACACACATAGGCACACAGAGAGAGATAACACAGAGACACAGAGAGAGAGAACATAGACACACAGAAAGAGACACACAACATAGACACACAGAGAGACAACACAGAGACACAGAGAGAGACACACACACATAGACACAGAGAGAGATAACACAGAGACACACACAGAGAGAGAGAGAGACACACACATAGACACACAGAGAGAGATAACACAGAGACACACACATAGACACAGAGAGAGATAACACAGAGACACACAGAGAGACACAAACATAGACACACAGAGAGAGACACACACATAGGCACACAGAGAGAGATAACACAGAGACACAGAGAGAGAGAGATGCAGCATAGACACAGAAAGAGACACACAACATAGACACACAGAGAGACACACACATAGACACAGAGAGAGATAACACAGAGACACACACAGAGAGAGACACACACATAGGCACAGAGAGAGACACACACATAGACACACACAGAGAGACAACACAGACACGGAGAGAGAGAAAACACAGAGACACACAGAGAGAGACACACATAGACACAGAGAGAGATAACACAGAGACACAGAGAGAGAGACGCACATAGACACACAGAGAGAGATAACACAGAGACACACACATAGACACAGAGAGAGATAACACAGAGACAGAGAGAGATAACACAGAGAAACAGAGAGAGAGACACACACACACATAGGCACACAGAGAGAGATAACACAGAGACACAGAGAGAGAGACAACATAGACACACAAAAGAGACATACACATAGACACAGAGAGATAACACAGAGACACACAGAGAGAGACACACACATAGACACACAGAGAGAGAGAACACAGAGACACAGAGAGAGACACACATAGACACACAGAGAGAGATAACACAGAGACACAGAGAGAGACACACATAGACACACAGAGAGAGATAACACAGAGACACAGAGAGATAACACAGAGACACAGAGAGAGAGACACACATAGACACACAGAGAGAAATAACACAGAGACACAGAGAAAGACACAATAGACAAAACACAGAGACACACAGAGAGACACATAAGCTGAGAGAGGTAACACAGAGGCACACAGAGACACACACACATTAGTAAAATTTGGAAATGTAATGCAATGCAACACAGAGAGTCGGTCAACACACAATTAACGCATAGCCTGGTTGATTGCACACAGCGTTGGTGTACGGTGCTTTTTTCAGGAATGTTTTGCTGTTTTTTTCATGGATTTTCTGTTTGCACAATCACATAGTCACTTTAAGATGTTTTTCTTGTTCGTGTTTTTTTGTTTGTTGTGGTTGCACCCGATTCACGAGCCAAATGGCTCACAGGGCTATACCAAAATAAATAAACTGAAACTGATTACGTTCTTGTCTCTCTCTCAAATTTCACACTTGGAAGAACGTTAATCAGGTAGGGTGTTGACTGTTATGTTAGCCGTCTATCTGTGTTGTATTGCATTATATTTCTAAGTTTACTAGGTTTGTTTTATCTTTAATTTGTACCATATGATGATGATTGCTAGTGTTGCAATCGAAACGTCGTATGCTATTACAGTATTTATTATGTTATCTTTCTTCGTGACTTTACCGAAAGAACCAAATAGTAATTAATGTACATCCCAGTCCTGTTTATACACATTTCAGCTGTCCCACAATTTTATTTATTTGGCCGTATGATTTTTGTTGCCTGTATTGAAACGGCTGTGGGGCCGTCCATAAATGACGTCACGCACCTAGAAGCGAGGGGGGGGGGTCAGACATTTGTGACGATGTGTGACGAGGGGGTGGGAGGGGGGTTTTAGAAATGTGACGTCACATCAAAATGCGCAACTTTAAATAAATATAGAATTGTTATAACAATCAGTGTTGTTATATAACACTCCTACAACATCAGAGTGCAGCGCCACATTAAATACGCACGACAATGACGTCGTGATTTATTTTATTTTATACCTACGTGACTTTACCGAAAGAACCAAAGATTATATATAGTCAACGTCACACTCATATCTGACGTCTACAGAAGGGGGAGGGATAGCAGGGGGGGAGGAAGGAGGGGGGAGGAAGAGGGGGGGCGGAAGGAGGGGGGAGGAGCGGGAAGGGGGTGGAGCGGGAAGGGGGAGGAGCGTGAAGGGGGAGGAGCGGGAAGGGAGGGGGAGGAGCGGGAAGGGAGGTAAGGAAGGGGGGGGAAGGGGGAGGAGCGGGAGGGGGAGGAGTGGGAAGGGGGAGGAGCGGGAGGGGTAGAATGAGGGGGGGGAGGGAGGGGGAGGAGCGGGAAGGGAGGGTAGAGAGAGCGGGGGGTAGGAGGGGGGGTAGGAGGGGGGGGTAGGAAGGGGGGGGCAGGAAGGGGGGGGCAGGAAGGGGGGGGAGCGGGAGGGGGGGCGATGAGGAGCTCCCAGCAGACACCGCGGCGCGCTACTTTGGGCGCGCAAGGCCAACGCTGTAGTCGCGAACAGCGAACGTCGAGCAACAACAACAGCAGCAGGAGCAACAGCAGCAGGAGCAGCAGCAGCTGTTGCTGTTTGTCGTCGTCTGTCGTTGTGTCGCCGTAACAACAACACCAACAACAACAACAAAACAGATTTTAAGCCGTTAATGAGTGGCGGGTCGGGCGTCCTCGTCCCAAGTTGCGCCAAGCCACTGAAAGCGTTCGCGTCGAAGCGAGCCCGGTTGATTGAAGGCCGCGACGCGGCTTTAGTCTACGGGGCGACGTGGACGCGGCGCCTTCCCCAGGACTCTTTCGTTCCGCGCAGGTGATTGCGAATGCGAATGAATGAAAGAACGAACGAACGTCGTCGGTCAAGTCGGTCGTGGTTTGCCCACTCGTCGGACGAAGGCTTCTTTTCGAACCCCTGAGCCAGCCGTGATAGTCGCGCGGTTGGCTCCGTACGGTGCGAAAGAAGTTGAGGCATACAGGGGGCATAGCTACACGGGAACTTTGTTTTGCCGGTATCAAAGTGTGCAGACGATTGAGAATGGGTTTTTTTTACTCTTTCTGGCAATACAACGGTCGTGTTAAGATGTCCAGACGCCAAATAGAAATATTTTGCAAGGATCTTGATTTGAAGCTTTGGTGACTGCAGGAATCCATACTCTTTGTTTTTTTTCGGTAAAGTCACGTGGGTATAAAATAAGATAAATCACGACGTTTCGGGCGCAACACAAGCGTCGCGTCATCAGGTGGGAACTTTTGCAAGGGATCAAGTACTGCCTGCATGAACCAACACGCAGTGCTTCTGGTGAACATGCAAACAAACATGCCCAGCCGACACTGTCGGTGAGATTGGGCCCTATTGTAGGCTCTCTCTGATGTAGGCCAAATCAATTTCAAGGACGATGCATCATATTACGAGAGAGCATGATTGTTTTCACGTTCACCGCAAGCACTTCGTTTGGTTAATGCAGTGTACGGTTCCTTGCAAAAGAGGTTTCTATTTGGCGTTTGAAAATCTTATCGCGACGCCTGTTTTATTGCCACAACGGGTAAAAACAACACCTATTATTTTTCCATACAGTGCGTACTGCAGTCATATCGTGGTGTCGCCAGTTAACAGGCTGGGTTGAGCGAACGAAACGCGGAATTTTTAGTGAATTCGGCACACGGAATGCTTGCCCGTGTCAACCCGCACCGTTTGACCCCGTGTGCTTGTCACAGGGAAAATTTGAGTTTTTCAGGTCCATACGTCGTTACAGCCGTTTCAATACGGGCACACAAATAGTTATTGTATTTATATGTGTTTCTCCCATGTGATGATGGGACTTTGTAGGATGAACGTTGACATTTTATAAGGGGGCACCGGGTGACCAATAAGGTCTGAATTGGTCTGTAATAAGCTAGGGCACTGATAACGGGGTTCACAGGTATGGCAAGGCAGTTCGTGAAGAGTTGGTGAGTTGTCTGTCGTGCCTGGGATTTGACAAGGGACGGCGTGAGAAGACGGGCGAACCAAAGCGAACATTATTTTTGGGACGGAAACGAACAGTGTCTATTTCATATATCCGTCCAGGGTCTTCGAGGAGTGCTAAACAACAGCAGGATTGACAGTATACAAGCAAACTATACCGGTTTTGATCATTTGAACGAGGACCCATCCGTTCCTTCGAAAATATCGTTATGAGACCATCCTGAGTCTAATAGCAAACTACTTAATGAGTAAGGTGCTGAGAAAAAAATATATTTGGTGGCTGTGGTGCACTGTGCACGTAACAAAACAACCTCAACATTCGTCAATAACGAAAATGTCATCAGGAATTGTTTTTGTTTTATAATGTCATTCTTATCAGGCATCATGGTGTATAAAGTGCTGTCTCCAACTCGTAGCCACTCTTCTAGATTTGAAGCTTTCGTGACTGCAAGGATCCATACTCTTCACCTGATGAAGGCCACTTGTGTTGTGGCCGAAACGTCGTGATTTTTTGTTATTTAATTTTTACCTACGTGACTTTACCGAATCGAACCAAAGAGTATCGTAGCCACTCTACCTCTCTGGCCTATCTCTTTGTGCTGTGAAGAAGAACCATTGCCCGAACTGTCTCCTATTTTTTACATTTTAAGCCTTTGCTATTGACGCCTGTGTCGGGTTGTTGTCTCAGTGCACTGCCGTGTCTGATGACATTACTAAATGACCTTAGTCTGTCTTCATTCAGATTTGTTAATTTCAACTCATCAGAGTCATTCTGGTATGGTCATCGTCTTGCCTGGTGATTTTTGTCCAGTCACCTGCCTAAAAACAAAGGCTCATTTGACAAATATTTTGGTCAGTAACCTTTTGAAGACAAGCGGCACTCCTGTTGTGAACGCAGCACAAAACACAATGATAGTGGGATGCTCTAGCACTGCTCGTGAGAACACAGACGACACCAACCACAGCCAACAAATGCGTGTGCTTTGACCTCACGTTGGTACCTCTCGCCCTGCAGACACCGCCATGGAGGACTCGGCGGACAACACGACGGTGATCAAAGTCCTGAACTCCTTCCACAGCTACCTGTCCCAAGTGGATTTGAGCGGACACGACAACAGCACCACCATCCTGTCCAATTCCAGCAATGCCCTGCAGAGCCAGTACCTCCGCAGCCTGCAGGTGCGACTGCCAGCCCAGCCGGTGCCACTTTAAACTAAAACTATTTTAAACTATTTTTATTTTAACGGCTAAGGCTCACTGAGCTATGGAGCTCTTTTTGAGAAACGACCTGGCCACAAATGATAGCTCAATGAAGTGGCTTATCATCACGTGGAAATTTACAGCAGCCAAATACTCGAAAATGCATGTTTCTAAATGTAGAGGGAAAAATCGTAGGAACCAGAGAAAAATCCACGCGACCACGGGGAGAACATGCAAACTCCAAATTTTATAGGCGCCAGGACCGGGATCGAGCCCACCACCGCCTGTATACCAGGCGAGGTAGTTAACATCTCGCCACCGAGGCACTTTGGCTCTTGTTAAGGCCGTGACACCTGAGAGCAACTGTCACCAGCAATCGTCGCCAGTCATGGTTTCAGCACCGTTTTCGAGAGTGAAACGCTTAGTCGCCCAAATGTGGGTGAATCTGATCGTGGCCTCCTCCCCAACTTGTGAACGACTGGGACGGCAGCTTCCAATCATATCGCACATAGAAGTTGCTTGACCACCCAAGGTTGTGCCTCCCTGTTGACCAATCATTCATAATACAAGTTTTTTTGGGTGAGATTGAGTTCATATAAATGTGTCGTGAAACCCGCCACCACCCGACAGCCAGATCGTAAGGTTTGTCATGTAAACAGAACATGCCAATTTGTTACTCGTACAACACACCGGTGTGTTGGAGAGTAAATCCACAATATTTACAATCTGAGTGTGACGTTCGCCAGTAATTACAACTGGCATCATCAGGCAACAGCCAGATTTCTCTGATGATGCCATTATGGTGTCTTTTCACCTGGTTAAACAAATAAACTTGTGTCGTGACTATAAGAGTTGATTTCTATCGATGAATCGTTTTAGCCGGTGAACATCCGGTAACATTTGCCTGTGCTGCTGCTTGAGACTAACGGTGCCAACGGCGCCTCGATTTGCACGCGCGCAGGTGGAGGAGCAGGTGGACCAGAGCCACTTGAAGTCCAAGCTCTACCACCTGGAGTGTGAGAACCAGAAGTTGGCTCTGTCGGCCAAGCGAGCACGCATTGAGACGGAGCTGGAGCTGAATACCAGCACTTGCAACTACGAGGTGACACGGCGGGGAGGAAAAGCAGGGTGGGGCAGCTCCCGTCTCGGAGGTTTCGCACTCGCGCACGCTCCTGCACATTCATTCGTGCGTGATTCGCGCGTGGTGCGTGCATGTGCGTGTGTTGTCTGCAGCGCGAGTTGAGCAAGAACCGGGAGCTGGCACTGCAGTTGAAGCATGCACAGGAGCGCGAGGCGGAACTGCTGGCCCAGTTGGAGGCGGTCGCCGCCACCTCTCATCGCCACTGCGACGCCGAGATCCAGCGTCTCACCAAAGATAGGGAGCAACTGCTGCAGACGCAGGAGGTAAAGCACGATGGCTCCTCGCTCGGTCACCCTTGCTGGCGAAACTTCCAGCGCAGTTACATTCGTTATATTTGCATTTTGTATCTATGTTGTGTATACCACGCCATAGACGACTGGGCGGACGACAGGACAGCGTTCAGCGCTCATAAAATCAATTGGATCATCATTACACTCACTATTCACACCATTATCACTCTAAACGCATGTTGATTCTAAATGTGGAGCGAAAAACTGGAGGACCCGGAGAAAAATCCACATGACCACGGGGAGATCATCCAAACTCCAAATATACAGGCGTCAGGGTCTGGATCGAACCCACGACCTCCTGTATACCAGGCGAGGTAGCCAATAGCTCGCACGAGAACATCACTGAAGCACAGCCTGGGATGAAGCAACCGGGGCCCAGCACAAACAACAACGGCAACGAGCCGCAAGGGGCCGCCAGGGCCGCACGAGTTCGAGGGTGTTGTTGGGGGACCGATGCCCTTCAGAAAGACGAGATGTACATGCGGCAGTCCGAGTGGGGGCATAGTATGTTACAACAGGGAAGCCAAAGTGATTTCTTGCTCCATTGAGAAATGTTGTGATGCTTATTCACTGTAAGGCCCTGAGCCAGTGGTGGAAATTCCATATTCAAAGCACTGTTGTTTTCCCCACAAAGTGATACTATTTTTATCAACACCAGAGGGATGATAGGCTGAGTAAACATGAAGTCAGGATTTTAAATCGCTGCTTTCCGACAACAAGCGTGCCAGCTTTACTGCTGAAACACCTGGCCGATTAATTGTTATAGTTGTACAACCACCTGGCCGGTCATACCGTAAGGTGTCTCCTTTCGCGCGGCGTGGTGTGGCGAGCAGAAGCTGAACGTTGCCGAGTCGAAGGTGCTGGATCTGCAGAGGGCGCTTATGAACAAGGACATGAAGATGACAATCTTGTCCTCGGACCACGACGAGGCCCAGAGTCGTCTGGACGAGCAAGAGCGGTACGGACAACGGCGCTGTCGTGGCCGCGTGCGCTCGTTCCGTGTCGAACGCCGTCGTCCGGTCTCGAGCACAGCGTTTGGGAGATGAGTGCGATTTTGTGCCGAGTGGAGTTTTGCGATCCGACTTGGGCGTCATGTTATTCCCCCGTACCCCCACCCGCCCCCCACCCACCAAAGACTGTGCCAGGAGGCGAAGGAGAAAGTTCGTGAGCTGGAAGGGGTGCAGGCCCAGTGCGTGGAGCTGGAGCTCAAGAACAAGGTGGGTAGCGATGTGTGTAAGCAGCAAGGCATGCTGGGGGATAATTCGTTACACATGCCTGTTCAATCACACGGCGTGTCACAACAACTCTTATAGTCACGACACAAGTTTATTTGTTTCACCAGGTGAGAGGACACCGGGATAGTCTGTCTCATTTGCAAGAGTGACCTAAGTCACTGACAATGTTATTGTGAACGGCCACTCTCCCCCACTGTAGATAACGGTGCGGGATAACGGTGGGGGATTACTGTGGAAGATTACGGTGGGGGATAACTGTGGAGGATAATGGTGGGGGATGACGGTGAGGGATAACTGTGGAGGATAACTGTGGAGGATGACGGTGGGGGATAACTGTGGAGGATAACTGTGGAGGATAACGGTGGGGGATGACGGTGAGGGATAACTGTGGAGGATAACTGTGGGGGATGACGGTGAGGGATAACTGTGGAGGATAACAGTGAGGGATAACTGTGGAGGATGACGGTGGGGGATAACTGTGGGGGATAACGGTGAGGGATAACTGGGGGATAACGGTGGAGGATAACTATGGGAGATTACGGTGAGGGATAACTGTGGGGGATAACGGTGGGGGATGACGGTGGGGGATAACGGTGGTAGATAACAGTTTGGGATTACCGTGGATGATAACGATGAGGGATTACTGTGGAGGATAACAGTGGGGGATAACAGTGGGGGATAACGGTGGGGGATGACGGTGAGGAATAACTGTGGGGGATAACGGTGGCGGATGACGGTGAGGGATAACGGTGGGGGATGACGGTGGAGGATAACGGTGGATGATAACGGTGATGGATAACTTTGGAGGATAACGGTGGGGGATAACGGTGAGGGATAACGGTGGGATGTCCGCACTTTACCAGTCCCTGGAGCAGCAGCTGCACAAGATGGAGGAGGACACGGTGGTGGTGCGGAGCATGCGCTCTCAGCTGGCGCGACTGTTGGACGCTGAGAAGCAGAACAAGGCCCTGCAGGAAGAAATCCGCTACCATCGGTAAGCGGCAGCGATGGCGGCTCTGTCACGACAGCGGCTTGCTTCCGCACGCGCTCTTCTGCCACTCGGCCACCTACTTCCGATGACGATTTTGAGGCGACGTGGCCGAGTGGTTGCACCTTTAACCACTTATTGCAGAGATTCGCTGTTCAAGATCCGCAGCGGTTTTGGTTGTTACTGCGGGTGCATTCTCCATAGATATTATGGTTGTTACTCAGGGTGCATTGTCCATAAATACGATGGTTGTTACTGCGGGTGCATTCTCCAAAAATCCGAAAAAGAGTCGGCCTTGTTCTTCACGATCTGAATTTGACATTTAAAAAACTAACCGCAAATTGCTCAATTGTAAACAACGCACAATTACAACATCGCCCCCTTCTGTGAAACTACCGCAGATTGTACATGTGAAATATGGCACATACGATATTGCCTTGCGCTGTGAGAAATAGTCGCGAATAGCAAACGTTCCAATGGGTTGGTGTGGTGTGCAGAGAGACACAGGAGAAGACGGCGCTGCTGAAGGAGGAGGTGCTTAGCCTGCGCTCCAAGACGGAGCGCTTCCAGCAGCTGCAGGAGCAGCACGCCCACCTGCTCGTGGAGAACGAGGTGGGGGCGGCTCCGCTTTGGAGAAAGCAGGGGTTTGCTTTTCCACTGCACATTGACGAGCCATGCCACTGAAGTCACCAGCAATTCGTAATATCTTGTATGTTGAACTTCTTTCTCACCATACGTAGCCAACCGTGTTAATCGGAGGTGCGGGGAAATGACAACAAACTAAACACAAGCAGCAATTCTAAAGAAATGAGTATTCAATCTAGATTTAAAAGTGCACAGCTCCAGTGGCTTTCTAATATCGGTCGGAAGGCAGAGCGTTCCAGACGGCCGCAGAACCAGATCCGATAGCGCGCGATGCAGTGAATGTCTTGGTTCGCTACGAGGATGACGAATGTAGACAGCGCAGCGACGCAGTGTGCTTTAGTTGTATTGACTGACAACGGATGCTTTAGTTCGACATTTTATAGAAATATTTAGTCAGAAATGAATATTACAAAACTTGAAAAGAGCAACAGTAATCGCAATGTAACAATGAATTATACGATTATATAATTATCATAGATATTTATATCTTATGGCGCATGGCCGTATCATGGCGGCACCAGTGCGCCCCCAAAGCTGCTAAGGCATGAGGGTCTGAGACACCCTAGATGGCTTGCTGCACAGGCTAGCGGGCTATTGGTTTTTTTTATCTTGTTTTTAGTTTATATCATTTGGTGTTATATCTCATGTCTATAGTCTCGTTTGCACCATTGTTCAAATTTGTATAAAACCTGAATATTCGGCCACACGATTTGGTTACTATGATGGCATTTATTACGTGGCTACTCGCTAGCTTTCGACATTCATCGGTTAACCTCGGCCGGTTGTTAACTCGAGCCAGGGTCGATCCCAGTGCCACCATGAAGATTTTCTGTGGTTCTTGTTCCAGGATTTACAGAATAAGCTGAAAACCTGGGAGTCGCTGGATCAGGTCACCGGCATGAAGGCAAAGTAAGCTCCCCCCCCCGCGTACACCACCTCCTCATGTGTCGCTCCGGCAATCATAAACAACCGCTCGCTAATGGGCTTCGCCCAAGCGGCCTGACTCACTGAAATATTCATCACTGCTTTCCCGGGCATGTGTCACCCTGTGATGGGTCTGTCCCACATCCTCCCCATCAGAGAGCCTTCGCCATACAACACAGGTCAAATTTCGATCAATTACTCGCAAGTTACTTAATTGGGAAGCCACATAGCAACATTGCCCCCCTACTGGCAGACTAATGCCCACTTGCGGGCCAATGCTGCGTCAACCTTATGCCGCACAGAGCCAGCTGCCACCGGGGATCCTGTCCCACAAGACGCTTCGGGATTTGGGATGTACTTTTACGGGAGGCACGGTATAAATATTGAAGTGAAGATGACGACGATGATGATTCCTCCAGAGCGCACCAAGTCTCACGCGGGTCTTGCGGCAACGTTGCCGTGACGCTAAACAGTAAACAGCACTTGTTGTTTGTTAGGAATCCGACCGATCTGAACAGGCAGCTGAGCTTGCTGCAGCACGAGCAGTTGCTGCAGGCGCAGAAGAACTGCAGCATGGGTGCCACGTAAGTTGCGAGCCCACCGCATTCTGCCCTCGAAACTCCGGCCGGCTCTTTCTTTCATGGTTAATGTAGTCGGCACATTATTTCATGTTAGACTTAGTCTAGTCGACAACACCCCTGTGGAATTCTAGTCAAGTCTTGATCTAATTTTTGATTTAAAGCTTTCGTGACTGCAGTAATTCATATTCTTAGTTTTTTCGGTAAAGTCACGTTGAAGAGAAACAACAGAATAACAAAATATATATAAAACAATAAAAAATTCTCACGACACACCTGATGATGACCGTTTGAGTTATGGTCGAAACGTCGTGAGAATTTTTTATTGTTTTATATATATTTTGTTATTCTGTTGTTTCTCTTCAACGTGACTTTACCGAAAAAACTAAGAATAAGTCTTGATCTGTGAATATTTCATGTAGCCATTCAGTGAAGTCCAGTTGACGAAAGCATTTAAACGTTTAGTCCGCTCTTTGTTATTAAATGTTGGTGTGAGAGGTGCATAATTTCTCTCACCCCAAAATCAGATCAGACAAACCGTGAACTAAGTAAATGCTTTTATACACATATATAGCCTCTTAGTGCACTGTCTCTAAGAATGTTACTAAGTTATATTAGCCCTTCCTCTTCATTCAGACTCGTTAGTTTCACCTCGTGATAGTCGGTCACGCTTTGGAATTTGGTGGGTGGTCGTAGTTGTCATTCGTGGTTGATGATTCATCCACTCACGGTCATTATTGACCCACATAAGACGACCTATTGATGAGTATATTCGTCACTAATTCCACGAGCTGAACGAACACTGCTCTCTTTTACCATCAATTGCTGGTGACGTCCCGCCTTGCTTGGTCTGAGTAGCACTGTTGGCTCCGTACGGTGCGAAAGAAGTTCAACATGCATAAGCACGTACGTACGTCTGTCGCACATCCCTCATGTCGAGTCGCGTCGCTTCTGTTGCGCGTGCAGCGTGCGTGACGCGGTGCGCAACCGCCACCGGCTGGAGGAGGAGAAGATCCGCCTGACGGCGCAGCTGCACGAGGCGATGGAGCGCAAGCAGCAGGCAGATAACCATGCACAGAACCTGCAGCGACGATGCATGCTGCTTACTCGGGTACGCTCACTCAAGCAGAAAAATAAAGTGTATTCCATCTGTCAGAATATAGCTAAACAACCCTCCATTATCACTATCGGCTTTTGTAAATCCGCTGCTTGATGATTCATAATAGTGAACACGATTCCATACGTGTGCATATTTCACAAATTGGATGGTAATAGGAGTGCTAGTGTAGCAGTTAGCACGCTGCACTACAGACCCGGTTACCCAAGTTCCATTCCTGCTTACGGCCACCCATACCAGTGACGGTTATCTGAAACAGTGCTGGGTCTCCCCTAGGTCGGCGCAACTGCAAATGACTACCTGGTACGGTGTGTAAACATCGTCACTACTGGCCACCCACCCCTTCGTGTGCCGTGCCGGCCTTAAAAGGTGCTACTCACTAACAGCGCTTGCCCCAACGGTCTGTTAAGACTACACGGGGGGATCTTTGTCTTCTTGTGGGGGGCTGCGCACGACATGCAGGAGCGGGATGGGATGAGGGGCATCCTGGACTCGTACGATGAGGTCACCACCACCACGGGCTTCACCACCCAGCTGAGCCAGCGCGTGCGCGAGGCGGAGGCGACAGCGCAGCGCCTCAACGCCCATACCCTGGAGCTCGAGGTAGAGCGGGGCGACTGGCAAACAGGAGAGGAGAGTGGTGGTGGTGTTGGGTCTGGAGTTGGTGGTGGGGAATAATGGTGGAGGAGGTGCTGGTGGAGGATCTGGTGGTCAAAGAGATGGTTGTAATGGTGGTGGATGTGGTGGTGTTGAGAAGGGTATGGTGATGGAGGTGGATTTGGTGGTGGTGGTGGAGAACATGGCGGTGGAGAAGATGGTGGTGGTGGAGGAGATGGTGGTGAAGAAGTTGGGAGCAATGGTGGTGGAGGGCGTAATAGTGGGGAGGATGGTGGTGGTATTGAAGGAGGTGGTGGTTTTGAAAGAGGTGGCAGTGGTGGAGATGGTGGTGGCAAATTTGATGATGTCCACATGGTTAATTATGCCCACGCATGTGATGGTTGTGATCGTGGTTGTGAAGGCAGTTGTTTTGCGATCAAGGCTTGTCATAACTCCCTTTCATCCTGATTGCTGATAACGTGATGTTTATGGTTGATTAGAAGCAGCTGGGAACAACGAAGATGGAGACCTTTAACTACAAGCTGAAAGCTCAGAAGGTGAGTGTGTGGTGACCAAGATTTATATTTTAGAAAATATCGCCAAATCTCTGGACTCTGCGCGGGATGTTAGGCGAGTCCATTGAGAATTGTCTATGGAACGAAACAAGGGGCTGATTCGCATTATAATTGAAATAATAATAATCACACATGGGATGCACTTGGTGACAATCAGCATGCATACCTGATCGTTGAAAGTGCTTGACATTGATGCTGATTCGGAATTAAATAATTCACCCATCCGGTGATTCGATAACGTGTCATGACTTGGGAGTTGAAATTTCGATCCAAAAATCTTACTATTTGTCTCATATTTTACCCATCTCGTTTGTATTGTTTTACATATATACATGTTTTGTGTCGTTTCTATAGTCGTTCTTCGTCACCCTAAATAGACGCACGTATCATGAGCGAAAGAATCGATTTGAGTGGATAAATCGTTTTCCTGTCGAATGTTGACGACGGACGGGCGGGGGACCCGTGGTTGTGATTGCAGCTGGAGGCAGACTTGGCTCTGGAGCACAGTCGGGTGTCGGCGGCCGCCAGGGATTTCTCGCGGGACGAGGCCGACCAGCTGTGGTGACTCTCTCCCACTTCAGCAAAAAAAACTTTCTTGCTGTGGTTTTCCCACCTGATGATGATTGCTTGTGTTGCAATCGAAACGTGATTTATTTTATGCCTACGTGACTTTACCGAAAGAACCAAAGAGTATAAATTGCTGTAGTCACGAAAGCTTCAAATCTAGATTGAGCTGTGGCGAGCGGGCGCGTGCACCTTCCCCGGTCAGCGGGACATGGCAGAAACCGGCGCACTTGAGAATTAAGTTCCAGGATATCCGATTGGTGATGTGAACGATTGCTCTGCCCATTAGCGGTTCCGTTACTCGACTAGTCGGATGACATGGAAATATCTGGGGGGTAAAAAATTACGTTCAGTAACCTTTTACAAATGTCAACTTTTATTTTTCAAACGCATTGTAAAGCAAAGGAAACATCCATTCAGTTAGAATTTACTCAAAATGGCTTACCAGCACGGTGTATAGATGCTTTGTAAGTGCTAATGTTTGTTTCTGCTATCGTGCTAAGTGTTGCGATGAATTGCTGAGGTTTCCTTAATTTTCACTTCCCATCTAGGGGTTAAACCAATTTTTACCTAGTAAGCCCATATGGTAATTTTAGCTCCATCAATAAAATGACAGGCTAATAGAATACACGTTTTTTTGTTGTTAAACTTTGATTAATCTTTAATGCCCGGCAGGTGGTTTAATCGGAAATGTGTCACTCATGTGTTCCGGTGCAGCAAGAAGATCGAAGACCTCCAGGAGAAGCTGAACACTGTGACGGAGGAAAAAGGCGTGCTGGAGATGAGGCTGGAGATGCGGAGCCTCCAGGTGGGGCGGCAGCACTGGGAGCACAACAACTGAAGAGGGAACAAAGAGTGGAAATTGGACCAGGCAAAGTACCCCAAGTGGATTTAGGGGTTATGATGCAGGGTCAGTGGAAAGCCGAGTACACGTGGCTGGTTTTGCTACTTGGTTATCGTGAGGGGTAAGTAAAAGCATTAGTGATTGCTTGGATAGTTGGTTCGTGAAAGGGGTCAGGCATTATACTCGTGGCTGGTTGGCTAATTTGTTGGGTTCAGAAGTCTTGCTGGGTACAGGAATCCCCTTTGCTAGACTTTAGCAGGTCATTGAAATACTCTAATTGAAATGCGATGCAACACATTTGGAGTTACCGGATCATTTTCTGCAAATCCTCATGGTCACGAACTGTAGGCCCTGACCCCCTCATCCTCCCTCCCATGTTGCGGTGGCACCGGCCTAGGGAGATTACGACCCGAGGCACACGCGCGTGCTCCAGATGAAGATGAACCCGCTCGCAGCGGCCCAGGAGGAGCACAAAACCGAGCTGCTGCGGCTGCAGGACGAGTGCGACCGCCTGCGCGAGCGCGTGCGCCAGCTGGAGCAGGGGGGCGCCGTCGCCACAGCCGCCCCCGCCGAGCAGCCCGGCGACTCGGAGAGCGCCCTGCCCTCTCGCGTCATCGCTGGTAACGGGAGCGGAAGCGCACACGTCGTCACCGGCGCCCGAGACGCACGGCAGACAGCGTTTTAACGAGAGCGGAGCTCTGGAGTTGATCTGTTACCGCTGGTATTCGGTTCAATGTTTCGACCGTCCAATGTGAGTTTAAAGTTGCATTCGTGAGACTTCATAGCTTGGGATTGAGTGCGACATTATAGCACTTTAGTCAGGTCAGCGTGATGCCATTCCCATATGGGTCTATCCATTTTAAATAGTCGATTAGTCTATTGCCAGTTCGATTACTCAACTAACCAGATAATACAAAATTACAATTGGCAAAAAAGTATCACCTCTGTTCCCGCTTGTGTCGCAGGACGTGATGAACGTCATCACAATCATTAGCCTTGTCATGCTGGGTGTGGATTGGATGGGGGCTTCTGCCAGGGAGGGGTACAGGCTGCAGCATGGATATTGTGCAGGAGAAATGTTAAATGTACGCGGAGAACGGGAGCGCTACGTTGTGACAAAAAACACACTTAGACACGAGACAAAACAAATGCTTATTGAGGCCACATTGACGAGAGGCGTGGATAAGGTTGAGAACCACTGCATTAAGTGAAGAATGCCATGCTGAGAGTATGGTTCAAGCGTGACTTAGCAAAACAATACAATGACTGAGACGCTTTCTTTTCCCCACGGCGATGCAGATCTCAGGAAGCAGCTTGAGAGTGCAGAACTGAAGAACCAGCGTCTGAAGGAGGTGTTCCAGATGAAAATTCAAGAGTTCCGGAATGCCTACTACTCGCTCACAGGATACCAGATGGCCGTCTCCACCGAGGGACAGTACAAGCTCATGTCCATGTACGCCGAGAGGGAGAACGACTACCTCCTCTTTAAGGTGTGCGCCATGTGGCGGTGCAGCGTACGCACCGAGCAATGCTGCCACCATTTAGAATCGGTCATGGGGCTCAGGGGGCATGGCATTTGGGTGTGTTTATGGGCGTGACCTAATCGTGTAAGAAAAAAGGGGAATGGCTGGGGTTGGCATTAGGGATGGAGGTTGGGGGTACAGTTTGGCTGCAGAACTTTTTGTTGTTTTTCAGCAGAGATGGGCTGGTTTGGCTCCTGGTGTCTGTTCACAGCCCAAACACTTCAGTCAGGATCACCACACACCGCATGTGTAGATGTGTAGAGCTTTGCTTTGAATGTTAGGCTCTCTTGGTGGGTGAGTTGATAATGGAGCCTTTCACAAAATTGTTTATTCTGTGAAGGGCTTCTTTTGTTGTGCACGTTTTAGGTGTGATTGCACACTTGTGTTTTAGCGATGGGTTCTGTTGTGTTGTTTGTGTTGCCACCCCAAAATCCCTCTTGTGAAAAAGATGTAAAGTCATAGAGTGCACTCCTGGATAAATGAGCCATAATCGTCATAAATATTGTAAAACCCCAGCTTATCTCGAGTGTGACACGTGTGACAACAATATCCCCTTGCGTCTCTCTTATTTCCCTTTTCCTCTTTTTCCCTTTCCCCCCCCCCCCCCATCTTTGCCACCACTTCTTGACGTGTCCGCAGAACGCAGGGCAGATGCAATTGCTGGAAACGGAGTTTTCGCAAAGTTTGTCAGACCTCATCAGTCTGCACCTGCACCAGCAGAAGAGCATCCCGGTGTTCCTGAGCGCTATCACGCTCGAGCTCTTCAGCCGGCAGACCTGCCCCACCATGTCCCTTGCCCAACACCTGCCCCAATAATGCCCTACATCTGCCCACACCTGTTTAAACTGCCCCACTCCTGCCCGGATTATACCCAATACCTGCCGCGCGCATGCCCCAATTGCTTCATGGTTTAGCCATTCCGGTGCATATGCTGTCAATAAAACATTGCAGCAAATCACCCTGAGTTGGTGGAAGTTCTCGCTGGCTTTTAAAACGAAGTCTAGGTGGCAGGCATGATCCACTTTTTGCTGCTGCTTCTACTGTTTTTAAGTCTTATTTTATCCACTATATGTCAAGTACTATTTTTTTCGCAGTACAACGAAGCACCTCTCATGTACTCTTCCCGTTATCCGTGTCTCGTAACCGCGCTTCAGATCTTCCAAATATCGGTTCGATGTATCTGGCTATGATATGAACCTTTGAGTGGAGTGGGGGGGGGGGAGTAATCTGAAAGGGCAGTAAAACCACTCGGAGCCAGATTTGGGGGAGTCGCTCCAGTTATGGGGGGGGGGGGGGGGGGGGGTGCCCGGCATACTGCAAATAATACATTATTACTACTGTACCTTTCAATTGCATTTACAGGTCATTAATACGAAACATTTGAAATTGGATAATGGCGATACAGTGCTGTACTTGCAATTCAATGACAGTATATTTTAATACTATTTACGATCAAGCAGAAGGCTCATTGGGTGTCGAAGTACATACACTTTTCTGGTTGGTTTGAAGAGTTTGTAATGAAGTGAAAAAGGCAGAGCAATAGCAGAACGTGGGTGAGAGGCGTTTCAAAGGCACTGGTTGACCAAATTCCACGGGACATTTAACATTTTTTAAAGTTCACATCCATGATAAATAAACTACTGTACTGTACAAATAAATATATGCCAATGTTTCATTTTTGCTGTTTTCCCCCCATGTGCTGTGAAGAAGGGCCATTGCCAGAAACGTCGCCTATTATATATTTAGCTTTTTACGCACCTGTTATTTGCGAAAGTGTTGAGATTGGGTAGTATTTTGTTAATTCACAGCACGCGCAAAGTCCGGTACTTTTAGAAGTCACCGCGTAATAAAAAAAACCTCCCGATCGAAGAGAAATTAACACGTGCGTCGTGACATCACAACAATCGATGCGTGCGTCGTGACGTCTAAACTCGCCACGTGTGTCCCAACGTCACCACGCAATTGAATTAACTTGACCTCACGAAAACCGAATCGCAATTAAACACTTCAGTGCACGACAAGTACACACACACACTTGGTATTTAAATAGATTAAAACTGACGAACATCAATGGTTCGTAAAAAAAATACGCCTTTAAAGTCTTAATCCGTTTCCCTTATTAACCTCTGACCTCCCACAAATCAACCCAGCGAGCGTCACGTGATGTTTGGGGGGGGTGGGTTTCACGAACATCACGTGACGCGGGGGGAGGTGCAAAATGATTGCCCCACGTCACGTGATGTTATAGGGAGGGGGCGGTGTGGGGTGGTGGAAACGGCTGGACATCACGTGACGATGTGGGGGGCGGGCGAGAGACCTTCCATCATGTGACATTAAGGGCGGAATCACGTTTCATCACGTGATGTTGGGGCGGGGGGCTGTGCTTCACCGCCGTCACGTGACACGATGGGGGTTCATCACGTGAGCGGGGAGGGGTGGGTGTCGCAACGTCAAGTGGTAGAGATCCCCCGTATAGCCTTAACAGACTGTTGGGGCAAGTGCTGCTAGCGAGTAGCAACCCTGGTGAAGGCCGGCGCTGACTTTTGTCTCCCCAGCGGCGATGTTGTTACACGCCGCACCAGGTACTCGTTCGAGGCTGAGTCGACCTAGGCGAGTCCCAGGACCGCTTCAGATAAATAATTAATCTGTCACCGGTGTCGATGAGCGGCGGCGGGGGGGGGGTAATCGAACTCGGGACGCCGTCTGCGAAGTGCGCGAACCACAACACCACCGCTCCTCCCACCACACGCAACCACTACCACGTGACGCTCCGCCGTCACGTGCCGCGTTGCCGGCCAATGGGAGCAAGGCGGCCGAGCTGCCCGACTTTTCCCGCCACCACGCGTAGTTGCTGGGGAAGCGTTGGGGCCGAGCCGACTCGGGGTGAGCGAACTACCGGCGGCGGCGGTGGCGGTAGTGGTGGTAGTGGTGGGGTGCTCCTCGGGGTACCCGGGCGGGGTTTGCCGGGAGAACCAGGGATTCAAAAGGGAGGTAAAGGCAAGGATCTCTGAATGACGGCTGTTTTGACTGCCATGCCTGGCCTGTCCCGGAGCCGAGCAGCTGCAGTGGCGGCCGGGCGGGGATTGGCGAGCTCGTTGGTGGTTTAGGTGCTGTGGTAATGACGCTTGAGGGTGATGGTTGTGGTTGGTCGTGGTGGTTGGTGGTGATGATGATGGTGGTGGTTGTGGTGATGATAGTGATGGTTGGTAGCGCGTGTGGTATATGGCGATGTTGATGGTGGTGGCTCGGATAGAAGTCGTCTTAAATGCAGTTGAGAGTGGTGGCACCGCTGGCAACACGTGAGGTGTGTGATGCTGTAGTTTGATTAAAATAGACGGACTGGTGTGTGTCGGGTCCAGGCTGCTCGTGTTAGATTCAATACGCCGGGGTCTGTTGAGAGCCCTGGTTTTGTGAGTGTGTACGATCGGGTCTGTCGTTATGTTCCATGTCTTGTTAAAAAAAAAACGTGTTTATCGTGTGTTCGTTCAGGTATAACGCGCCTCGATATAGGCCACGTCGGTTAGGCCAGGTCTAATGAGTAAGGTCTCTCGAGGCCAGATTTATTTAAGGTATTGAGTAAGGTCTTTTAAAACCTATTAAAGTCAGGCTTGTCCAGACCGCCCGGGCCCGCCTGTGTCAGGGTTGCACCCACGTGTGGTAACCGCTGCCGCTCTCACTGCGCTCATCAAGTAGCTGTGTTTAATAGCAGAAGTCTCCCTCACGAGAGATTTAACTTGTGAATTAAAACCTAAAATATTCCGGGTCAGGTTGGGCTGTGAGTGGCGGGTCCCCCATGTCTCCGTCGCACGGGACTGCAACGCAAGTGTCGGAGGCAATGTCTCATGGTGGCGAGGGTCGGTGTTCATGTTATTACCACTACCACTCTCTGCTAGTGTGTATTTTTGGGGGGGGGTTTCTGTTTAATTTAAAAGTGTGTGTAATTGATGGTGGGGGGCGAGGTGTGAGCCATATTGCTAATGCACAACACTCGGGCGTCAATGAACACCCCCGCTTCCAGTAGCATGAGCACGGCTGGCTACCTGCCTGGCTGTCTGACTTCGACAACGCCGACCCATTACAAAGAGTTGGTGCCGGTGAGCGGCTAGTCGACGAACAAACCTCTACGGCGATTGTAAGCGACGGGAGAAGAGATACCGGCGGGGAAGATGAGTTAGAGAGAGAGAGAGTGGGAGACATTGCTGTGTGGTCTGGTCTCCAATCGTTCCCGCATCCCTCTCCGCTGCGCGCCGTACGCCCCCTCACGAACGCCGCCGCCTTCTCTCTTCTGCGCTTCGCCGTGCGTTGCAACCCCCGTCCACCCACCCATACAACAACAACAACCAAAACCTCTTCGCGTATCGCCTCAAATGTTCGACAGTAATAATCGTCGTCGTTAATTAATCGAGAAAGAGAGTGTGTGGTGGTGGTGGTTGTGGTGTTACCAAGACGAAAGCGGTCGACGCCGGCTCCTGCGTGATGACGTATGGAGAGAGCAGCCTCGTCTAACAACAACAACACCACTCGCTGCTTCATCATCATCAACAACAGCGGCAGTAACACTCGGACCACGCGTGCGAGCGGGCGCCTAAGTGCCGTCGCGTAAACCACGCAGTTTTTTGTTTGTTGTTGTTGTTGTTGTTTGGTTGTTCGAAGGGGTGGCGAAAGTGGAACGGCCGCGTCGCGTTGCTCAGGGCGTCCGGAGGCGCCGTCCCGCCATCGCCAGCCATGGGCCGCGCCCGTAAGGCGACTCCGAGCGGGTGAGGAGAATTATCAACAAAACAAAAACTACACGGGGACATTAACAAAAAACACACACACACGTCTCAAAAAATAGGGGTCCCGCTGTGTGTGTGGTGTGGTGTGTGTGGAGGGGATTGCCTCTCTTCGTTATCGTCGCGGCGGGGTTCGATCGAGGAAGGGAATTGGCGGCCGCGTCGTTTTCTATTTCGCGAGGCGCTCGTCGTCGTCTTCGGTCGCTTCGTTCGCCTCGGCCCGTCTCGCTGCGGGGTGTTGTTTCGGTTCGCGTGGCGTTCGTGTCCTCGCCAGCCTTGGCTGCCGGTGTTTGGCGAGGTGAGAGTGTGTGAGCTTGGCGGTGGTGAGCAAGGCTGGGAGAGGAAGACGCGCGGAGCTTCGGAGAACGGTCCGCGGCAGCCATGTTGAGAGAAGAAGGGACAAAAAATCTCTTCCAACTTTTCATCTTTTCAGCTTGACGCGCGACGTCGACATCGATCTCGTTTTAATCGGAGTACATCACGACATCGTCGTCGTCGTGGGCAGCAGCGTCATTATTAACGTCGCCCGCTGTCGCTTGCTCACGGTGTAACAAGACGCCTGCTTTGCTGCATTGGCCGTGTGTGATGGGTGTCGTGGCGTGTTGTCGTCTTCCACACCGACCGACTCTGCTTCCACAAAAGTTTAACTTTTGTAGCAATGGCTCGTCACGTTTTGCGATGTTTCAGATGAGGGGTGGTTCGTGGTGACGATGATTGATCTACGAATTTAATGCTGTAGCTTTGATTACTTTCGCCGCTGTTAACGCGGTGCTGACTGGTGTGGTGGTGGTGTTGGTGGTGGTTGTTGTTGTTGGAGTCGCTGCTTTTGCAGGTTTACGATTCGAACGATGCTGTTGCTGCTTTCTATTCATGTCGATGCTGTTCTTTAGCGATGTTGTTTCTAAGACTGCTGTAGCATCGAATTGTCGTGCGACTACTGATGCTGTTTACTGCTGGTTGTGTTGGCTGATTGTAATGGCGTAGCCGCGGATGATGCTGTTGCTACTGCCGATGCTGTTGCAGCTGACAATCGCTTATTTTGACTTGTTTTATTATGTTTTAACCTTTTAATATTGCTGCTGCTGTTATTGCTTCTTAATGCTGTTACGTCTAACGGTGCTGTTGGCTGCTTTTAACGGTTTTGCTGATGTTGCTGCTGATGTCTCTGGATATTTCAAATACGTACGCTCCTACCGATGACGAAATAAAACATTTCATCGATAGAGCGCTTTATAAATACCTTCGCAACTCAAAGCGCCTCATCACTTTTCATCTCAACAATTCCAATGCCCTGCTGCTGCAGTCTAACCAAGGGGACCCCCAGTCCGCAGCCTGTCCCCTGGTGCAGCTCAAGGAGAACGCCACCTTGATAAGATGATGACGATGACTTGCGCCGCCACGAATGGAACTCCCTTTTGAATGCTTCCGCTGCCCGTGCTTTTGCTTCTCCCGCAGAATTCCAGGCAGCACGGGCGACACGCACGCAACCCCAGCCGGGCAGCGCAAGGGAAGCAAGCGAACGCCGGCAGCAGGGCAGCAGTCACGGCCACCGTCGTCACAGCAAGGCGGGGAGGCTTCGCTTCCTTCATCCCTTCTCGGGCAGCAGCAGCATGCAAACCTTGCTGCTGCCGACACCAGAAGAAGCGGCCCTCGGCTTCGTGGCGCTTCCCGCCCGCCGGTCAAGAGAGCTCGAAAAGAACCTCAGCAGCAGCATGGGCCCAAAGTCAAAGGTGAGGATAGCCTGTGTTGCCCATCGCCGTGATTACAGTAGACCTCACCTATTCGCGTTAATGCTGTGAACTTCTTGGTTAATAGTAGGAATGAGCCTTTTTTTACGCTTCCAACAAAGTTGCAAGCTATTTGTTTCATGAATTAAATCCATTTTGTCTAATTTGCATAGTTTCTCAGTCGTGTTTATTAGTTAATGGTTATATGCGGTTTATAAATATAACCGTTTCAGATATCACTTGCCACTGACGTTAGCCATGGCTGGGAACCGAAAATTTGGGCTGCTGTGTTATTACCGCGGCGCACTAACCACTGCCAACGGTTCACCCCCACATATGAATCGGTGTACCCATTTCTATGTCTGCACTTTTCCTCGTTTTGTTTGCTGCAGGTGGCGAGGGGAGCCCCGCGGTGAGCAACGGCGTCGGCACCGTCAAGGGCTCTGGGGCCAAGGCAGGCCCTGGGCCGTTGCCTGTGGATAGTGGGGGTGGCCGCGGGGCCACAGAGGGGCCAGACGCAACGCAGAAGAAGCCAAGGCGGCAGTGGGAGCAGTGGAGTGCCGAGGATAAGAACACCTTCTTCCAGAGCCTCTTCGAGGTACGAGGCCTGGGCAGGGTGTCCAATGAACACTTACTCACCGAGCGTAGCCGGCGCCGCGATAGGGAACCGACACGGCGCCTAATGGTACTCGCGCCCTCCCCGCCGCCCTCTTTGCTACCTGCACCTCCTCTCACTGCAGCACGGCAAGGACTTCGAGGCGATCCAGAATGACATCGCGAAGCGCTACATGAAGAAAGGCCACCCTGCGGGTACAGTGAAAAACAAGGACCAGGTCCGCCACTTCTACTACCGCACGTGGCACAGCATCTCCAAGCACATAGACTTCGAGAATGGTGAGTGTTTGTTGTGGGGGTTGGTGAGTGTCTGTAACAGGGTCGGTGAGTGTCCATGGTGGGGGTCGGTGAGTGTCTGTGGTGGAGCTCGGTGAGTGTCCGTAACAGGGTCGGTGAGTCTCCGTGGTGGGGGTCGGTGAGTGTCTGTGGCGGGGGTCGGTGAGTGTCCGTGGCGGGGGTCGGTGAGTGTCCGTGGTGGGGGTTGGTGAGTGTCTGTAGCGAGGGTTGGTGAATGTCTCTGGTGGAGCTCGGTGAGTGTCCGTAACAGGGTTGGTGAGTCTCCGTGGTGGGGGTCGGTGAGTGTCTGTGGCGGGGGTCGGTGAGTGTCCGTGGTGGGGGTCGGTGAGTGTCCGTGGTGGGGGTCGGTGAGTCTCCATGGTGGGGGTGGGTGAGTGTCTGTGGCGGGGGTCGGTGAGTGTCCGTGGTGGGGGTCGGTGAGACTCCGTGGTGGGAGTTGGTGAGTGTCTGTAGCGAGGGTTGGTGAATGTCTGGTGGAGCTCGGTGAGTGTCCGTAACAGGGTCAGTGAGTGTCCATGGTGGGGGGCGGTGAGTGTCTGTGGCGGGGGTCGGTGAGTGTCCGTGGTGGGGGTCGGTGAGTCTCCGTGGTGGAGGTTGGTGAGTGTCTGTGGGGGTTGGTCAGTGTCTGTAGCGAGGGTTGGTGAATGTCTGTGGCGGGAATTGGTTTGTGTCTGTGGCGGGGGTTGGTGAGTGTCCATGGTGGGGGTCGGTGAGTCCATGGTGGGGGTTGGTGAGTGTCTGTCGTGGAGATCGGTGAATGTCCGTGGTGGGAGTTACTGAGTATCCGTGATGAGGTCAGTGAGTGTCTGGCGGGCGGGTGTCAGTGAGTGTCTGTCGCGGAGGTGTCAGTGAGTGTCTGTCGCGGAGGTTGGTGAGTGTCTGTCGTGGAGGTTAGTGAGTGTCTTTGGTGGGGGTTGGTGAATGTCCGTGGTGGGAATTGGTTAGTGTCTGTGGCGGGGGTCTGTCAGTGTCCATGGTGGGAGTTACTGAGTGTCCATGGTGCGTGTCCGGTGGGTGTTGGTGAGTGTCTGTGGGGGGAGTTGGTGTGTGTCTGGCGGGGCTCGGTTAGTATCCGTGATGGGTGTCTGGTGAGTGTCCATTGCAGGGAGTCGGTGAGTGTCTGTCGGTCAGTGTCCTTTGCGGGGGTCTGTGTGTCCATGGCAGGAGTTAGTGCGTTTTTTGTGGCGGGTGTCGGTCAGTGTCCATGGTGGATGTCAGTGAATGTGAGTGTTCGTGGTAGAGGTTGTTGAGTGTCTGTGGTGGGCGTTGCTGAGTGTTCGTGGTGGAGGTTGTTGAGTGTCTGTGGTGGGCGTTAGTGAGTGTTCGTGGTGGAGGTTGTTGAGTGTCTGTGGTGGGCGTTGGTGAGTGTCTGTGGTGGGGGTCGGTGAGTGTCCATGACACCCGGGTGCAAGAGTAGGGCTGGAGAGTTGCATTGTTAGTGGCTGCCGTCCCGTAGCGCGGTGAGTGTCTCTTACGTAAACTGAGGCCTCTTTTTGTCCAATGTATTTGATTGCATTCTTTTTTTATTCCCCGATTTAAATTCTGATTGTGGCATTGGTATTTCATGAAACAATCATTCAAAAAGGTAGCTTGCCATCTTTTTCGACTTCCATGGTAAATCTGATGGCTGGGTGTATGGAATTGAAGTGGTCTAGGAACCCATAGCCAGTGAACTCAAGCCCGTACACCAAGCTATTAAGGCTAATGGTTACTCCGACTACACAATCCGCAAAGCTATCACTCCAACCATGAAGAAGGACCCTCTTGAGGAGCCATTCAAAACCATCACTTTACCCTACATTCCGGGGATCACAAAAAAATCTCCAAAATCTTGAATAAACACAAGATCCAGGTCCGATTCAACACATTACATAAAATCCATGATCTGGTTCCGTCTGTAAAAGATGTGATTCTGGACATATAGTACCCTGGCGACTACAAACTAAGTTGCCTCTGTGGTAGTAGTTACATTGGAGAAACCAAACGACATGTCTCGGACCGCATTCGTGAACACAAAGCAGACCTAAAACACGGTAGGACCAACACCTCGGCCGTGGCAGATCACTGCTATAATTCAGTAGGCTCACATGACATTGACTTCTCCAAGACAGAGGTTCTTTGCAAGCCATCTGGCTACCATGAAAGATCCATTCATGAGGCTATCCACATATACAAACACAGAGACAATTTCAACCGAGAAGATGGATTCTGGCTTAGTAATCATTGGAAGGATTTGAGAAACCATTTCGGGTCTTAATTGATTGTTCACGCTTACGGTGGCTTTCAGACCGCATCCGTTATTTTCGTCTCCCCCCTCCTCTTTTCCGAACATAGATGGACTCGTCCATCTGAATAACTGCCAAATCGCTCTCCGTGATGCTAACGTTAAAAAAACGCCACTTTTTTCAAATTGTCTTGCTGTGGTTTTCACACCTGATGATGATTGCTTGTGTTGCAGTCGAAACGTCGTGATAATTTTATTGTTTTATATTTTTATTATTTTATTGTTTCCCTTCTACGTGACTTTACCGAAAGAACCAAGAATATGAATCCCTGCAGTCACGAAAGCTTTAAATCAGAATTTAATCATTCCCATGTTTATTGCACGTCGAAATTGGTTTCACATTTCCCTATGTTGGAGAAAACCCCATGTAATGTAATATCACAGGAGTGCTGCTGAGATTTATTTCTTCCGTCATGTTTGGAACTGGCAGGCTGAAAAGGAAAATGGAAAACTGCCCTCGGACGGCCCTTTTATTTCCACGCACTCTTCCGACATCTCACCTCGGTCTTAAACTACTACTTGTCTCCATGCAATCTTCTACTTCTCCCTTGCCCTCTGCTCTCCAGCGACCCTGTGCAACTTTCGCTCAGCGGGAGGTTGCTTATACTCCTGTGTGCCGGTTGTGATTGCATTTTCCGTCCTCTGCTCGGCAGTTTTCTGCCGTGGGATGGAGAAGTCTTCCCAAGAGCTCTACGGGCTCATTTGTTATGGCGAGCTGCGCAAGAAGATCGGTGGATGTGAGTACTGCCCTGGTTAATAATAGTTATGTTTCGTATGTTACTTTCACTCAACAGTAATTGGTGAAAGTAAGGAAACCCCCACAGTGTGCTGCGCTAAAGATTCCAAAAACAGTGAGGCCATGATCATAATTCCCTGCTCTGTCCACTGCTGGATGAAGTATTCCCCAAGCCACCACCATCTCCATTGCCTTTTAAATGTAAAGTCACGGTGTAGGATGTAAAATATAACATTTAATTATTTATCGATTAAAATGTCTTCTTATGCTCACAGTAATGCGTCAAATTGTACAATTAAGAATGGAATATTTACACCATATTAAAAAATATGCAAACGTTACCGTTTGGGCCAACGTAATAAATTAGAGCGCGACACAAGACAAATGTGGAGACGGACGACGCCATGCAATTTCCCGATGAGTGAATTGGAATCGTCAGAATTAATTGAATCGCAGGGGGAGGAAGGATGTGAAATTTGCCGTGCCTCTTGTTTAAAAAAAATTTCCTCCGAAGAGTATTGAAAAAAGTTACGGTTCCTCTCGCGAGGGTTTTCCCTGTTTTTTTTCTTCCCCATTTGAATACATCCCGAGCAGCGGTTGCCTCTGGGTGCCACCTGTCGTGGGCCTTTGAAGGCGTTCCTTTGTCACGCTCACACCCCTTGTCGCCCACGCAGGTATGAACGACAGGAACTCGACGAAGCTGAACGAGCTCATTCAGCTCGGGTGAGTTTGACGGCGTCGCGATGCCGAATGCACTCGCGCGTTCTAAAATAGTAATAATAGTGAGAGGTCATTGGTGCAGGACTGAAATTCCTTGCCCACGCCTCCGATGCTGGTGCAAGGACCTCCGCCAGAGAGGAAGCTCTGTAGAGCCCCCTCTGAAGGGTATCTTGGCCGACCACCACGCTTGGAAGAGGCCAAAGTACCCACACTTTACACCAGCTGCACGCGACCTGCCGATCGACTAACTGTGGCATATCGGTTTATACTTGCTTGGTGTGGACTCAAGCCGGGCGGGATTGTATCAAGCTTAACCAGGAGGTCAAACCAGCGGACTCTGGATTGCTAGTCCAGTGTGTTGACCAATACACCACGGCAGCACCTGACGTAGTTATATTTATGAAATATTTTGATCGTTATTGTTGCATTGTGACGAGCGTTTGATGAGCGTTGACGAACTGTGATCGGTTGCGCCGTCCCGTGTTGCGCTGGCAGTGTCACTACGCTGCGCCACAATGGAAGAAAGCTGCGCATCAAGGCCCCCATGTGCCGGGCGCTCAAGAAGATCTGCGACCCTTACGGTAAGTTGACGACCGCTGAGTCCGACCTGCACGGCACATTGCTGTCAGGTGGACGGAGTTACGCTCGTAACTTTTTTAACTCCTTGCCCACCCTTTTGGTGAAATCTGCCGATGCAGTGTCCATTTTGAAATGACGCCTGAAGTATTTGTTCATTAAAGCTTGCACGTGGATTATGAACACGTGGATTCGAGAAGATATGTAGATTAATGGTACCATAAAAACTGTTGAGAAATTTAATTGGGCCTGAGCAAGACACGTTGCTCGAAACGACGATGGACGATGGTCGAAAATAATAAATAAATGGGGCGGCAGTCAAGGAATGGAACTTGTGTAGTAGGTTCACGGAACACGGAGACGGTGGAGTAGAGGCAGCACTTTATTTAACGTAACAAGGGTTACACTGGAAGGGGTAATGGCCCCTTCACCGGTATACACGCTGGGACACCCTCTAGGCTTTCTAGCCTAATTCCTGTGCTCCCAGTTCCTCAAGCTACAGGCGCTAGAGGAGGCTATCTGATCTGGCCCTGGTCAAGCACAAATCATGGCACCCCACCAACCAGACCGGCCCTTAAAAGGGCTCCGGCTCTGAGGCTCTGGGGCCGCACCACTGGCTTACCCTGCCGGCCCTCACAAGGACAGCGGTCAGGGAAGTCCCAGGGTCTATCTAGCCGGTCTTCCTTCTTCACTGGTTCTTCATTCTTGGCCCCAACACACTGCCCCGAGCTCTCTGGCTCCCCGCCCTTTATACCCATACACCACTGAGGGCGGGGCTATAGCGGACGTGGTTGTAGCCACCAAGGTGTGGCTGTGTGTTACCTTCCCACACTGTGTGTTACCTTCCCACATCACCCCTACACTTGTTCCAGAATCGTGAGAGGTGGTAGTTGGCTTGCGAAGGTCTTCATCCATCAGTGGATTGATCGTGGATGACGATGACCGCGATGATCATAATGAATTCTTTACTGATGTTTCATTAATCAGCAATGAGTATTTTTCTGCGTGTGTTTATTTCACGTTTGTCTTGGGTTTCATCGGTACCATGCATTGCGTTCGATCTTCGAGTGCTCTGCAAGACCGTTGTTGTTCTGACAGGCACTGCCCTATAAACGCAGCATTGTTGTTGTTGACGCAGGCACGAGAAACGAGATAGAGCAGAAGAGGCTCAAGTTGCCCACCAAGGTTTGCTTGGAGCTGCAGCCGCGCACCAACCGTGCCTGGACGCGCGTGCAGAGCGTGGCGCACAACCCTCGCCTCCGGTGGGTTCCACACCGTCCTGCCCCCGACACGGCCTACTCTGATAGTGGTGGTGTTGCTTGGTGGTGGTGGTGATGTTTGTAGTGCTGATGGTGCTGCCAATGGTGTTCGGGCTGATAGTGATGTCGGTGAAGGTGGCAGTGGTGCTGGTGTTGATAGTGATATGTACATGATATCAGGTTGTGGTGAGAATGCTGATTGGATTGAATAATGATTATATTTGTGATGATAGTGAAAGTAATTGCAATGACATTGGCTGTGATGGTGTCAATCGCAGTGTAGGTGATGAAGATTATGAATGTTGACTTTAGTAATAGGTATTATATTACTGATAGCAATGATGTTGATAATGCTGTTACTGCTGGTGATGCTATCGCTGGTGATGATACAGCGCATGACGATGAGAACGTGCATGATGCTGTTGGCCGTAATAATGACCTGGTGCTGCTGACGACATAGGATGATGGTGGAGCTCCACAGGAAGGTCTCCCACCTCATCGAGTTCCTGAAGGAGAAGTGGGCGCCCAAGGAGACGAGAGTTGTATCCTTCACCAAGTATGATTATTGTTACGAGGAGAGAACCTGTTGCTCTGCAACGGAAAAAAAGACACCTGTCATTGTCATACTCTTCTCACAATCTTGTACTCGGAGCACTATAAATATTCAGCTTTTTTACGTCTTAAATTTGCCAAGATCGATTTTGAGTCGACATTAATCACGACTTCTCCTTGACCCCGCGATCACCCCCGCCCACTCAGCGCATCTCCCTGCTGCAGCAGCAGCAACAGCAGCAGCAGCAGCAACAACAACAACAGCAACAACAACAACAGTCAGGCGAAGCAGAGGCACCCACGACATCTTCTTCCACAATGACGTCGACCTCGACAACGACTTCATCCTCCTCAATGGTGACGTCATCGTCCTCTACGACGACGTCTTCGACAGTTACGTCGTCCTCAACGACGTCATTGCGCTCAACGACGTCATTGCGCTCGATGACGTCACTGCGCTCGACGACGACCACGTCATCGCCTACAACGAGGTCAACGTCCTCGACGGCGGCAGCGACCCAGGCGGTTGCGGGTTGCCCCCCACCCGCGGAACCGGCGCCGGCGCCGCCCGACGAGCGTCCCCAGCTGCGGCTGTTCCCTGCGGAGGGGGCGGTGGTGTCGCCGCTGCCATGCGTGGCGCGGGTGCGGCACAGCCGCACGATGTGCACGGTGCACTGGCAGGAGCAGAGCCGTGCGCGTGAGCCCTACGTGCCGCCGCAAGCGCAGCTGATGCGTTCGAGGCCGCAGCTCCTCGCCGCTTCAATCCCGCAGCCGACGCCACTGCCGCCAGCAGCGGTGGTGGTGTCCGCATCCGTTGCCAAGGTGAATGCGCTGACACGGCAACTTGTGCGGGGCTGTCTGCCAAGGGATAAGGATTTGCATTTATAGGCCGTCATCAATGCTTCAGCATCTCTGGTCGCCCGACACCACGCCTCATCTCTAAAAGTTTCTATTGCCTTGCGGCAGTCTAGTCTAGGGCACCCAATTCATTAATGCTAATAAATGGCCGTGATAGTGTTGGTTGTGGTGTTCGTGGTTGGAATGAGATGGTGATGTTGACTGTTATGATGCTGATGATGGCGATAATGCTATCTGTGGTATTGACGATGGTGTTCATGTTGGTGGTAATGTTATCTGTGGAGACGTCTTTTTCTCCGTGTGACACCCGGACTTCAGCGCAGCCGTGTCCTCGCCCCAGACCTAACGAGCGCCGTTGTCTTGTCACAGGACGGGCCGGTCCCTGGTCCTGCTGGTACGACGGGGAAGGGGCAGCGGGGGTCCCGTGCTGGGGCATCGGGGCAGGAGGGAGGGGCAGCTCGCATGCGGGAGGTCAGCATGGCTGAGCCGGCGGGGCCCTGCGTGGAGAAGGAGGCGTCCGGGATGACGCTGACAGCGCCGGTGGAAGCGTCGAGCGCGTCCACGCAATGTGAGCACCGCCCTGCCATCTGGCGCGAGCAAACGACCCGCACCAACTTAAGCGGTTTCAGTGGTTCGTGATTGGCTTACCAAACAAAGTATCCATTGGCAACTCTTGCAGAGCAGTGCATTACCCGTGTTAGAGAATGGCCGATAGATTTATTGAAGTGACTTTTATCAGTTTACACACTATGGGGCACTGCTCTTCCCCACACTCTGCATCAGATAAATCTTTGTCGTATGGAAGTCAAACAGATATTTATTTTTCAGTTGGAATTTAGAGTCAAATTATGTAAAAATGTGGTTTTTATTTGCTTTTTCACTTGAGAAACAGGTTCAATCACTGTGGCTGAAATATGGCTTTGAAGCATGGATGTTTAGTATTGCTGATTCGGTGCTCTGGCGCATGTGTGTGGGTTCAGCAGCAGAACCGATGGAGGTTTGTGAAAATGATCCAAGCGGTGGCTACACCGCTCCACGCGATCCCGCCGACTCTGAGCCGGACGTATCGAGCGCAAAGCCGGAAGTTAGCACCCTCTTGGAGCTGGTGCTGAGCCCGGTCACGAACTACGAGGAATACTCTCTGATGGACCCCGTCCCACGTTACCTCAAGAGCTGCCGGAGCCTCGTCATCCCCAGCGACGAGGATGAGCGGGGTGCGCCTGCAGAGCTGGTATCAGACCGGCTACCTGATGAGGAGTGCTCGGCGCAGCACGGCGCTGGCGCCGGCATCGGCGCCGACCTCGCTCCAGAGGCGCTCGTGGCCACGGCAACGCTCAATGGGGTGGAGGAATCTTTGCCCGGAGTTGCTGACGGATCGGCTGAGAATGGCACCGACGCAATTGCTGGCGGGCACTCGCCGAAACCGGCCTCTCCCGCCGAGGCCACCGCTACTAGTGTCGCGAAAGTGGCGGCACAGGCGCTAGAAAATGGCGGCGCTGTCACGGCCGAAAACACGCACAGGGACGCCAAGGACGATAACGACGGTAAGAGGGACTGCGGGACTCCAGCAGTAACTCCGGCGGCCGAACACAAGCAGCTTCCGTTGCCTCGTGGTGGCGGCGGCGGCAAACGCGGGGCGGAGGCCGCGCCGCCGTGGTCCTCACCCGACCCTCGCAAAGAGGAGTCTGCCGCCTTCGCCGAGAGGGTGTGGCGGGAGGGCTGGGGCGGCTCCAAGACGCTCACCCTCGCCGAGGTGTACGTGACGCTCGGCAAGCCCGAGAAGCTGCTCCTCGAGTACGATTGGGTTATGCCTCAACTGCCGCAGCCGCCTCCATCTACGCTGGCCGACAAACCCACGACCGCAGATGAGGCACCGGAGACGGCGGCGACAGCTGTGGTAGCCGGCAGTGGTGCGGACCCGGGCCCGGTGGCCCAGACAGAGGCGGCGGCGGCAGTGGTGCCGGCGCCAACGCCAACGGAGACCATGGTGAAGACGGAATCGACAGAAGTGAAGGAGCAGCCGCCTGTTGTGCACATGCAGCGCATGCTGAAGCGGCTCCTGCAGCTCGTGGTGCTGGAGGCCAACCCCAAGGTGAGTCGCAAGGGTGTTGTGGGCCGCAGCGTGTGCAAGTGTGTACACGAGTGTGTGTGTGTGCGCGCGCAATTGTACGCGTGTGTTTCTGTTTACATGCCCTGGTGGGTCCTCACTGCAACAGCTACCTGGATATCTCCCTCAGTGTGCCATGATGGGTCCTGGGAAGGATTATTCAACATCGCCTTACCACGCACGCTGAGGAGAGGTTTGCGGAGCCCCATTGTGGCTTCAGACCAGGGTGGTCCTGCACAGGCGCCATATTCTCTGTCCAACTGCTACAGCAGAGGTGTAGGATCGAATTTTTATGGGGCCTGCCTTGTTCATAGGCCAGGGATTTGGGTTACCCTTCGTACTTTCCTCAATTATAAAGGACCTTCATAATGGTGGCTAAGCCTGGGTAGAGCTGCGTCGCTGCAAGCCTTAGCCATTACGTGTTCACCTTGGAGTGCAACAGGGAAGTCAGCTGGCCCCTACAATATTTAACATGTTCCTTGACCACGTAGTTTGAGATGCTTTCTATGGCTGTACTAGAAGAATTTTGCATCTGGTCCAGATGCAATGGGAGGCTGATCGATGCCCGGCTGTGGTTAAGGGATGGCTGCCTGTTGGTAAACCATGTTATGCATGCGTATGATCTGGAAATTGCTGCTCACTTTGAGAAGAAGTTGGAGACTCTACTGCTGAACCTAGAGCATGCTACTCAGAGATGGGGCCTTATCCTCAGCCTTACAAAAACAAAGCATTAAATATTCCACCCCTTCAACTCCCCATGAGTGATGAGGCAATTGTGGACAGTGGGCAAATATCCATACCTGGGCAGTGTGACCAGCATCAGTGAAGCTATCTGGTCTATCACTATATACTATGCTCCACGTCTTCTCGGCCACAGTTATGCCCTCCTTTCTCTTTGCTTGTGAAACATGGATCCCTTTGAAGGAACATCTGCGCCGGTTTGAAACATTCAGGCTGACCTGCCCTACAATCCATCGTGGATTTAACGCGATTACGGACCCATTCAGCAACAAAGCTGTATTTCCGGTTGTGCTATGCAGAAGGTCCATTGCCTATTTAAAAACTTTTCCTTTTTACGGCCACAGTGGTATTGACAAATGTGCGGAGTTTTTTTGTATTGCAAGTCAGTGTTTTACCTTACAAATCTGTTTCTGCACTCACAGTGAGGCGTTTAGTGATTCACCTAACGCCCACAGCAATTCGATTGTCACAATTCAATTCATTCATTGATTCTTATTTGCCAAGTTTTTGTCATCCCATTGTGTATTTGTCTGGTGTACATGTGTATTTGTGTTCTCCATATGAGCAGAAATGTTCCCATACAATTTGCATGAATTGCTAATCATTGGACTTTGCACACATGATTGTGCTGCGTGCATCTTCAGCATAACAATGGATTTTGATCTGTGCATTGTATCGTACCAACTCAATATTTACGCTTTGTATTGTGCGATGTACAAGATGTGTACATGTATTATCGCACCTCCAATTAGCACGGTTGGCTACGTATGGCGCGAAAGAAGTTCAACGTACGTACATACTTAACAAGCAATGCTAGTGAGGTAATGCGAACAACACGAAAATGAACGGTTTTTTTAAACTGAACCGTGACCTTGAAACCTGCCAGCAATTGAATCGCGTGGAGGCCGATTCGCTTGCGCGTGATTCCCTGCGACCCGGGTTCGTCGTTGGCCAGCGCAATCGAGGTGACTTTCGGGGTAGTATTTTTGTTTACCCCCCCCTCCCCCTTTGGTTGCAGGTTCATCGCGTGCAGTCGCCCGACGGGCTTCACTTGTCGCCTAGCAAGGCCGGCGGCGCGGAGGCGGGTGGCGGCGGAGGCACTGGCGGCAGCGGCGGCAGCACCAGGAGCCCCGGATCGGCGCGGGCTCATCCGGGACGCGGTGCGCGTGGGTCAGCTGGTGGTGAGTGTGGCGATGATGATGATGATAGTGGTGATGGTTTGTGCAGACTCGATGTACATGACCGTTTATTTGCAGTAACATAGCTACTGCAGATTAGCCAGAGCTTTGCGCTCAGCATTGGTGTCAACGGAGTTCGCAGGTGGAGAAGCTGGTGGATTACCTGATAACAGGATGGCACAGGAGAATGCTGTTGGCTTGTTCAGTTCTTGAAGAAAGCTCTAAGGACGTGCAGCAATACGCCAGGCATAGTGCTTAACAATACTCTGGGTACAACCAGAAAACACAAATCGGAGAACTATACAGCCGAACTGCAAACACCGACTATGTAGTAAAACCTACATTGTACCCCATTCACACTAACTCTACGTTGCATCACCTGTCCCTTGGTTTATGTTGCAGGTGCGAGGAACGTGGCTAAATCAGCCACGGCAGCATCCTGCACGGAGCCGGAGGCCGCGAAGACGACCGGGCGCTCGGACGACGATCTGTTCCGGGTTCCATCGGCGCTGCCCCCTGCCAGCCGGTACGGCCGCCCCATGTCGCCCAGCAAGGAGGCGGAGATCACGTTCCGGCAGCAGCTCGACTCCATCAACGTGAGCCACGCACCCCGGCATGTCGGGAGAAATCCGTGGCAGCCGCGGCGTGACCGGTTTGGTAATCTGCGGAAATTATAGTGAACAAGAGTCGTGTACAGTATTACTTTATTTAGTTTGAATGTTAAAACTGTACTTTGTTCAGCTGCACCTGGACATCGAGGACACAAATCGAGGCAAACACCTCCACGGATTTCTCCTGCGTCTTTTCTTTCCTCGTTATTCTCATCCAAAAGTTCCATTGTTGCTGTGGTCGGCTGCTCGGAGTTTCTTCCTCCATATGCTTTTCTATGTCTCTCTTCTCTCATCACACGTCGACCGTCCTCTTCGCGTGCTCTTCCACCGCATCCTCCCACCTCACCCTAGCCGTCTCCCTCTACTCCCGCCCTGCGCCGACGACAACACTGCAGTGAGCTGGATTCGAACGGTGATATTGGTTTTGTGTTTTTCTCCGTACAGCAAGCGGAGATCTTCCTGCCCCAGCATCGGAAGCTGCGAACCCGCATGCTGCGCAAGCCGCTGGTTGTCCAGGTAACAGCTATTACCATGCAGCCACAACAATTCCAATGGTTGAACTGATAATTATAATGACGGTGATGAAGATGGTAGTGGTCGTGTTTGAATTGGCTGGTAGTGGTAATTGGAGTGGTTGATGGTGTTTGGAGTGGGTGTTTGTGATGATGGTGGTAACGATAATGGCGGAAGTGGTGGTGATGATGATGTCCGTACGGGATGCCGAGACGTGGCGTTTGCGCGTGCCGTGCAGAGATCCCTCATGCCGCGCCCGGCGGGACACTCGTTGCGTCACATGTATTCACTCGCCATCGTGCCCAGCTCTTCGGTCGCAGGTACGCTACGCCATGGGTTCGCGGTGACGCCAGCAGTCAGCTGCGCAGAACACCTGAACGGAGACGCAACCCAAAATCAAATGAGCGGTGGCCTTTTTCTCGACAGAACTTGTGAAGAAAAAAAACTTGCCCTGGATTTTTCGCCACCTAGTTATTTTATCACGTTTCCCTGCTGTAAGCCATCTTCCATTGAATCAACATAGGTGGCTCCCTCTCGTGCACCACACCCGAGAGTGATATCGCTGCAGTACATTTTTATGGGGCTGTTGTTAACCGCTTTCCATAGGTTTCCTCCTCAACTCGACACTTAAAAAAAACAATTTTTTTTAAATCTTCCATTGCCTCCTTTCAGTGTAAAATGTCTCACATTTTAGCACAACCCAAGAAAAACAAATGGAGTGATGTAGCCCTTGTAGATTCGTATTTCTCTGCTGTTTATCGTGGGTTTGTCCATCATGAGTTGAAAACTTAATCAGTGAGGAACAAGACTGAAAAGTAAAGGTCATGCACACCTTCGTGGCACTTCCGTGCAAGTTCTACGTCAGTACAGTGACGTCATTATTAGGCGCTATGGCTGTCACGCCTGACAGGAACCTTCAAAGTTTATTTTCGTACAGACCAAGCCTCGCATGCGTGTGACATAGCCAAGATATGACACACAACCCAGATGACGCAGAGCCTAGGTGAGGCAAAATCTAGGTGATGCACAGCCCAGGTCAGAATCTTTGGAGAATCAGAAGCTTTATTTATGCTGGATAAATCAGGTTCTGCACAGCCCAGAGATTCTGCTGTTGGAGTTAATGTAGCACCCACTCACATGTATGCATTTACATGCAATGGTGCATACATTGACACCAACCAACATCTAGGTACAGCCATTTTAGCAGAATTACCCTCAGAACGTTTTGACACACGCTTGTTTTTACATGCGGTACACGTGTGTGTGTGTGTGTGCTCACGCTTGTGTGTACGTGTGCAGGCACGGGGATGTTCTCACCGTTACCGCCCCTGACACACCCTCCCAACGACCTGAAGGCCAGCAACCTGTCGAGTGCGTATCCCTTACCGCTGACCCCTAATGCCTGACGTGGACATTGTTGCCGGTGTTTTTTGTCGACTAGGCGATATTTTAATTAATACTCCCGATTATGTGCACAACAAGAATGCGTGGTAAAGATGACAAACCCGGTGACGCCGATCGGTTGCCTTGCTGTTCGCCGAATAAAGGCACAGCCGTGCAATTGCGTAGACATGGGTGGACTACACGGGGTGAGACAGTCAGTCACCCACTCAGCCACTCACTCATTCCACCCCAATACGCAGCAGGACGCGCAGGTGGAGCGTGGCTTAGATAAGGGTGGACTCATGACACTGCTCGGTGAAATGGGCCCCCGCTGGAGGGAGCTATAGAGAGAGCCCCTCCAGAGGGTATTAAAGCCTCCTCTGCCATGCAGGCCAGAAGTCTTGGAAGCCATGGGAGTACCCACACTTTGCCCCACCACACCCGACCCGTAGACCGACTTGTACCCATTTACTTGTGAGTGGACAGGTGGGGAGGTGGGGGATATAATAGACTCGCCCCTTTTTTGCAACTGCCGTGCCGGGAGATCGAAGCAGTGACCTGGATTGCAAATCTGGTGTGCTACCCATTAAACCACGGCAGCTGCCCACTCGCTATGTAACGTGCTAATTCATCTCTTGTCCCCCCCCCCACCTACCTTCCCCATTCCTGCTGCCTCCCTGTCGGCTGCCCCCCTTCTCTCTGACCAGCTGCCATCGACCTGGCCGCCAAATCGGCGGGAATCATCCCAGGCAGCCCCATCCGCGAGGGCCAGAGCGCGGTGACGGGGCCTGAGCTTTCCTCGGAGGGCTTGCTGGGTTCCGACGGGGCGGGCCAGTACGGGGGCCAGAGCGGTGGGACCGAGCTGCCTGGGTGCCTCCAGGTGAGGGTGGTGATGTCACTAAGAGGCCCACCCCCATTTTCTCAATGGCTGCGGTTAAGTGTAGTCCCATCACTCGCATCGCGGATTCTTTACACAGTTAATCTGAGTTATTGGCCGGTGCCGGTGCCAGCCTTGGCCATCGTGGAAATAATTTGTGCCAAACTTCCGCATCTTCCGCGGCGCTCGAAGTGAACTTTGTTGTTCAACGTCAAATTGGTCGGCCGAGCGAACGTAATCATGGATCTACGCGAGTCTGCGGGTCTCTACCTGAGTACGCAGGTCTTCTCCATAAGTCCGGCCTTAAGGTAGAAGTGCAGCCTGGAAATTTCTTGCTCATGTTACTGCTGGCAGAATCGCCTCCGCTAGACGGAGCTCGAGGGAACCCCCCTTGAGGGTATATTGGCCTACTCTTCCTCACCGGCAACATGATTTAGAAGAGGTGGGTGCAGCCACACTCGACCTGCCAATCTGCTCACTGGTGAACCTCTATTTATACTGCTGCGTGCACAGAGGTGGGAGGGATAATATAAACTTGTCCCATTGTTTCAACTGCCGCACAGAAAGGTACAACAGGTCACCTCTGGATTGTAAGTCTTGTGTGCTAATCATGACAGTATAGCAGAATTCCCAGAAAATTTAAGGAGTTGCCTAATTGTGCCTGAAGTGCCCGGCCCTCAATCGCATCGCCGGTTGCTGCCCAACGCGCTTTTGCGCGAGGTCCAAATGGAATCCATCTGTCAACCCAAGATGCCATCTGATGGCTTTCCAAACTCAACATTCATAGTTGTAGATGGTTGCTTTTCAAAAGTTCGTATGAAGTAATACTTTTACTTTTGGAGCAGCTTTGACTCATGCGACCATATCATACGTGCGTCTATTCGAAGTGTTTCAGTTTTTTTGACCCATGAACCCTGACCACAGGACACGGGAAGTGGTGGCAGTCGCCGGGTGCCGTTTGTCACTCTGTCCACGCCGTCTGAGGGGCACAACATTACGCCTGGCGGGCACTGTCTGGTGAGGATTTAACCACATGCAGTAGAAGTAATAATAACAATTATGATGATTTTAGAAACTTGCACCTGTAACCCTCTCTATTGCAATATCCAGTGCGCTAACCATTGCACTGCGGCAACTCACCGCGAGACTGTCAGCGGCTGGCCTCGTCTCTATTTTTACCCAGGGAATGCCTTACTGATTCTCATGTCTTTCTCAGGAGGATCCTACATTGGGGATGTTTGGCCAGGAACATTTTACAGAGTAGTTTGCTTTGTGTTATAGTAAACTGGAATATGCGAATACAAACTCATCATGCATTTTAGAGATTGATACTCTATAAAGTGCACATGGGTGGCTTTATGAACCCCCACACAGCCCCAGTGGGTTTAGGATTTTGACAAATGCGCGACTCATTGCGCGCTTTTGTAATCTCTTAAGAAGTTAAATCATGCGCCCCGGACTTGTCGCACGCGTGGCAGGACTTTGATGAGGACGCTGGCACGTTGGCTATGGTGGGGCCTCCGCCGATGCCGCACGTGGTGGGGCCTCTGCTGCCGTCGTCGTCGCCGCCGCACGTGCCGTTGCTGCTTGAGATCTCGCTGCCCGGCCCACCAGACGACTCGCTGTCGCAAGGCGGACCCCACTCCCACATCGGGGACTCGATCATCGAGCTCGCCATCGGGTCTCAGCGCTACATGACAGGTGCGGCAAATGCCAGGCCTCCCAACGTCACGGCTAAAGACGGTCAGGGGCTGGCCCAAGGGTCAGCAAACTGCGGCTCTTTAAGGACTGCTTCGTGGCCCCCGACACTACAGTTGCAAAGTAAAAAAAAAACTCTCCTAATTATTTTCAATAAACGGTGAACCTCTAAAAACCCAACAAAGATTAGTAATGTGGCATTACAGATCATTGTCCGTGTGCTGTTTCTTAAAATAGCAATGACAAAAAATATGATTTGACGTTATTAATTCAGTAGCGTCTTGAATTCGCATGCAATTGCGGCTCTCGAAATATTGACTTTATTTTACCGAATTCGAAGAAAATGACTCTTATTTTGGTTGTCCACCCCTGGGCCAGCCAACGTGACACCAGGAAGTCACGTCTGTCTCCTTTCTACTGGCTCGTTTGTACTGTCTGTTTCGCATGTTCTTCAATTTCATTGTCCTTGTCATATGTTCTGTCTGAGCCTCTTGAATCCGCTTTCTTGGTTGTACTGCCTCATTTGTTCTGGCTCGTTTTGTTGCGATGGTTGCATCTTGCGTGTCTTTTGTGTTCGTGACATTTGTGTTTGCTCGTGTTGTGCTGCTTACATTGCGTGCTGCGCAGGTGAAGGGAAGCCGAATGGCATGGACGGGGACAAGCCGCTTGCGTCGCCCCGCAACTGGATGGGCTCGCCATCACACGAGCCGCAGTGGTTCGGCAGCGACATGGGGGACGTGGGGGATGGGTGCCTCGGCGGCCTGCTGTGTTCGTGACCAGTCTCCTTTTCAACATTCGCTTTCTCTCAACAAAACAATCTAATCAGTCCAATACATCATCGGCAACAGCAGTAACGTTTTCTGCAATAGCCTTATCATCAGCATCGTCATTGTCATCCAGAGCAGAAAAATCGACACTGTTGCTCATCGTCGTCCGTCACCATCGCCAGTAGCAGCGGCTCTCCAAGTGTGGTTTTACTGCGTTGTGAGCAATGTCAAGCGGTACCTTATGTTCTTGATTTACAAGACGCACATGTTTCTCATGAATTTCAAGCAAAGGTTGGGGTTGCATTTTTAAATCCACAAAGTGCGTGCAAGCTGATTTGTATAAATTAATAATATTAACATCAGGCTGCACCTAGTTTTGGGGTACGTGTTACTTAGCGGAGCATCAATAGTCCGGAGAACAAGGTAAAGTCAACCAGTTAAGTTTTAGCGCCAGGCTAGGTGACGTTGTACACGCAGATGCTAATGGCGGTGACGGCATCCCTCCCACAGCGAACTTCAACTCGCCTGACAAGAACCAGCGAGCGATCCAGCTGCTGAGCCACTGCGCTGCCAATCCCGACCTCGTGGCCTCTTCACTCCTGGAGGGGAACGTCCACGACTCCTACGCGCCACGGCCCCTCATGACGGAGGTGAGGGCTCAGGTCAGCATGGGGAGGGAGCGGGGGGGGGTGGCCTTGGGCTGCATTCCTTGCCAATGGTAATATTGGCTGTAACCTCCTTCGTGTTTTTGGTCGAGAGTTAGTCAAGAGCTGTGCTATGTGGCGGGCGCGAGGCATAAGCAAACGCTTAGTGCTCCAAGCTGCTAACGTTTGCTTTCAAGTTACCCTACCCCACCCCGCATTGTCTCCAGCACGTGGAAATACTTCCAAAATGGAATTGACCAAAAATCCCCCACGCAGGACCCTGAAAGTCTAGAATACTCAGGATAAGTTTTTTTACAGATTGTATTTTTTGTTCAACTCAGAATGTCATGGCTTATTGGCCCATGCAAGTGCATTTTGAATAGGCATATAATTATTAACCCCACAGCAATTTTATGAATTGCGCGATTTGGGAGTTGTAGTTCGATTCAGGAAGCAATCATTTATTTGTCATATTACTGTCTTGCTTTTGTATAGTTTCTCATGTTTTCCTGTGTCGTTTATACAGTTTGTATGCTCTTGTCAGACCAAATGTAATATCATCGCACGTATGCAGTAGGTGAAACAATGGGCAGGTTTATTAAATCCCCTCAACCGTTGTCCACTCAGCAGTATTAGGCCCTTATTTGTGACTCATCCCAGACTTCACACTTGCTCAACTGAGCCGGCATAAAGGCCACACTCAACTTGAGCCAGCTCTGAACATGGTCCCAGCCATGCTCCGGATTTCCATGACCTAAGCCAATCCATGGCTGAGCCACTGATGCATCTTTAAAAGCAACTGAACGGCTCAAGCTTCAACTGAGCCTTGTTAGAGGCCAAGCCAGTGCTGAGCTTGCATTAAGAATACAGCCCATAGTGTCTGCACCACAGTTGATTGGCGGGTCCCCGTGTGGTTGGGTAAAATGTGACTACTCTCACCCCTTTCAAAGATATCTGGCGACCATGGAAGAGTAGGCCTAAATACCCTCTCAAGGGATTTCTAGAGCTCTCTCTCGTGAAGGCCCTTCTGCCAGCAGTGGTGTAAGCAAGCAACTGCAGGACTACAGGCTTTACATTTTTTTAACTTTGCAATGTGCGTGTGTGCGCACGCGCATCTGCGTGTGTCGCTGTGCACAGGCGGACTCGCCGCTCGCCAGCATCATCTGCGAGAGCGGCGTGGACTACATTGCCCGTTTCAGCGACCTGGCGAAGGAGGTGTCCAACTCTGAGCCGTTCACCCCCACGTACTCTTGACACCGGGCTCCTGCTCGAGCGAAGGGAAATGCCCACTGGCCTCCCCGCTCAGTCGATGCCACGGTGATGCAGCCACAGCCGCCGACAGCGAGCTTCACCGCGGTGGTGGGCGGCTGGGGTTGGAAGGCATTGATCAAGTGTCTCGGGCGCTGTCTTGTCGTTACATCAGTGGAAGGAGGGCGGATCGGTGTGGCGGTCATGAGCGGCGCCGTTTTGAAGGCCGTCGCCTCCACGGCTCCCTCCTCTGCGATCGATGCTCCGAGGGGGGCACGTGGCCGGTGAGGAGGGGGCGGCCGGGGTGTCTCCCCATGTTCTATCACGTCTCTCCGGATAATTGTGCATCTTTCACCTCTGAGTTAACTTAGAATGTGAATTTAAACTTCGTTGAGTGGTCGCCCAAGTAAGGGGCGAATGTACAATGTGGACTATCCCAGCACGCATCCTTCCCAGCTGTGCCGCATCTCGTGGTGAAGCAGTTACAACCTGGGCAAGCCAGTCTCATGATGGCACAAGTGGCAGTTTTGTTTCCGTCCTCTTCACCTTCAGGCTCGGGGGACCCTACATTTTTCACGTGCCATCCATTTCATACGTACGCAAAAATCTGTCAACCTGACCCCCCTCCCTGTACGCACGCATACTTTTTACAACCCCCACAGCTGAAGAAACTGAACTGTAGCTCATTTGAAGGCCAATGTAGACAAATAATTATTTTTGAGGCTTCACACCCCCCCCCCCAGTTTCCTATGCGTACGTACATTGTCAGTAGACCCCCCATATGCAAGCGTACGCATTTGGGTTAACCCCCCCTCCACCCTCCATGCGTACGTACTGAATGGATGGCCCCTTAGGAGGAGTGATGCATCCGGACTTGTGGAGCTGGGGTATGAGACGGTGTCATCATGGGGAGTAAAAATAATTAGTGGCCTCTGCTCTTCAGTCCAGGGTGGGTTATTTTATCTTGGAGAAAGGTTATTTCGTTCGACATTTTCATTAAGTTAGGTTGCTAGGGTTTTAAATGGGGGAGCAGCTTTCGAGAATTAGCCTGAACACTTGTTGGACAAGGCTGGACTTTCACTTCAACATTCGGCGAGCAGCCAAAAACCACCTCGTTACGCGAACGTGAGCCTCAGCCACGCCATACTGGTGGCTTAATCAAAGCCATATCTCTGCAACTGGTTCTGTCAAACACCTTAAAGAGAGATGCAAGCCAAGCACCAAAGCTCTTTGTAGATACTCACTTAGGCCGTGCATCCTGGCCTGCCCGACACGACTTCGAAGACATGCTAATGAGAAGGAAGGCTTTGAAGATGGCTTTAATGACCACCTCGTCACTGTGGCGTGGCAGCTGAACTCTTAAATACGTCACTGCATCGCTACGTCGCTCTTGGAAGTCAAATTAAAGTCTTTTGTTTCGGGTTGCGTCTCTCAGTGACTCTTGGAAAACTGTTCGGCACCGAGTAGTTTGTAAATACGATTATTTTAAGATGGCAGAGGTGGTGACCGACTCCTGTTGCAGGCCCGGCTCAGCCTGGCCCGCAGCCTCGTGCATGAGGTGGTCGCGCCCGTCAGCAAGTGAGAATTGGGGGCCTGCGTGCAAAGCGTCCCCCTCTTCCGTCGGGCCACCCGATGCGCGCGCGGGTGTGTGTCTGTGAAAATGTAACTTTGGTTTCAAGAGTCGCGTTTCCTCAAAGAGAATGTGAAGCAAGCTACTCGCTGAGAGTTGCAAGCCAGGGCCATCCTGAGTAATCAGTATTAACAAGCACTCTTCATTTTATTCATGCTGGTACAAAAGCATTGAGGAAATCTGCTCGTACATTTAGAATCTGTTTTTTTGTATTATGTTAGGTTCTTGATGCAAATACAGTGAAATCTCGTTAATATTCGTGCGGGGACTGGGTATTTTCTTAACTTGTATTGAACTTTAATCTGAAATGACACGAAAAGATCGTGGACAACTCCGCATGTCATCAGTTACAGTTGTCGAAATTTGTTGTAAAATTCTCAAACCTACTGACTAAAGAAATTGGTGGATTGTTTGCCTTGGCTTGACCAACACACAATACAAAAATGACATTGATTTACAAAGTGACGTGCCCGCTTCAGTGACCTGGCCACTTCAGTCTTGGCTGGCAACAGTTTGCATGGCATTGTCATGGCCAAATAATTGCAAAGCTAGCACGGTCCAGTCGGCTTGGCATATATCATGCTGCTGCCACGAATTTAACTACGAATTACCACAACTTCGAAACGGCAACCTTTCGTCCGAAATGCATGGCTATGTGAAATACATTATTCCGGAAGTTTGGCGTGTAGTAAATCTGCCGTACGTTAATGTGGAAATTACCATAATGCGATGGACGTTATGACGAGATTTCACTGTGTAGGGAAGATGTTGAGGACGATGCATGTAATGCGAGTTTAGCTTAACCGAGCACTGGGGTTTCGCGATGGGCAGTTGGCAGATAGTGCTGCAGGGATTACTTATAGAGGGGGGGGTTCGATGGGGTTATTAGTCGGTTAGTAGGTGAGCAGTTGGTGGTCACAGCAATACAAAGCGGAGGATGTGGCCTTCTCAACTTCCATTGCAGAAAAGATAAATAGGAATCGTCAGTGCGATATTGCCCCCGTGACATCTGGCTGCAGGTTTAACTCTTCCCATTTCAGGGGAGGAGGGTTACATCAAGCCACAATTGAATCCACGTTCCTCAGCCACATTAGAAACACGTGCAGCGAGATGTGTGCAAGAAAATCAATGTGGGCACCGTTACGAGGTTATAATTTATGTACCCCACGTATTCCTGATTATGCCCGTTGCAATGATTCATCCGCGGGAGCAGTGAATCGCATGTTGAGGGGTCGTACTAAGTTAATCGTGGTCTTCCTTAATATTTTCAGTTAAAAATTTGTTTATTTTTTTAAGTTATTCTGGAAGACGCGAATGAGCTGCCCCGTCAGCTGCGCTTAGGTGCCGTAAGGCCTCGCAATGCGTCCGGTATTTATTATTTCCCCCCTTCTCCCCTCGAAGACTTCCACCATCACCACCTCTTAGAAGTTCAACACAAGGTCGCGTGCCGTTCTGTCGGTTTTAATTTATTTGTGTTGGCTTCTCGACAGATGTACAGTTTTGTAAGGGATAGCGTTTGTACGACGATTCGTTCTTGACACTTTAAGAGTTTTTCTTTTTTTTTGTTTGTTTTGCATTGAAGGAGATTGGGGAGCGGGGTGGGGAACGGGATGGAAATGTTGGAAAAATGTCATCTTGAGAGGGGTGCCCTTGTGGATTCTTAACACTACAATCCCTCATGCACGTAGGCGCGTTCAGTTTAACTATTAAAGAGTCTAATTAATCCTTGCGTTTGTGTGTGTCTCGCTAATTCAGCTCCAGTCTCTCGCTGGGTGCCAGTGCCTGCCCCTTACCCCCCCTTATCACTCTACTACCGCTATAACCACGGTTACCGTTTATCATAAAACTTCACTCATTGATTCCTCCACTCACGTTGGGGACTCGGTCTACCAGACCACTGGCCGTTTCATCTCCTCTACAGTGTTCAACCACCACCAATCACACTCCAGGTCACAACACTGCCTGATCTTCCTCACGCATTGCTCCACTGTGTATTGGAACCCCCATACCTGTCAACCGCTTATCAGTGCCTACCTTATTACAGACCAATTTAGACCTTATTGATCTCCCCGTGCCCCTTATAAATCTCAACGTTCACCGTACAAAGACCCACCACGAGCGAGAAACACAAACAAATAGACAAAACAAATGTTGCCCGTATTGAAACGAGTGTACGCCGTATGGACCTGAAAACTCAACTTCCCTGTACAAGAATACGGGGTAAACCGCATGGGTTGGCAGCGATGGGACTGCCCTCCCAATCACCGTCTCCAAGTTCCAAACCCAAGCTCGTATCATCGCCACGCTCAAATAAAAAAAGTGTCTCGCACTCGCATCTATTACTGTACGCCCTTCATAGTACGGTGCTGTTGTTGCTGGCTGCTTTCAGTTTGAGGTCTGTGCTCGGCGACTGGAGAAAACATGTACATCAAATGCGAGATCGAAGTGTGTGACAAGGGAGGGGTGCCCGGTTTGCATAGAGGCATTGGCGTTCTCTAGTCCTGACACCGGTGAGACTGGACCCGCAAGAACGCTGTCTGGTGTAGGCCAATCAGTATTAAAGACAATACATATAGTATTACAGCATGTTTGCATGTTCACCAAAAGTACATGTGGTTAATGCAGACTTGACTCCTTGCAAAATGTGGTGTTTGAACATCTTAATACATGTTTTATTACTCTTTGGTTCTTTCGGTAAAGTCACGTAGGTATAAAATAAATCACGACGTTTCGGGTGCAATACAAGCGTCCATCATCAGGTGGGAAAGCATGGATGATGATGGACGCTTGTCTTGCGCCCGAAACGTCGTGATTTATTTTATACCTACGTGACTTTACCGAAAGAACCAAAAAGTATGGATTCCTGCAATCACATCTTTTATTGCCAGAAATGGTAAAACCTATTATTTTTCAGGCATTGGTTGGTTCGACGCGGTGATGTTGGATGCAGTGGGCAATTGCATTAAATTCCTTCCGCGAACATCACCATTAAACGAAACTTATTTAAATGGAAAGCTTCGGGATCTTTTTTTCCACTTTCCTTGTATTAATGTGGTGGCTGTAGGGGGCAACTCGTGGGGCCGAGGCTGGGCCACGGTCTCCCCTCCCCGTGTCCGCCAGTGGTGGTTGTGGCCATGGTTGTGGAGCGGTGCGCTCGGCCACGAACCCGGACACCCGAGTTTGATTACCGCTCAAGGCCACCAACACCAAGTGACGGTGACGATTATATTTGAACCGGTCCTGGGCCTCCCCCACGTGCCCTCTGCGCGCTGGACGGCGCATGACTTCCAGCCAGCAAAACTTTGTTTTTCTTTCTAAAACGGTATAGTTTGAAAGAAGTGGGTAACTGGCAGAGTGGAAAAGAGCAAAGGCAGATTTAAATGGGGGGGGGGGGGGGGGGGGGCACGAGAGTTGACCACGGATTGGCGGGGGGAGAGTTCCAGAAAATGTGGGTAGCAAAAGACGATGAGCAAACTCCCACTTAACGGAAGAGATGGACAACGCGGGGAGGCTTTGTGTGGGGTGGGGGTGTAGAGTGAGATGAGAAGACGCTCACGGGAAAGTCAATGGGAGATGTAACGATTATTACGAGTGGGATCTTAACATTAATTTGGGCTTGGGCTGGGAGCCAGTGGAGTGATGGGAGGGGAGGGGGTATTGGTGTGATGTCCTGGTCTCGTTTACGGTTGCGGGTGAAGATCCTAGAAGCGACATTTGGGTTCATCTGCAGTTAGGGGCCGTTCATAAATGATGTCACGCACCTAGGGGGGGGGGGGGGGGTTCAGACATTTGAGACGATGTGTGACGAGGGGGGGGGGGGGGTTGAGAAATGTGACGTCACATCAAAATGCGCAACTTTAAATAAATATAGACAACACGTTCTACTTAATTAAATAGACTTTTTAATAAATGTTTTCTCCGACAACATCAGAGTGCAGCGCCACATTAAATACGCACTACAATGACAATAGTTTAAAGCGATTTGAAGCATGTTTTATGGACGGCCCCTAAGAACAATTCGATTTGCAGGAGGTGTTCCGCAGACGGAGGTGTCAAGCTCTGCAGCCATTCTCTGTGCACTGCTGGATGGAGGCCTCCGCATTTACTTCGCCGTCACGTACAGACGGGCGGAGGGGCGCAGGCAACGTGCGTGATTTAATTTTAAGTTTTCAAGTTTCATGTATTAGGTATAGCCCTGTGAGCCATGCGGCTCTTGACTCGGGTGCAACCGCAACACAACAAAAACGTGAACAAGAAAACATCTTAAAAGTGACTACGCGCAACAGAAAAATCCAGGGAAAAAACAGCAAAGTCTTCCAGAAAAAAACACCGTATTTCAACGCTGCGTGCAACAATCCCAGTAGGATGCAAGTCAAACAATAACCATGAGACAATTTAGATTAAAGTTATGACATCTCGAGCAGAGCCAGGGAATTTCAGAGTATTTGGCTGCTATGAAATAATGTGCACGTGCATGATGAGAGAAGCCACTCTCGTTGAGCTACCATTTGTGGCCAGATCGCTTCTGAAATAAGTAATATTTAAAACAATTTTTTGTTATAAAATGTACTAGTAATGGAACAACTCCACGACTCCAGGAAGTTGCCCCGAAGCTCGCCACAACGTAAGGGGGCCCTGGCCAGTTACAGCCAACGTCAGTTGACCGTGGACAATTAGACCCAAGCCGAAACATAACATATAGAAAAATAATGTTTAAAAATATATATATTTTTATGATAGACTATAGTATTGTCATCAGTATGATGTAAGTATACCAAGTTTGCAGTCGATACCACATTGGGAAGTGGGTTACAATTGAGTTACAAGATTTGAGGATACAACAGAGTGATTTGTTCTTGACACCTGATGAAGATCGCTTGCGTTGTGATCGAAACGTCGTGATTGTTTTTTTGTTTTAATATAATTTTATTGTATTTCTACATACGTGACTTGACCGAAAAAAACAATGAGTAATTTTATGCAGTCACGAAAGCTTTAATACTTTATTAAGAGCTACACAGCTCAGTGGGGTTAAGATAAAAAAAAGTTTAATTGTAGTGCAGACGAGGAGCCTGGGGGACGGCACGAGCAGATTGATAACTGCGCTGACGGGAGCGTGGTGACGTCGGGGCCCGAAACGCAAGCCGTGCGTGGTGATGTCACGATCAGATTTCGCAGACTGAGGTGACGTCACGAGCAGATAAAGATGCAGACTGTGCTTGGTGACGTCACGGTAAATACTGTACCGTAACTGTAGGTTGCAAAGGAAGTCGAGAGCGCGGTGACGCCACGAGCCATAAGTCACGGGCTGCGTCAGCTGCGTGGTGACGTAGCCGCGGCCGCGCGGTGATGTCACGACTTGTTAAGTCGAGAGGGCTGCGTCAGCTGCGCGATGACGTCACGAGCCGTAAAGTCGCGGGCTGCGTGGTGACGTAACCGCTGCGACGTCACAAGCCGTGAGTCGCAGGTTGCGCGTCAGCTGCGCGGTGACGTCGCTAGCCGTGTAAAGTAGCGGGGGGCTGCGTCAGTTGCGTGGTGACGCAGTGGCGGCTGCGCGGTGACGTCACGAACCGTTACGTCGCGGGACCGCGTCGGCCGCTGGGATGACGCAATCGCGCTTGTGTGGGTTGAGCGCGGCGACGCGATGACGTCATGGCGCAGCCCGTTATAAGTCGCGTTCGCCGGGCAGCCGGCTCGCGGTGACGTCACCGGGAGTCGTGTTGAGAGCGCGCGCTGCAAAGATGACGACGACCACCACCTTCTCCGGGCTCGACGAGGCGAAACCCAGCTCCAGGTCAGCCAAACATACAGCGCACACAATTCTTCATCTACCTCCATCATCATTATCATCGTCGTCGTCATCATCCACGTTGATGTTGGGGTCGCAACAATTCACCGCAGCAAGCGAGACGGCGGGCGAGGTGGGTGGGGGGGGTCCCGATGCCGCTGCGGAGTCCGCAGGGGCCGATGGTGCGAGACGGGGCGCGGCCACTCCGGCGGGACCCCCTCTCACCGCGACCACACCACCACCCTCGGCCACACCACCCCCATAGGCACACAGCCACACCACCCACCCCCACACCACACCACCACCACCACACCATAGCCACAACCACACCATAGCCACACCACCCCCACACCACCACCACAGCCACAACCACACCACCCCACACCACACCATAGCCACACCACCCCCACACCATAGCCACACCACACCGTAGCCACACCACACCATAGCCACACCACCCCCACACCACACCATAGCCACACCACCCCCACACCACACCATAGCCACCCCACACCACACCATAGCGCACCCCACACCACAGCCACCCCACACCATAGCCACACCACCCCCACACCATAGCCACCCTCACACCACACCATAGCCACACCACCCCCACACCACAGCCACCCCACACCATAGCGACACCGCGCCAACCCAAGGGGGTGCCGCCGCCGCCCGTCCGCAACATCGATTCTGCAAAACGCGCGTTGAATCGATTCCCAACGTTGAAATTTACACTTTAAAAAACGGTAAATCGGTGGCTTTTCTTGTTGTTCGGTTCAAACCCCGTCCCGTTGACCTCGTGTCGGCGTTCGGGCCTCGGTAGAGTTTGCGCAAGACACGGGATGGAGGTTTAAAAATGTATTTCTAACGAGGCCGTTGTGGATCGATTCGCTTGTTCCAGTTGTGTGACGGGGAGTGTAACGGAATCGTCACGCGCC